TGTTAACTAGATATTTGTTTCAAATGCATGAATTGCGAAATGTTTATTTTTTTTAGGTATTGGATTTTCACATTCATCCCGAAAGAGAGGTGTATCATTCTGGCATGGGTGACTATAGCTACTTATTTGTTTCAGATGCACATATTTGGGTGCTCCCGAAGTATGCGAACCAAGATGGCGGACATCGGAACGTAACATGGGTAACAGGTTAGGGTTAGGCGATAATTTTTTTCCAATTTTCTTTATTTTAGTCCTATTATCAGTTCGAAGACTAGCCAAGAGCCTCCCGTAGTATTTATACCTAAAATTATGGCCTAACCCTAACCTAGTACACATATCACATTCCGATGTCCGCCATCTTGGTTCGCATACTTCGGGATCCCCCATATTTGTATGGTCGGTGGAGCCGCAACCGATCAAGCTCCTTCGCGCTTTTGATATAAATAAGTGACTTTTTTTCGCGACCCCAATTTTTGTAAAATCAAACACAGTCGATATTCGCGACCCAACAATAAGAAAAGTACAGTAATTCCAAATGTCAGCATATTCCAGTTAATTTTCTTAATGAAAAATGTATCGTAACTGTATCGCCTGCCAGTTTTTCCAGGAACGAAAAAAAGGTACTCCCGTAGTATGCAAACCAAGAGGGCGGGCATCGGAACCTAGTCTGTGTACCAGGTCAGGGTTACCAGGTTGTGCGCCATGTCGGTGCACATACTTCTGGAGCGCCCGATTTTTTACACCCTGGGTTTGAGGTTAGATCTGAATGCAGGAACGAAGTCAAACTAATTTGAATAAGATAGGACTTTCATATTCATCCCAGGAGAGAGGAAAGCGGATATGACGGCTCAACCATATGGCGAACCACGGCCTCTCGTCAATCAATCAATCAATTTTATTTTGGTCACTCTAAAAAAAACAAAAAAACAAACAAACGGACAAACAAAATGCAGAGGACCTGGAGGACGGGCATAACTTAGTTACCAGTCCATGTCGAGTGTGAGATTAGTTACCAGTTAGTTGTTTTCGGAAGCATGGTCTTTGGTCCAAAAAGTAGGCCACCTACGTATACCAGGGAATTTTCCCTTTTTCATCACCTACCAGCGTTATTGTCGTTGTTATGTAATAAAGCGTCCCTTAAATCAGACTTGTGCGCAAACAATGACAATTAGTTTGTTTGCTTCCCTTACGGTACTGGGCAACGTTTGCCAGACAGGCACCTTGAAATACGTCATATTTTATTGGTGGTTAATGACGATTAATGAATCAAAACGGTAATAAAGTTTTTGCGGTTTACCGGTCCTGATTCCTCTCAACGTAATAAATGTTATGGACTGATTAACGGCGGTATATTAGGTGAACAAAGTTCAGGGACCTGGAATCAGAAATTGATTAACATTGCGGTTCGCGACCTCTTTTTTATTAAATACCTACCTACTTAGCGATCTCGATCGGTAAGTATGTTGATAGGTATTTGTTTGTCTGTTTCTCTTTCGTATGTTACGCGATGTCTCACGAAAGCGAGGTTGAATCTGCTCATCATCATATCTCTGACCAGAAGCCTATTGATTTTGGATAAATTATGTCATATAATTAGCGAGTTATTGATTAATTAGTGATGGGACACGCGGTATCGCTATTCAGTCAGGGCGAAGGAATTGAAACCGAGATGGCCGACCAAGATGGGACACAACCTGAACATAGTATGTGTACCTGGTTAGAGTTGTGCGCCATCTTGGTACGAATACTTGCGGAGCGCCAATCATTTTATTTACAACAGCTAAGCCAACGTTTATGTTATAATAAGGTACACAATGTAATAATCAGGGTCTTTAGGACGTTATTTTCGTCGACATTTTCAACGGAAATTTATATCCATAAAAACTATAGTACCCCTGGCTCCGCCTAAGCTTTTATCGAATAAGTAGTTTCTTACAACTCTTCTATCGGTATTATTACTTATCGATTTTAATCGGTAAGTATGTTGATAGGTATTTGTCTGTTAGACGCACGCGATATCTCACGAAAGCGAGATTGAATCTGCTCCAGATTTTGCATGTGCATTCATCTTATCTCGGACCAGAAGCCTATTGACTTTGGGCGAATTATGTCGTATAATTAGCGAGTTATCAATCAATTATTGATATAGTGATCTAGATTTTTGTAAAGCGAGAGAATTTTGAGACCCGCCGAGTGTGTGTGTGTGCGATGCGCAAGTTACAAAAGCGGATGAATCGAAACTGCAGTTTCTGTTTTGGGGGATCCCCTAACTATCGATCGATAAGTCTTCGGTTTCCAACCGATATTCTCGTTTCCATTTTGGAAGAGTTCTCATGACTTAAATTTGAGCTAATTTGATAATTAGACCCAATCTTACGTCTAGCCCAAGCAGACGACCTGACAATGACTCCAATATTTACTATTATTACAAAACAATCAAAATTGTGTGAATTTTCCAATGTATTTGTTTCATCACAAAAGTAACGGCGGCTATCGGGAAACACAAAGACGAAAAACAAGAACGGTACAAAAAGTTCAAAAATAGGGAGAATTGTTACATCATAATAACACAAACAGAGCTGCGGAATCCGAGCTTCGGAATTTTTTGTGGAGACGGGGTCGCAATTGCAAACTTCGGTAATCGGCATTCAATTAATTTTTAAAATAAAATTGCTGAAAGCGAGGTCGCACTCACTGAATGGAGGTAATTCTGAATTACTGAAACTGTATAAAAATCTGATGGAGCATTTGTGATTATTTACTTTATGAAGAAGAACTCGCTATTTCAATTATTTTAGAAAATTTACCTAGAGCGAGGTCACTCATTAAATGGAGGCGGTTCTGAATTACTGAAAATAATAACTAGAATTAATATGATCAGAGACGATCACTAGAAGCTGTTCATCTTATAAACAGAAATTTTCAAAATGAGGCATGGTTACTTTTTAAAAATTTGCTCAATGAACGGTTACACACACTCACTCAAAAGGAGGCGATTCTGAATTACTGAAACTGTATAAACTCATGATAATGAGGACTTGTGATTGTTCTCTGGAAGCAAATAGGAGATCTGCAGGTGAACAACCAGTGTTTGTTCTTCTTTTAAAGATAATTCACTCAAAGTGTGGAGGCATGGTTACTTTTTGAAATTTGTTTGAACCAAAGGTAGTGATTCTGGACTACTGAAACCGTATAGAATTATAATGGAGCACTTGTGATTCTTTTCTTTATAAAGAAAATTTGTCCAAAGGCAAGGTCATGTGAAGATCACTATGAAGCAAAAGAGATTGAAGTTATGTGCGACCATACAAGTGCCAAGAGCTTCTTTTAAATCTTTAATCATTTTTCCTAAACAAGTCAAATTTTGAAGCGTAAATAAAAGTGCAAACATATTGTGATCAAAAACCAAGGATCAATTTGACCCAAAATTTCGGGAAAAAAAATCTTGCATTACTAAAATGCTGTGGTCAAAAAATACTTCATCAAAGTCTGATGTCAGAAGTCGAAATTCGCATCAAAATTTTTCTTTATTTGGGGTTGGAGGTAGCTTTTTTAGAAGTTTAGAATTTAATAGAAATGATGTCGGACTCCACAGCTCTCAAGTTATAATGTATCGTTTGCTTATGTAGGCTAAGTCATTATTATAAGGCCTCGCAGAAAAAAAGTTTGACAAAAATTCAAAATACGCTACATTATAATGTTCAATGATATGGTAAATGAAATTCGATAGTATTGGAAAGGCATTCATGTTTGACTTCAAAGATGACATGAAATAGGATTCACTATTTCAAATTCTTTGAGTTTGGTCTTGAAATTTTATATCCAGGGTTGTATTTTGAATTCTTTGGAAACCAAATACGTAACGAACAGAGCAAAGTATGTGTTGAAAAAATTCACACTTTTGTAAACTAGAGTTGTATCAGTGTACTGGTCAATTTTTCGGTTTCGGTATGGGCTAAATGTAGCAATTTTTTAGATATACTTAATTTTCTGGAATAAAGGAGTATAATTGCCGAATTGAGCATTCAAGTTTTGAAACCCAGGGTCCTATTTTAAATACTTTGGAAACCAGATTACCCAATTAACAGTTCTGGGTACTTTCGGAAAGCTCTCCGAGAAGCTATAAAATAGGAATTGTTTTTTTTACAGTATCTCAGTCTGAGCAATAATTCCAAATTTTCTGGAGTGTAATAATGTATATGTAAAAGTGTATTAATTCTGAATTGAAAAGCGAAATCAAGCAGCCAATGTTTTGTTATCCAGAGTGGTATATCAAATTCTTAGGAAACCGCTTACGTAACTATTCCAATGAACCGTTCCATAACCTTCAGACTTACTTGGCTATACAATGGGAATTGGTGTTTTATACGGTATCGTAGTCGAAGCCATAATTCTAAATATTCAGAAATAAAGGTGCACTAATTCTGAATTGAAAAGCAAAATTGAACAGCCAAAGTATTGTTACCAGAAATCGAAAAATACATTTATTCCCAGTAACATTGACCCTTTTCAGAATAAACTTTTCAAGTCAGATCATAGGTAGCAACATTTTGTGCAAAAAAATTCGAATGTCAAATAGAATTGTAGAATTCCGATTCGCCAAGCGTAGCAGGATTTATCTGTTAATTTTTCATTAAACTTTGCTTTGTAAGTGTGTGCCCAATTGCCCCCAATTTGGAAATGTATTTGATATGTCATATTCGAAAATGTTTTTCAGTCTTTGTTGAGAAGGTTCACAAGAATCGATTGAAGCACAGAGTTATATCATACCAATCTATATTCCTACGCTTGCAAGAGTTTTCTGCTTTTTCCCATTTTCGTTTGTTTTAGGTTGGAAAGTATCTGAATGTGAATTTTGCTCAGAAGAAAAAATTGTGTGAAATAGTCCATTAAGTTTACTTGAACTGCCGGAAGAGAGGTATTATAAAATATCTGGATATGGGACTACACATGTACACCAATTAAATTTTTGTCCAAATGTTAGTTCTGATTTTTTTTTGGTTGATTGTTTATATATTTTCCCCTAATAATAGATCCATAGAATATGGAAAAAAACTTGGAAAATTGGACTTTAACAATGAGCGAAAACGATTATTGAAGAGAGATTTCTTGAAGCTAGAAGATCGGGAAGTTGTAAGTAAGAGACCAAAAAACTGATCGAACGATTTGACATTAAAAAAGATAAAATGAACACATAACTGGCTACTCTTCATGACAAAAGTTACCATAAATGTTAGCATAGAGCAGCAAGTTTTAACGTCTGGTCCCAGATAGTCACAGATGGCATCGCCGATACAAAAAAGAATAGTAATAAGAAAACACACAGAACACAGGCTGTCGATAAGAACGATATTTACAAAGTAATTGAGATGCTTGTAACTGAATTCCAGCAGGTTCAGGCTTGTTTTAAGCAGGCTTAGGCTAAGCCTACCATGACAGCAGTCAATGGCTGAATTATCTCATAACTTAAAAATCCGGTACACAAAGTTTCAAAAACAATAAGCAATTTAACTTTACTGAATATTGAGCAGGCCTAGGCTCAACATTTTCAGCAGGCTTAGGCTAAGCCTTGCATTACAGCACTTAAATTAAATTAAAAAAACAGGTTAACAATCAAAAGTTTTCAAATAATAAGCAGGTGAACTGAAAATTCAGCAGGCTTAGGCTTAGTAAGTTAAATGACAATTTCAGCAAAAAGATTGTAAACAGGGAACACATTTTGAGTACCGGTTCAAGCATTAATTCAGCAGGCTTAGGCTATCCAGCAGCAGTAACCATAAAATGAGTAATTTTTCAGCAAATCATGATAGAAAAACGAGAACAAGTTGATTTTGGGTGAAAAAAATTTGTCTTGGTTGAAAGCACTTTTTGAAAGGTGCCGGTACGATACAAAACTGTACGATACAAAACTGTAATATTTTTTCTTGAATATGAATATCTTGAAGTAAAAAGAGTATTTTTCTGTCCGGAATAAATTAAATCATACTTTTTTGAACTCTAGTAACTTACTAAGAGTCATGTCATGTTAAACCGGACTGATATTTTAGACATTTCCAAAGATGTATATTCATGCTATGGATCTGGACAAAGACTATAAACATGCATTTTCTGTTATGTAGGATGAATTCAGGTTAAAAGATTTTTGCTACAGTTTCAACCAGTTTCTTAACCGAATGTCCATGGCACGAAACTAATTTTACTTTTTTTTCACTACAAAACTCTGTCATTCTTAGTTTTATTGCTTGATAAGGTTATTCCACGGGGTGATTTCCCTTTGTTGAAAATAAATTGTTTGAACATAATGGGATTTGGAATCAACCAATCAACATAACACTATAAACATCACTTGAATGATAAACAGGGAGGCCATGAGTGCTAAAAGCCTTCGAAAGGAGGCCATGAGCTATGAAAGGTTTGGAACCACTAAGTTTGAATAATTCATTTTCACTTTTATGCAGTGTTTCTACGTTTTTGCTCCGAATGTGGCTCCAAATGGGCAGCAACAAGAGCTGTAATTATTTGAAACAGTCACTTAATAAAGTAATTGAAGTCCAAAAGGCGACAAACAAAAAATGTTTAATGAAATTGGATGATCTGAAGAGTTTCGAGATGATTACAACACAAAGATGAATTGGTTCAAAATTTTCGGACAGAAATTCCAATTTCCGAAAATGATGAATAGCCTGCCTGCTGACTTCAACTAAATTATAGAACACATATAAAACGTTAGTCCTATATTGAACAAGTCGCAAAAAAGAAGCCAAAATGGCTAAAAAGCAAGCCAAAAGCTAGCTTTCTTCAGCCAAAAAATGGCTAATTTGAATAAACTTGCACAGTGTTTTAAAAAAAGCATGCCTGAAATTCCACACAGAAATAATTCTACACAGAAATAATGTTCCCATTGACTACACCTGCAAAAAGGAGAAGTGAACACTGAGCCTATTATGCACCTGGAAACGGATTTGGAAGTGTGTGTGCGACCGTGGGTCATTTGAAAATTAAAAATCGGGAAAAGATTATGAAAACCAACTTCTTCTTATGGAAACAGAGTATTTTTCTTACAATTTTCAAATTCTTACACTAAAAATGGTATAATTTCAATCAGAAATTACCCAAAGAGCATCCTACGGCTGGCCAAATAATTTGAAATGTGATCTGCAATTAATCAGACTAATCACGGTATAAACTTGAAAGGATGAATAGCGCCGCGTACAAAAAGTAATACCAAGTCCAGATCTAAATGCGTATTTTTAAAAATCTCTGATGGAAGGTTTCATTTTGTTTTGCGCCATTTTTATAAAAAAAGATAGTCGAGCAAAAACTCTCAGAGAATTCTTTACGTCAATAAAATATAACATAAAATTATACAAAGAATCAAAGAACCTCTAAAGAAGGTTGGGTATATATTTTGTCTCGGCAAACTTTTTCTAATACCATTGAGACATCGTTGCCTGTAAATTTTGCTTGTGAAAAACACCATGGATTTATTATAATTTTTGTAACAGGATTAAAAAATACTGTATGAGGAAAATTTTTAATTAATTATTGTTACTTTCTGTCACTGTTACATAAGGAGCTATAATATTTATAAATAGAACTCATCGCTATGACAACCGGGATGGTCACTTGAATTTTTTTTCAGGGACTAAGGATTAGTAAACAGTTGGTTGAATGAAATCTTGATTTTTATTTTTATCGCTGTAGCAACTTTTTCGGGTAGGATATGATTTTGGGGCCTTTTTTATTGATTTGATTTATACAAAATGACAATTGTATTGATGAATTTCTCTTGTGGAGACTTATTCCAGAATATATTCGATATTTATTATTCGAAAAAATTATTTCAGAATAAATTCGAGGTAATAAATTTTTCGATTCTGGGCCTCCATGAACTTTGAACCCATGACATTTAACCTGAGTTGATATTATAAATGCGTCCGATGCTTTACCAACTAGTCTATTGCGTAAAAAAATAGAGAGAGAAACAAGTGGCCGCACACACATGCGGAATTTATCAACAACCATAAACTACAAATTTTCACCGTGTTTAACTAAGATACCAACGACTAAATTACATAAGAAATGATATATACAGGTCCTAGTGAAACACGAAAATATTACGACTTTAGCGTCTTATTAAGACATTAGGATTGGGTTTTATTATATTGAATATTTCGGCTCGGATCTTATTCGCCGATTTTTTTCGTGTGGAATGGTTTTAACTCACACATTGCGATTAAAAAAATCGCAAAAAATTTGCAGCAGTGCCCAGGATGGTATTTTTTGGGCTAAAAGTATATAACAGCAGTGCCCGTGATCTTTTTGGGGCAAAAAAACAAGAATTGTTCGCAGCAATCTTGTTTTTTTAAATCATTAAATTCGCAGCATAAATACACGCCCTATGGTTTTATTTTTGGGGCGAAAAATTGTATTTTTTGGGGTAAAAAAGATACGCATACAGCAATATTCCTGATGGTATATAGGAATTAACACAGCAGGATTCAGCAACAAAAACAAATTTCAAACAAACGGGGGTCACCAAGGTCAAACTACATGATTCAAGGTCATTTATTTTAAAGAAGATTCATAATTTACTTCAAAATGGTTGTCATGGAAATAGTTGCCGTGACAACCGGGAAATTTGTATGGTTGTCATGCAATTCGTCGCTATGACAACCGGTATGGTCCCTTCTTATTTTTTCCAGGGACTTATTATTAAACAATTGGTTGCTATGGAATCTTGATTTTACTTTTCTATCGTCATAGCAACTTGGTCCTCCTCGTACTCTCTCGGGGAGGACATAAATTTGGGGCTTTTTTATATATTTCAATTTATGCAAATATGCAATTTCTCGATATAAAATGTTTTTCTAATTGGATTCTCTTGATTATACAAGTTCTAAATTTTGTTGAAAAAATTGGGTCACAGAATACGTTTTTTTGACCCAAAATAATGTCTGAATCCCTTTTGGAATTCGTAAAAATTAGTTATTTCTTTAATTTCTATTCTGTCAACGGTATTTTAATCGTTTCGCCCTTCTTTGGTCTGGTTTCGGCAAGAGTCTTCTTCTTAATTGTGGCTTCCGGTTTTGGGGGGTCATTGGGGCCCTTTTTATGGCCCCAGGGCCACCTATTGGTCCAGTACGTTTAATAGGGCCACTCATGCCAGAAAAGGCATTAGAGCTTGAAACCGTGGCATTTGTGCCCACCGTGGCACTTGAACTTAAAATTGTGGCATTTGGGCTTGGAAATGTGGCGCTTGTGGTGGCATTATATGTATTGGATACCAATGTCATTGATGCCATACCCCCTGTCACAGATGCCATACCACCTGTCACAGATGCCATGCCACCGGTCGCAGATGCCATGCCACTTGTTATTCCAATATTGACAGATGTTGTAACTATCGATGGCTGACTCGAAAGTTCGAACTTTCCGAAGCCTTGTTGTTTAGATTGATGGGACTTTCCTCCTCCCACTGCATTTTTACTCGCACGAGAACGTCGACCAGGACGCGGACGATTCGCAAAGTCATCATCAGTCTGAAAATGGAAAGGTATCGTTATTTTTTTTCACCTTGAACCAGGCTCTGAGCAAGCATCTGAGATACTGTATTGTAGAAGGACCAGAATCGCCTGACCCAGAGTCAACAAAATTGAATTACGCTTTTGGTTGGGGGTGGTGTGAAACATTGTTCACTCATTACATGCCTCTGGGCTCGTAGCCACTGATATATTTTTTAGTAGTTTCATTAGTGGCATTAGCGCCCACCGTGGAACTTGAATTTGGGCGTTTGGGCTTGGAACTGTTGGATGCCAATGTCATTTGGTTGACTTTAGTCTCAATTTTATTCTCATTTTGTTGTTTTATACATGTCACTTCGACATGCAGATAAGAATATATAAGAAGCTATAATGCCTATTAGAAGAATCAGAAATTTTTTGGTATTAAATATTTTATTACAATCTGGATGAGGTGGGGAAAAAACCCATAATCTCCAACCTATTATCTATCAAGCACACAGGGGATTCTCACCATTTTTCTTGGGTCAGGAGCGTCTTCATCCTGAAAAAAGGATAATAGTCTGTTATGAAAATGATGACGCAAATAACTCCATTTTTATAATTGGATTTTAACCAAAGATGTAACAAAAACATCCGGTATATTTGGAGAGAATCATATTCATATAGGATTTTGAGAAAAATTTCCATTTGAAAAATATTCTTTTTGAACAATTTATATTTCATGGCCAAATAATGGAATTCATTTACCGTCTTACACCATGAAAATAGAAAACCAAGCAGAGCAATAAATTATTGTGTTTGGCATGGCTTAATTATAAACAAATTGTATGTATTCCGTATATTAAATTATTCAATTCCCCTTCCAAATTTGAAGTAAAATTCACAAACCTTTGGTTTTCCATCGGTATCTTTGAAAAATGATGAAATGCTAGATAACAGGCTCATTCTTCCCTCAGTCTGTTGTTCCTGTCAAGAGAAAACCCAATCTTAATACAACCAAATACCTCGATCACCATCTTAATACAACCAAACACCTCGATCACCATCTTAATACAACCAAATACCCTGTCACCATCTTAATCCAAATACCCTGTCACCATCTTAATACAACCAAATACGCTTTCACCATCTTAATACAACCAAATACCCATTCACCATCTTAATACAACCAAATACTTTATCACCATCTTAATACAACCAAACACCCTTTCACCATCTTAATACAACCAAATACTTTATCACCATCTTAATACAACCAAATACTCCATCACCCTCTTAATACAACCGAATACTCAATCACATCTTAATACAACCAAATACCCAATCACCATCTTAATACAACCAAATACTTTATCACCATCTTAATACAACCAAAAACCCATTCACCATCTTAATACAACCAAATACTTAAATCACCATCTTAATACAACCAAACATCAAATCACCATCTTAATACAACCTAATACCACAATTACCATCTTATACAACCAACTACCTCAATCACCATCTTAATACAACCAAATACTCATCACCCTCCTAATACAACCGAATACTCAATCACATCTTAATACAACCAAATACCCAATCACCATCTTAATACAACCAAACACCTAAATCACCATCTCAATACAACCAAATACAACAATCATCATCTTAATACAACCAAACTCTTATTCACCATCTTAATACAACCAAATACTAAATTACCATCTTAATACAACCAAATACTGCAATCCCCATCTTAATACAACCAAATAGCAAAACATACCTTGACAACTTCCAATGGTACGTACTGGGGCTTCTTTCCTGTTGTATCCAAACCTTTCTGAACCCCACACACTAGCGAAGGGATGGGGGGTACTTTGCTCTTTGATTGTTGTGATGAAGTGTGGGGGCCAGTACTTGTTGGTCCCTTTAAATTTGAATTTGGGAGTGGGGGCTTCATTGCGTTGAATTCCCCAAACGGTGGGGTAACTGGAAAGAAATAGGAAGGATTATTTGAATGCATGGGACTTATTACTTATCGATCTCGATCGGTAAGTATGTCGATAGGTATTCGTCTGTTGGACACTTTCGTATGTTACGCAATATCTCCCGAACGAGAGGTTGAATCTGCTCCCAATTTCATGTGCATTCATCATATCTCGGACCAGAAGCCTATTGATTTGGGATAAATTATGTCGTATAATTAGCGAGTTATTAATTAATTAGTGATGGGACACGCGGTGTCGCTATTGAGTCAGAGCAAAGGAATCGAAACCGCAGTTTCTGTTTTGGGGGATCCCCTAACTTTCGTCGCTGCAAATGATTGATAAGTCGGCGGTCTCCGATTGCTATCTAGTGTTTGTTTTGGGAAATTTTCTTATTGGGATTAAAATTACTTTCTCAATAGCTGAAAAATAGAAGCGCCTCCTAAAAGGCTATGGTTTTGAATATTTTAAAATTTGTTTTATTCAACATTAAGTGCTCTGCATGAACCGCTTTGAAAATTGTTGTTGTTGTCTAGATCGGGGGCGTGTAATATGCGGCCCATGAGCCAAATGCGCCCTCGAGAAAAAATTCTGCAGCTCGCGGCAAAGTGACAATTTTGAATGACTTGCAGCCCGCGAAACGAGTTTTTAATTTAGTAATTCCCATCTTTTTGCGTTGCAAAGTCTATACCTGAGTCCAATTTATTATCTATGCCTATGACGTGACAATGCCCCAACAGCTAGCTTGCGCGAAGCGAACAAAGCATATCACAAGATCAATAACCACAATTTTTGTGCCTGCAACTACTAGAAAGCCTATGTTATATAAGAGTGCGGCGTGCGGTTTCACCCAGTTATTTCTATCTAACCCTCTTGTATGAAAAGTTGCACACGTCTAGTTTAGATGAAAAACAAGTACTCAAGTAATTGCTTTGAAATTCTGATCAGTTAGAAATGAAAGGGTCTCCTAAGAGTACTCGGGAAGTATGTGAACCAAGATGGCGGACAACGGAACGTAGTATGTGTACTAGGTTAGGGTTAGGTCATAATTTCAGGTACAAATACTACAGGAGTCACTTGGCTAGTCCCCGAACTCATAATGGAACTAAAATAAGGAAAATTTGAATAAAATTATCGCCTAACCCTAACCTGGTACACATACCACGTTCCGGTGTCCGCCATCTTGGTTCACATACAACGGGAGCGCCGAAGCTTTTCAGTAGTGGATATATTTGTTTTCCAATTTTCTTTCTAATCTATGATGGTTGTTTGGTACTCCCTGAAGTATGCGCACCAAGATGTCGTACAACCTGAACCCTAACCTGGTACACAACCTGAGTTCCGGTTGTGCGCCATCTTGGTGCGGATACTTCAGGAGGTCCGATTGTTTTATAAAACATATTGCCGATTTACGCCGCGACACTGATTTAATGCCGATTGCGTTCAGCAAGCTCGCGCTGAATAAGTCGGGTACATATATTGAGTTTTGGTGAAGATGGGCCGCTAACATTCTATCTAAAACTAACACTTACTCTGTTGGCCAGGTTGTTGCATTCTTTGGGGTCTGAACTGCATTCCTGGACGTGTGGGGCCTCCTCCCATATTTTGTTGGGGCATTCCCTGCAAAAATTATATATATATATTAATTTAATATAATAAACTAAATTATAAATAATCAAAAAAAAATTCAAGTATCATATAAAATGATCAAAATTTTTTCCTAAAATCATGAATATACTATATGAGATCTGATTATTTTTAATAATCAATACATTTTAAACATAATAAAAATATATTTTTTTTATTTTTTCCAGCTTATGTACAACCTCACCTGGTAAGACATGAATCTTTGTTGGGGGTTCATCATTCTTTGGGGCTTCCCCATCATATCCATGGGGGGTCGGACCATCCCCATATTAGGCCCCATTTGTTGGGGGGTTTCCCCGCTTGCATTGGTCCTCCCCATTGTGATGTCATCATTGAAGCCCGTTGACCCATGGGGTTAAATGGAGGGGGCATGTTTCCGGCTGCTTGTGGGGGCATGGGGCCAGATTCTGCGCCCCGAGATTGGGGGTAGTTTGATGGCCCTGTCATGGATGGACTCTGCATATCTGTTGAAAATGAAAAATTGCAATTAAAAGTTTGAATATATGATTAGGGTGCCTATGTCTAAAGTTCTCAAACGGTGGGGGATGCCCCACAAGGGGGGGTAGACAATTTTTTGGGGGGCTGTGAAGCTAATTAAAAATAAAAATATTTGTTAGATTTGATCTTGCCTGCCTTATTTTGGATATTTACATTTAAAACTTCATTTAATTCATTAATTTACGATCCCCATATTTTTAAAGTGTTTTTTATTTTTGAAAAAAACATACTTTCGCTTCATTATCTGTTATTTGTAGCTTATTGTTAGCTAGTTATTTTTGAGGTGGGGCACGATACTGACAAATTCTAAAAAGATGAACCACTGGTCTAAAAAGTTTTCTATTCTACGATTCTGCTTTACATATGAATATTCAGGCTACTCTCAATCTCGTGGAACACATTCAATTATATATAACCAACCTGAGACACTAAAACCATACATACCAACTTTAATAAACCAGTAAAACCATACACAACCAACTGTAACTGTTAAAACCAAACCATCAGCAGAAACCAGTCTTATACAACCAACCTAATAACCAGTAAAACCATGCTGAACCAACCTGACCCATTAAAACCATATTTGTATGTAACCATACATCACCAAATTGAAACCAATAAAACAAGCAGTGACCAGTTCTATACAACCAACCTAACAACTAGTAAAACCATGCTGAACCAACCTGACCCATTAAAACCATATATGTATGTAACCATACATTACCAAATTGAAACCAATAAAACAAGCAGTGACCAGTTCTATACAACCAACCTAATAACTAGTAAAACCATGCTGAACCAACCTGACCCATTAAAACCATATATGTATGTAACCATACATTACCAAATTGAAACCAATAAAACAAGCAGTGACCAGTTCTATACAACCAACCTAATAACCAGTAAAACCATGCGTAACCAACCTGAACCAGCATATGGCCGAGACAGTATTCCATGAATTTGATTTTGACGATATTGCAATTGCGTCATCTGTTGTTGTTTCGAGCGTTCCGCTTGATCTACTGCGGCAAATGTTTTCATCGTAGGTTGGGGTTGTGAAAACGGGGTGTATTTCATTCCCGGTTGGCTAGTTGGGGTCATATTACCGGGGTTCACTGGTGTAGGAGGCTTTTGTTGTTGTTGCAACCCCCCATAAGTTGAAGATTGAGATACTGGGGCTTTTCCCATCATGTACCCCATTTGTTGCTGTTGATAAAGGGGCATTTTCATATTTCCCCCATTGGGGAGGAATCTTGTTGGGGCTGGGACGTCGGATGTTTTTGGGGGTAACTCATGTTTTTGGGCACAAATTGTGATGTCATATACCCCATACTTGGTGAAAATTCATCTGTGCGGACTCGCTGATTGGGGGGAGCAATGGCAGTGTAATTAGCCCCAATAACCCCGGCTGGGGTGTGGGACGGCCCCATAACATTTCCGGATGACCCCATCACGCTGTCATGGCTACCAGAGGTCAAAGGTGAAGGAGATGGAGCTTTATTCATCCCCGGCATCATTGGCTGTAGAAAAAGAATTAAAATTTAGTCAGGACACCAAATTTCACTGCATGTTGTGAATAGCTAGACAATTTTACATAATTAGAAAAAAACTTTTAAGCATAAAAATCTTAAGGTATTGTATATCCTTGCATGAAAGCTGATCTTCTAAATCAATAAATCTATAAAAAACTGCATATAAGTCGACCCTATAAATGGTAATTAGCCGTTTGCACCTATCACAGCAAATGGTTGCAGAAGAGAATTTATGAAAATGATAACCATTATTGTTGTTTTTCTTTTTACTAGTTATGCGTCGTATAGGCTGACCCCTCAGTTAGGAAAATTTGAAAGTTTTAAACTGTGCTTTTATGTATATATGTTTTTTTATGTATATACCGTAGGTACACAGACACTAGACATATGAAGGCCCACACTCAACAGAGTACAATGGCTGAACATATTTTAAAATTGAAAGTTCCAAAATTTTAAAATATTTCAGGTGAGAAGCATACCTGATACTGAGCCTGCTGCTGATATGAAGCCTGTCTGGCTTGCTGCTGCTGACTTGAAGGCTGAGCCTGCGTAGCATAGAAGCCTGAAACCTGGCCAGGATGGCTATGGAAAGAGCCCGCTGATCGCTGATGTGGTGTTGAGCTTAAAGCTGGCAAGTAAACTGGCGTAGCGACTGGTGAGAGACTACCTGCTGCCGTGACAACAGTGTTTTGTAGTGAGCGGTGAGCCATATTCAGTCCAATGCCTGGAAATAATAAATTTGAGATGTTTAACCCAGAAGGGAAAAACTTAAAAAGGATATTCATATTCAAGAAAATGACATATATCCTCTTGATTTCAAACTCAAAGAGCCATAGTGAGTCGTGAAAAGATGTAGAAAGCTCTGAGTAAATATACCGGTTATTAGGATCGGTGGCGACTCGAATACGTAAATCTTCAAAAAAAAAACGGAATAAATCAAATTGAATTTAAATTCTAATCTGTGAAAGTTTCCTTTTTACGATCTTCCCAAAAGAACAAAAATTTGCTACACAAAGAATGACCATGTGGCTTTTTTACGCATAGCAGTTTTGTACACTGCACAGCACTTCTTACCGTGTTTCCCTGAAATTGAATCAGGATTCAGATTTATTTTCTTTGGAAAAATAACACTATGTTTTTTTTTGGATGAGGTCTTTTGTGTTCATTTATCAAAAATAAAATTACATTGTAGAAAATCACGAGATTTTTTAATAAGCATCATATAGAAACCGACATCCATTGTTTATACAAAAATCAAGTGAAAAATATCATAATTGCGATTGTGACATCACACAATCTTGAATAGTGGTGTGATCTTCACCTTACCTCAGGCCAATGAACCTTTCCTATCCCACACATTTTAAATAAATTTTAAGGGTAGGGTTTAATTAAAATCATTTTTAAAATTCAAATTAGGTCTTATTTTCAAGCCAGGTCTTATTTTTGAGGAAACACGGTAGTTTTGCGATGATTAGCCATTGCTGTGTTCTGTGTTATGTCATAAAAACAAAAGAAAATAGAACCAACAAAGATACTTTGTTGTGGGTCGCCATACGTTGTGGTAATAAATAGTGGGTCCCGACTCCAAAAAGTTTGGGAGCCACTGATATAGTACATTCAACAATGTCTTTCATGTATGTACCTTGAGCTCCATATGGTGTTCTGTTGCTCATCGTATGAGATTGAGGCTTCAGAGCGATTGTGTTCAGAGGAGGAGCTTTGACTGCAAAAAAAAAAAATAAATAAAGAGGTGAATCAGTTAGTATGATGGTATAGGTATGTTTAGCATACTTTTGGAAGCACTGAATCAAATAAAAAGTCTATGTTATCAAGATGGCGCTCCAGAAGTGTGTGTACCAATATGGAGGTGACTAATTTTGTTCGCCTACTTTACATCAAGTTGCGTAAAGAAACCGAAACCCATGGACAGGGGGTATATTCACTTGGCTAACACAGACAGTCCCTGAACTCGTAACGGAACTAAAAAAAGGAAAATCGACCCTAACCCTAACCTGGTACCAATGTTCCCTCTAATTTTTGTAGCATGTGTGCGCAGAAATTTTGGTGTGTGCGCACTTTTTTGGAAATGACTAATATTTGTGCAAAAACCAATGAAGAAATTTTGGCGTTCTAACCGGGTAATGGGTGGGCCAACAACAAACTTTCTCAACCTGCCAACCGAGAACATTGTTACATTACATCGAAATACGTCTGTGCGCAGTAAATCTATGTGTGTGTGCAGCCTCTGAAAGCTGTGTACGCACGCACACGCCCACACTTTAAAGGGAACACTGCCTGGTAAACATACTACGGGAGTACCATCAAAATTTGGTCTTCACACAAGTTCAAAAATAGCGTCAGTGTCAAAATTTCTTTCAACATAGACACATTTTTTAAATGACCTCCAGTTTGAGAATTTTTCAGCGTGACCCGATCATGGAGACAGCAAAAATGGCTCAACTACCAGTCTGTATGACAACAGTCGTTTGGACAAACAGCAAATTCTGGAAGTTTAGCGGTAACCTGAACAACCTTACACCGGTAAAGAGTCCAGCGATCCTTCGCACATAATCATTCCATGAAGATTAATCAAAAATGCGGTGGCGAGTGTATTTCTAACGCTTAGCACGATGCACCACATCGCCGAAATTTTTAGTATAAATGGACCAAAGAGAGACGTGATAAAAAGTTTTTGCTGTTGATAAAGGGGCATTTTCATATTTCCCCCCATTGGGGAGGAATCTTGTTGGGGCTGGGACGTCGGATGTTTTTGGGGGTAACTCATGTTTTTGGGCACAAATTGTGATGTCATATACCCCATACTTGATGAAAATTCATCTGTGCGGACTCGCTGATTAGGGGGAGCAATGGCAGTGTAATTAGCCCCAATAACCCCGGCTGGGGTGTGAGACGGCCCCATAACATTTAAAAAGTTCATTAAAAAGTTCAAATATACCTGTCTGCGGTACAACAGTCTGTGGGCAAACAGCCAGGTCTGGAAGTCTAGCGGTCCGGCAATCCTCTCGCACATAATTATTTATTAAGGTAATCGTATTAATTATCGTATTAATTAATCGTATTCTCGTATTAATTAATCGTATTATTATTAAGGTGCGTATTCTTAACACTTGGCTCGATGCTATTTTAAGCATAATTGGACCGAATAAAGAAAAAATAAAAAGTACCTGTCTGTGTGACAACAGTAGTTTGAACAAACAGGGAAGTCTGGAAATCTCTTTGTTGTTGTGTGTTGTATGCGACAGGATGATGAGAGAGGCTGTTGTACGAACTCATGCCACCCATCAGTGAGTAATCCTGAACAAACAAAAAAAGGAGTTAAACAAGATGTTTTTTACATTTCCTCTCTAAGGATTTAAATTGTTATGAAATACAGGTTGTCTATGAAGTCCCTTTACAACTTCAATTTTGTTATGAATTCAATTCTCAATATATCTTAACCAGGTTTGTTGTTTTTTAATCAGAAATTGTTTAATTATTTTTTCTTCATTTATCTCTGTGGGCCAAAACGATATATGGTTAAAAATTTTTAGGACGTTATGGTCATTCTATATTATTATCGGATATGTTTTATTTCAACACTTCAGTGAGGCGTGTTTGGCAACGTAGATATAAAGTCCCACGCCCCCATATCACACAGGGTATGATAAACCGAGTACGCGGTGACGAATCACCGTTTTAACTTCACCATAACCCCAGGGCGAATAAAAAATGGTTCGCCACCAACAACAACAACAACTTAAACAACAACAACAAAAAAATATTACTGGAAGATGGCTTATCATGGCGGCTTGTTGCATTTGTTGTAAGTTGTTATGGAGAGACGTTGAAGATATCGGCTGATAATGGGTTGATCCCTGAAGATAAGATAACATATTGATAACAAAACAAAGATATGTAATTTGTTATGGAGATGGTCGAAGACATCAGCTGATAGTAGTTTATTTACTGATGAAAAGATTAGATTACATACTGATAAGAGATGTTATATATCAGGGTGGTCCAAGGTTGGCAGCTCCGCGGGCCACAAAATTACTTTTGCATTGTTCGCGGGTCACAATAGTGCCAAGAACTTCGCGCGTTTAACTTCGCTAGTTGCCTCAGCAAGCCATAACACTAGTCAATTCAGTGACATTAGTGATGCAACAATATGTCAAAAGATATTTTGGTTAATTTTATGACGAAACAACACGAAAAGCAATTTTTTGATTCCTCCCCGAATGCGACGCGGGCCACAGATAATGAATTGGCGGGCCACATGTGGCCCGCGGGCAAGGGTTTGGACCACCCTGTTGTATATCAATGAATTGCTATATAGATGTGTTGAGGATATTGGCTGATCCCTGGCGATAAGATTAGATAACATAATGTTAAGAGATAGTCGTTGAATAGGTTGAATTATTATGAAGAGAGGTTGAAAAGATCGGCTGATAATGGGTTGATCACTTATAAGTAATGCATTGGTATACGGATGGGTCGAAGGCACTTGTTGATAATGGTTTGTTCCCAGAGGAAAAGATTAGATAACATACTGATAAAAGATACTGATGGAGATGGGTTGAAGACATCCGCTGATAGCGGTATGATCTCCGAAGACAAGATATCAACAGAATGGAGGTTGAATAATTGTGGAGAGTGGTTGAAGATATATAATGATAATGGATCTATCTGTTGATAAGATTAGATAACATACTGATAATCAAATTGCACTATACATAATGCACATCTGTGGAGATGGGTTGAAGATATTGGCTCAGTCAGAGATAAGATTAGATAGAATACTGATAAGAGTTAACTAAAACATATTCTTGATTTTATGCAAGGGATGATAGTGGATATGTAATTATTGAGGTTAGAGATATCAGGTGAGATTACATCACAAGTACAGAAGAGATATTTACACCTTGATTTAGTGTTCAATATGTGTCCCTATTTTGAGAAATTTTGAATTTCAACTTTGATTCATAGCCTGCAAATAACAAATGGCAACCACGAACAGCAGTGGGCGACAACCTTTTGTCGCTCAGGGGCCAAAATTAAAGTTGCAAGTCATTGGCGGGCCGCACATATATTTAAAATGTTAAAATCCGAACAGATAATACTATTTATATTAAAAATCAAGCAGTGATACATCTCTCGAATAAAATATAGATTTATTTCCTCATTGCATCTCAAAAAATTTCATTTGAATATTTTCGGCGGCATTGAACCCTTGCATCAACTTTTTTGCGTTTTGTTGCCATTTGTCTAATTATAATTAAAATATAGGCTCATTAAATGAGTAATTGTGAATTTTATACTTATTAGAGTATATATAATATAGATTAGTTATTACTTATCGATCTTAAGATCGGTAAGTATATTGATAGGTATTTGTCTGTATGTATGTCTGCCTGTGTGTCTGTTAGATGCATGCGATATCTCACGAAAGCGAGATTGAATCTGCTCCAGATTTTGCATGTGCATTCATCTTATCTCGGACCAGAAGCCTATCGATTTTGGGCGAATTATGTCGTATAATTAGCGAGTTATCAATCAATTATTGATATAGTGATCTAGATTTTTGTAAAGCGAGGGAATTTTGAGACCCGCCGAGTGTGTGTGTGCGATGCGCAGTGCGCAAGTTACAAGAGCAGATGAATCGAAACTGCAGTTTCTGTTTTGGGGGATCCCCTAACTATCGATCGATAAGTCTTCGGTTTCCAACCGATATTCTCGGTTACCGGTACTATATTGTTGTTACTATAATTTTGTTTCGTTACTATAACTCAGTGAAGCGTCACAGGCTGGATTATATTACTCCGGGCCGTAGGTTGCCGACCCCTGGCATACATCCATTTTACCAGACATAGTCAGGGATTTCCAAAGAAGGTTCTGTATCATTTAATTGCCTAGTTATACTGTATAAGCTAGCGGAAGAGGTTCTAATAAGCATTCCAAGCTACTAAAATTTGTCATGTATGATACAGAAAAAGCTTTTTTTACATTTTAAAAGAAGGGTAAAAGGGGTTATGACCCCCTTTTGGGTACACCCCTGTAAGGGACTAACTAAAAATAGAATACCAAACAATTTTTTTGTACAAGCGTGGAGTATATCCTTGGCCACAAGTACAAAGAGTCAAATTTCGTCCCCCAGCCCACAAAAAACAAACAACGCCACCTACCTGTTGTACAGGCATCCTATGTTGTGCAGGAGTAAAGAGTTGAGACGAGTTGTGGTCCTGAATTCCAGTTAACATAAGATACGGAGAAATGACGGGCGAGACTAACTGTGACTGCTGCTGTTGTTGCATGACTGCTGATGCCGGTCGACTTGACGCTGAAACGTAAGAAAATTTGAAATAATCTGCTTCCAAAATAGCTGTAGACCACTCCCAAACTGGGGGTTCATGATGACTGCACAGGGGGATAACCAGTGTTCCCTCTAAGGTGTGCGCGTGTGCGCGCGCACACAGCTTTCAGAGGCTGCGCACACGCATAGATTCACTGCGCACAGACGTATTTCGATGTAATGTAAAAATGTGCTCGGTTGGCAGGTTGAGAAAGTTTGTTGTTGGCCCACCCATTACCCGGTTAGGACACCAAAATTCTTCCTTGGTTTTTGCACAAATATTAGTCATTTCCAAAAAAGTGCGCACACACTAAAATTTCTGCGCACACATACTACAAAACATTAGAGGGAACATTGGGGATAACGATATGAAAAAAGTCTGAAACATATACAAATAGAACACAATCTTATCAAATTGCTATAAGTCTGCCAGTATTAAAGTTTGTATGTACTGATTCAGACTTTCTTGAGTTTTATTTAGTCAAGGGAAACATTATCCTTCCTCGCTGGGTAGGCACAGAAATTGATTCGACATAGGAAGGAGGTCCGCCAAAAATATAATTCATAGAAAGGTGAACCCACAAAGTTTGGGAAACCCTGCCCTGGAAAAGCATGAAAAAAAGATTTAAAAAACTTCTTCTATGGATGAATTTTATTTTCTCATTTTACGACTCTGAAAAAAGCTTTGGACAATGAAGGAAACTTCGAAATAATTTGCTCTGAAAAAAGTGGAGGCAAGCATGGAAGGGTAGATTTAAAAAAATCAGGTTATTTTTTAAATTTTATTTTTTCATAGGACAACTCTGAAGGATTCGGACAATGAAGGAAATTTGAAACATAATTTACATGACATTTTAACACGCTTTCACTTCAAACAACGCACTGCAAAAGCAGCCGCGTCTCATAATATGAAAAGAATTTCAAAATTTATGTTATCCAATCGCAAGTCGAGCCAAATCAGCAAATAGAGTCGGTCCTCAAGTCTCATTGGCTGTTGAAATAAAACAGGGGTGAGCAAGGTTTTCAAACCAGGGGCCAAACATTTTGCCCACTTAGTCTGGCGGGCCATGTAAGTGTGACGTTAAAAGTTACATTTTATGAACAATATTTACAGTAAATTTGAGTTGGGTTGCGCGAGACTAACTTCCTATCTTTTCTCTATGCCTTTATGCTAGTGGATGCGTATACTGCAAGGATACTGTAGCTGGAATAAACATGACTATTCTATTCAATTAAAGAGTCCAGCTGCACGCTAACACAAATGTATTTCTGTAACGTTTCGTCCGACTTCCTCAGACAAGCAGTTTACAACAATGGCAAGAAATGGCCATTGTCCATTGTTGTAAACTGCTTGTCTGAGGAAGTCTGACTCTGGTCGGACGAAACGTTACAGAAATACATTTGTGTTAGCGTGCAGCTGGACTCTTTAATTGAATAGAATATTTACAGTGTTACAAAAGTGAAAGTGGAAAACAATATCCCTCGTGCCTCGTAGATTTAACCGCAATCCAAACAAATTTCTTGAGCTTTTTTAGCTAAAACATAAAAGTTTGGTTGTGGCAGCATCAGGCAGGCCAGATTGAATCATCTGAGGGGACGGATTTGGTCCGCGGGCCGCAGTTCACCCATGTCTGGTATAGAGCTTGATTCAGTGGAAAAATCTCTGATAATATGAAATGAATTCAACAATCAAAAACCATACTTTGCGATTCAGAGCTGAATGATCCGGCGCTCGTAGGAGTGGATGTCGCCACTACTTTCATATTTGAGGGGTTTGTTTCTCCGCCTGCCCCACTTTGCTCTATACTGCCACCTACTGATGGAGTATTACGTGTCGGTTTCCATTCTCGTGATTGCGCAACATTGAATGACGACTGAAAAATAACATAAGTAATGGTCACAGTCAGTCATATTCGAGAGCAAAACCAAAAACTTGAATATTTTTCAAACAAAAGATTTGATGACTTTTCAGATTAATTAAATATTTAAAATGAAGATTTATGAATTGTAACTAATTTTGGATGTATTCAGATATGTCCCTGTTATTAATACAAGCAAAAATGAAATATTCATTGTATCCGCTAACTATCAGTTAAACATTCAACCCTGCACACTACAGTCTGATGATTTAGAACGGTGGTTCTCGACCTTTTTAAGCCTCGCCCCCTTTTTAGAATTTGTAAAATTTGAATTTTTAGAACTAGCTACAAATAACATATAGTAAGGTGAAAATAATATAGCATATAAAAAAAAATTGAACAAAATTTTTTATTTTTAATCCGCAGTAGTTAATTATTTGAAAATGGTCAACCGTTAAAAACCATCGGTTATCCATGACCAATCTTACCTGTACATCTGAGGAAGTATCGATGGCCTGAGAAACATTTCCGGACGAGACGACGTTTCTTGTGGAAGAATGGAATGAAGAAAAAGGAACGGAACCTTCATTCAGTGCTGAAAGAAAATCATTTCAGTTAAATTCAGTAAGAATACTCGGTGCTGGGAAGCTTAAGTAATCATTTATCAAAAAGTCATTGGACTCATACTCGACAGTGAAACCTGGATGTCCAAAGAATCGAATATCATTTATAACAAGGACGGATCAGGGGCAAGAATTTTGCTCACCTAGATTGACAGGCCATGTAGCACAAAAGTGGAAAACGAGAATATCGGTCAGAGACCGAAGACTTATCGATCGAAAGTTAGGGGATCCCCCAAAACAGTGCTCTTACTCCATAGTGACACCTTGTGTCCCATCACTAATTAATTAATAACTCGCTAATTATCTGACATAATTCATCCAAAATTGATAGGCTTCTGGTCCGACATATGATGAATGCACATGCAAAATTTGGAGCAGATTTCAACCACGCGTTCGTGAAATATCGCGTGCATCTAACAGACAGACAGACATACAAATACCTATCAACATAATTACCGATTAAAATCGATAAGTAACAATAAGCCTCATGTCAAAACTAAATTGAATCGCAATCTCAACAAATTCCCTGAGGTATTTTAAGCTAGAACATCAAAATTTGGTTTTAATCTGGTTGTGCCGGCCATGGTTTACTCATGGACACATTCATGACTATCAGTAGAGATTAGGTGAGAGCTACCTTAAATGCCTTTGTACTAGCGGGTTCGTAATAATTTTAACTGCTTGTCTAAAGAAGACTGATTTTCGTAAGATAGACGTTACAGAAATTGTGTGTGTTAATGTGCAAGCGGACTCCTGAATTCCATAGAATTTTATTATATCAGATAGGAAAAAAATTATGAATTTAGGAATAATTCAGCTGCAATTAAATTAAATTATTTGAAAATTAGGGATCTTGAGCCAGCAGACAAACAGATCAAAACATAGTGATACTGAATAGTGCTGACATGAGCAACTTAGGACCCGCGGGCCAAACATGGCCAGTTGAGTAATTCAATTTGTCTTGCATGATGCTGCCACAACCAAACTAAAAATTTTAATGTTTCAGCTAAAAATAGCTCAAGGAAATTGTTGAGATTGCGAATAAATTTAGTTTCGGCACGATGTTTATTGTTTCCACTTTTGTTTTTTTAACACTGTAAATATTGCTCATAACTAGGGTTGGGAATGGTTAACGGTTAACCGATTTCAGATGGTTAACGGTTACGATTTAACCGTTAACTGACATCTCAGGTACAAATCATCTTCATACCGTACAATTTCTTCAAATATGATTACGTCATCGCAAATTTATCTCTTGTGGCATTTAATTCAAAAGAATATTACTAACTGTGTGGGTAAGGACTCAATAAATGTGAAAAATAATGGATGTACCAAGATTTGCTGATTATGGAAATTTGACAATGATGAATTCAGAATCAGTTTTCGGTCGATTTCGAAATACATTGTTCAAGATTTCATTGCAAAATCGGATATTCAATGTCGTACAACAAGTGCGCATTTGATGCCGTTTTTCTTTATATGATATATATCTCGAAGTATAATAACACGCGAAATTGCATTATAAGCATTGTGACGTAACAAGCTGAAATTATAAATTATTACATCAAACGTCACGCCGCGGGTAACCGGTTAATTTTGCCCGGTTAACGGTTAAAGTGTTTTCCCTGATATTCCCAGCCCTACTCATAACATGTTACGTCACACTCACATGGCCCGCCACTCTAGGTGGGCCAAATATTTGGCCCCTGGTCTAAAAACCGTGCCTACCCCTGGAATAGTGTCATAGATAGGGGTTTCCAATTCCCTACCTTGCTGTTGTTTCTGCCCTTCCTCTCCATATGAGGAAGTGTTCTCCCAAGCTTTTCTTGCCGACCTCATCGCCGTTTCTAATTTGGTGAAGTCCACAGATGGTGACGTAGGAGTTAATAACATCGCTGTTGAACTTTGACCCCCCAGGTCATTTGAACTTTGACCCCTGAGACCCATTTCTGTTCCAGCAGTATTCTGGGCTCTCAATCCAATGTCACTTCCTGTTGAACTTTGACCTCTCATAGGATTTTGACTTCTAATCGCAGTATAATCCCCGACATTTGAACTTTGACCTCCGAACCCCAGATCATTTCCTGTTGAACTTTGAACCCTGATGTCACCAGCAGCTGAACTTTGAACTCTATTTAATACCTCCCCAGTTGCATGAGTGGGAGGGAGGGGAATTGGCCCGGGGGGCTCTGTCTCACTCATTTCGGACTGAACCGCTGGGTCTGGGGGGCTTACGCTGAAAAACAGAAAATATTTTGGGGAGATTCTATTCTGATCATGTTGATAAAAGGGAGGGGGAATACCCTTGGCGTACTGAATTGAATAAAGTACTCAATCTATGGGAATACAACACTCTGAACAAGTCTCTACAACTATATAAGTCAAGAATTTATTAAGGTTGGGCATTTTCGAATACTTGATGATTTTAGAATCGAGTCTCGAATACTTGGGAGATATGTATGTAACTTCCTTATTATATTCCTCCAGACACATAAATTACTGAAAACATAGAATACATCACTCAGGCAGATTGCTGAGCGTCCACACACCGCTACAGAAAATAGTCATATGTCAGAATTGCGTTGAAAATATATGACTTCAATAAAAAAAAAGCGTGGAATTCACCTCGAACATTGGCAAAAAAAAAGGTGGCAACGATTCAAAATTTTGCACTGAACCGATTCGAATAATTTACTATTCGATTCGAATATCCGAAATGCCCAGCCCTAGACATTATGGGATAAAATGCACAGAATGTATACAGTAAGTTATTCAGTTTTTAGCTATTTTTACTAGATGGCTTGGCAGTGATTCGAACCCATGACCTTCTGATCAAAAATTCATCACTCTACCAACTGTGCCACCAAATATTGCCCTGTGTAAAGATTGTTAAACTGCCATGGTATGACAGCAACAACTTCACTTGGGCGTGATAACAGTATTCGAGTCGTATGACCTTGTTTAACCTTCAAAAAAGATCAAGAAATATCATCTTACCCCAGTCTTCCACTCAAGTCATCGTTCGGTGGATTTTCAGGATTATTCGAACCACTAAGTGGTGCCATTGATGATGACGGTGCAGAAATAACTGGCGGAGTCATGCTCGACATTGGCATCTGAAATGTAAACAAAGATGGTAACTGCTAAGTTACTGTTACTAAGAGGATCACATGGTTACCACGGTAACTGTGAGTTTACTGCCCTATATATTACTATGGTAACTTCGAGATTACCACGGTAAACAAGTGCTATGGCAACTAGGATGTCCCATTACAGACGACTCACACCCAATTAGGGATGCCCAAAGTGACCAATGAAACAAAACTTTAATATCGGATACTTAAAATTTCGTGTATGATATGACTCCTTCAATATCGGTAAATGCGTAAGAGCCTTGGCCACAACGAAGGCATAAAAAAACAATGTCAAACTAGATAGCTATCGAAGATCGCCGACATATCGATCGTTTGCAGCGACGAAATTTAGGGGATCCCCCCAAAAGATTCCTTTGCTCTGACTCAATAGCGACACCGCATGTCCCATCACTAATTAATTAATAACTCGCTAATTATACGACATAATTCATCCAAAATCAATAGGATTCTGGTCCGAGATATGATGAATGCACATGCAAAATTTGGAGCAGATTCAATCTCGTTTTCGTGAGATATCGCGTAACATACGAAAGTGTCTAACAGACAGAAAAACATCTACCAACATACTTACCAATCGAGATCGATAAGTTATAGGAAAGATATAGATATACCCTGTTGGTACATAAATATGTTTGAAATAAAAAGCATATAAAAAACCTAAAATTACATTTCATACCTGATGGAAACCGCCCATTGGAGGAGCTGAATGCCCAGTTCCAAGTCTTTGTCTTGATGGTGAAGCGCCTAGTGTTGGAGTAGGCGTGTCTTGCAAAGTGGGTGTGGCAGCATCATTTGTTGGAGAGGGGTTTGGAAAACGTTGGAACGATGAATTCTCCGAGTTTTCGATGTTCGATTCTGGCTCGAGATTTGGATTAAATGATCCTCCTATTCCTGTGATAAGAGGATTTTTTGCGAATATTTTTTTAGGGTAACTTTTAAAAAAAGAGTCAATTAAAACACAACAAAAACTGTGCAAAAATCTCAAGTAACTGCTTAACAGGTTGTGTTACTAGAGTGATACAAAGTGAAGCTCGTCAAATATTACTTGAAGGCCCCAATATAAGGGTGCAGTTGGTGGAAACCTGTTATAGACACTAAAGCGGCCTACTAAAAAAAAATTAGGTTTCTGTGCTGGGCTCAATTTACTGCTAGGACAGTTGAAGGGGGGTCAAGGGTCGCCCACGTTATATCAATTTTTAAATTTTTTTTTTTTTTTTTTGAGATCTGTCCGGCCCTCATCTTGCAATTTCGAGCATTGGACACCCTTATCTACTTGGATATGGTTGGACAACCGTTTGAGCCCCCTGGGCCATTTCCCCCTCCCTCCCACCCATGCAACTGGGGAGGTGTTAAATGGAGTTCAAAGTTCAGCTGCTGGTGACATCAGAGGTCAAAGTTCAACCAGCAATAGTGCCTTTTTTGTCGACTTATGATCAGTCAATAGAGTCAAAAATTTTAAAGAACTGACCTGAATATGCATTTTGTCTGTTAGTATTTTCATCTTGATTTGCGTGAGGTTCTCCAAACGGAGTATAATTTCTCTTTGTTTGAAATTCCGTGCTTTTGAATAGCGGACTTCCTGACTGGTTGGCTGTCATGTCTATATGAGAAATGGTATAAATCAAATCAAATTTTTTTTTCACCCATACAAACCAATTGCAAGCGTATTACTGTGGTAGGGAAACCATGGGCTTCCAAAACTGGTTATAAAGTACCAACATCTAAGGTTCTAATACTGAATAAGTTCACTAAGTGCTCCATATAAAGCCCCAAGTCTATGTGAGAGAAACCCAGGGGCCCCATGAGTTATTCGTTTACTTATTATACTGACTTGGCTGATTTTGTAACTGTCCAAAGAAGCAATAACGCCATTAGTAAAATTTGACAACGGTAGCGTTGAAATGTGGCAACAAGACGGTAATTCAAATATGACATCTATAATTTATCTCTTCACGGGAGAACCATAACACAAAAAGTATGAGAATGGATTTATCTTCACGCAAACAAAAAACTATCACATACTCTGTCCAACTCCAGTGTCAGTATTATCAGCAACAAATGAAATCACGTTCTTGTCGTTCATTTTATTGAACAGAGAGTGAATACTGCTGGAATCCAACTGGCCATCCTAAAAATGGAAAATCAATTCAGAATTATCTTAAAACCTTAAATTTTATAGCTCAATGGAATGATGGTTTGTTTCCCAACCTATGTGTCGCACCCGAAACCAGCAGCTAAAATTGTTCTCGGGTCGCTTAGTTTTTAAAACAATTTTATTTTTCACTCAATTTTATTTTATTTTGTATTGGAATGTTGCTCAGTAATAATTTGTACATGTGGGAAATATAAAATCATGAAAACTTGGCAACATTTACTTCGCTTTTGCAAAGCCAAGCAACTGCATGGCGCATAGTATTGAAGCATTTTCGGCAACAAACGTACTACATTCTGTTCAGTTTTAGAGTATTTCTGCGAGTTTTACAAACTTCGTTGAAATGCAAACATAAAAAAATGAAATGGAGTTTTGCTTAAAGCAATATTTCAGGAAAATTCAATGTTGTTTTTATCGATGTTCATTTGTTGGTGGAGAAAAACCGTCTAAAAACACTAGAAACCCTGCTAAAACGCTTGAAAAAAGTGAAAAATCGTATAAAAACAACATTTTCATCATGCTCTTTTATAGGGAACTTTGCAAGCAGATGGAAATTGCTTCTCTCATCCCCCCGTCCTCGTTTTTTAAAATAAACTCCAGCGCCCACCTGTGGCATCATATCTAAGTTCATTGTCTCCATCTGCGCATTTTCCAATGATGCTTCTGTCACACGTTTACCTCGTTCGCCTCCAATAGCACCAGCGGGATTCGAACCCACGCTCCTAGGACTGCCACCAGAGTCACCCAGCATAGTTGATCCAGTCTGTAAGGTATAAAAAGGATTAATGGAGAGACCTCTAAGTAAAGAGGGGGGAAATTTTAAAAAGCTGGGTGGCCCCAGAAACGTAACCTATAGAACAGCAGTTCTCAACCGGGGCCCTCGGCCCCCTAAGGGGGCCACAAGGATGGGCTGAAATCTGAATTTACTTTTCCCTTCAAAGAAATCTCACAGTTTTTCCTAGTTTGCTGCTCAACAAGGTTATTTCGCAGGGTGTTTTTGCTCTCTTTCTCTCTCTCTCACGAGTCATAAAAGGTTGAGAACCACTGCTACAGAATATGTTCCAATGACATGGGTTTCGTTTTTTTCACCCAATATTTTCAAACTTCTGTAACTTTTAATTCGAATACTTTTGGTGAATATGGCTTCCAATTAGGATTAGATACCAGCTAAAGCAGGGTCGTCCAACCCGTGGCCCGCCGGAGGTTTCCGAGTGGCCCGCGCGGTTTCATTCGAATGACAATGCCTTTCACAAATCTGGGCCATTATTGAAACCTCTAATAAAAAAATTATTCCTGGTCATTCAATCGCTCGAGAAGTACACCCAGCTATCGAAAGCTTATTTCTTGTTTATGTCATTTTGTGAGCGTTATTGCTGGAGAGAGATTTCCTGTATTTCAATCTGTTTTTTCTTTTTTTCTGTTAAGCTAGAAGAGGCAGTTTTTATGACCTTAATATTTGACAGCAGTTATTTGTGCGAGCAAGTTTTTTTTTCGGATGGAACATGTCAAATCCCCCGCGAAATCACTAATTTCTGATTGTCATATATGAAAAATTCGGTATGTATGGCTGCATCGTCCGTCGCTTCGAATATTGGCAAATTAACTGGATAAAAGCAGTGTCATACTTGACATTGAAATATCTATGTGTGGTACTTGTGGTACAAACTTTCATTGTTTTTATAATTTTGGTGTGATGATTTTGTTTGTTTTCATTAATCAGCAGTCGTAAAAGCTAGAACATAACAACCATGTCAAGTGGCCCAAACTAAATGTGGCCCTTTGGCCCAAACGGTTAGACAACCTTGAGCTAAGGTGTCTATAGCAGGGGTGTGCAACAGGCGGCTGCAAGGGCCACAACACGGCCTGCCATTCCATTTAGTGTGACCCTTGTCAACACCCAGTTTTTCCCCCATGAAGCATAAAATCTTAATCCGACAGTTTGGAAAGTGTGTAAAAATATTGGCGCTCCCGTGGTATGTGAACCAAAATGGCAGACCACCGAAACGTAGTATGTGTACCAGGTTAGGCCATAATTTTATTCCAATTCTCCCGTAGCCAAGTGACTCCCGTAGTATATCTACCGGAAATTACGGCCTAACCCTAAACTGGTACACATACTACGTTCCGGTTTCCGCCGTGGCTGTGTTAAATTTTTCGCCGTTTTGGCCAGTGTCCTCATTACCGTAAGGCCTGGCGATAGCTCTTGAAATGTTCGCAAAGATCCTCCAATACATACCTGATGGTACTCTGCTGCCACTGGTGGTTTGATGGTTTCTAGTTCAGGATTCTGGATCAGATGTATAACTGATGGCAACTGAAATTGAGAAGAAAAGTTTTAAGTTTTTTTGTTAAATCGGCTGAAAAGAAAAAAAATTAGCAAGCAATGTGTTATGGATCAAGCTATGAGATTAATGATATGAATTTTTTTTGTTAGGAGGGGGGGGGGGGGTTAAACCTCGTTTTAAACATGTATTACTTATGTTGGATGACAGGGAGTGCTTTTCATTTTCTGCATTTTTTGTGGTATCGGGGGATTTTTCGAAGACTTAGTGAGGATGTTTCAATAGTTTGTTTTTCTCTCGCAGAGATGGTCGAAAAAATTTAGTTTGGACAGATATTGAAAGAAATTATTTTTTGGTGGATTTTTTTAAATTTTGACAAGTCTTTTTTAGCAAAAAATACCAAATTTGATGAATTTATCGAGTTCGAATTTATTTTTATTTCTGCTCAGAACAAGGCAATTTCAGAGAAGCAATTTTAGTCACATCAGAATTATAAAAAAATGTTAGCTCGTGATTTGTTAGGTTATAGAACCACCGAGATGTGAACATGCTAGTGTTAGATGAGGTGGGATTCGAACTCGCGTCCCAATGTTTATATGGTTGCATGGGCGGTTACAACAGAGGGCACTGACCCCATTCTTAACTACCTGACCCCCGCCTACCGAGGTTATAACCCCAGTTGTCGTAGAAACGTTTCCAAAACTGCTGAAACTGATCTTTGGATCGGCTGAGCCTGGACTGCTGCGCTGAGATGATGGAACAGAAGATTCAACTCCGCTATCGTGCTGAGACGCAGGGTTTTCCCCCTTGTTTGCCTCCTAAAATGAAAAAAATTAGGAAGATTGTGGCAGTGGCCTTCCTAAATCCAAAAATGTCGAACACATTCAAACAAAAATATCCTTCAAATTCCATTAAATTGAAGGGCATCCAAGATGCCCCAGTGAATTAATTATGCACTAATAGAGAAGTTAAACATGGCTACTGATAAGAGATTTGAACTAATATTACAAAAGTAGATACAAACACCTTGAAAAGAGTTCAGAAATTTAAATAACACTTTAACGCTACTCAACCAGAGTTACAATAGCTATAATAAGTCTACCCGTTTTTGAATAGAAAAGCTACAAATAGTTAGAAGTACTACTTACTGGAGTTACAACCGCAACCACTATTTCCCCACTTGTTGCCGCTGGGATATTTGATTCTCTCGGATCCCAGGTACCTGGTAAGAGAATAAATAAGAGGAGAAAAGTAAGGATTGAGTCTAAGAACCAAATTTATGGCCGCAGCTGATAAGAGAACAAGAAAGCTATGCTCAAATAAATGGACACGTACCACCACATAATTTTGATGACATCATAGTAAAAAATAAAAGTAGCCTTCTGGAGAAAAATTCCATCTTCAACTTCTAAAAATTTCAAAGCAATTGGTCCAGTAATCAAAGAGAAAAGCGATTTCTTCAAAACGATACAAAGAACAAGAACAACATAATAACAAAACGATCGTTATGTCCACTACGTGTCCAACAAGTAATGATAGAATCATTAAAACAGTCTCAAGATGATTACTTAATAGAAAAGTGAATAAGAGTAGAAAAATTAGGACCGAGTTTTCAACACTGGTTCCCAACCAGTTGGCATGGACGCATTTTTCAGATGGGCGGCATGTCTAAAAAAATTGCTATGGTTTTTTGAAAAATTCAGTTTCATTTGTGTATTCTTGTAGTTTTTACCTTGCATGAAAAATTGAATGGGCCAATGAACTTTTAGGCAACGAAGGAACAAAGGTTGATAACCACAGGTCTGGAACAAAATTTATGGCTGCACTGATTGAAATGTCACACGTAACTGTAGTGGCAACACATCTTAGGTCCAAATCTGAAGTGCTAGACCTAACTTGATTGGGTGCTCCCGAAGTATGGTACACATACTACGTTCCAGTGTCTGCCATTTTGGTTCACATATTACATGAGTACCCTTAATTGACATCGCAGCTCACAAATTCAAATTCCCGGGCAAATAAATTAACTGCCGGGAGAGCACTCCCGAAGTATTGGTGCACAACCTGAACCCTAACCTGATACACATACTATGTTCAGGTCGTGCGTCATCTTGGTGCACATACTACGGGAGGTCCAAACTGAGATCACGTAACAGAATCTTCGAAAAGGTTCAAAATTATGAGAATCTAGAGCAGTCGTTTCTCTATTCGTCCATTTTAGATCTCCTCATCACTATTTACCACTAACTACTCTATATATTATATAAGTAATTGGGTGCTCCCGAAGTATGCGAACCAAGATGGCGGACATCGGAACGTAACATGGGTAACAGGTGAGGGTTAGGCGATAATTTTTTTCCAATTTTCCTTATTTTAGTCCTATTATCAGTTCGAAGACTAGCCAAGAGCCTCCCGTAGTATTTATACCTAAAATTATGGCCTAACCCTAACCTAGTACACATATTACAATCCGATGTCCGCCATCTTGGTTCGCATACTTCGGGAGCCCCAGTAATTGTTTACATGAAGAAGTATCTCAAAAATAATACCCATCAGACAGAGTAATATTACCAAACAAGGACCCTCTCCTAGTTATAAAAACCCAGGGTTTTTGGGGTTTCCAGAGCCTTTCCTTGACCCTAGCCACAATTCCAAATAAGGTAGGAATACATGAAAGTAACAGCCATTCTAGGGGTATACCCCAAACCTATCCAACTATGTTAACGATACTTATAAATAACAGCGATATTGCCACAGAAAATATTAGCAAGACTGCGCCATACACAAAAAAATAAGGTGTTGAGGAGCATTGCAGAGCCTGGGCTGAACCATGCCAATGTTCAGAGTTTGTCTGCACAACACTTAAGAATATAAACAAGACAGCGATCAGGGACCGCGACTTATCGATTTAGCGGTGTGTATCCTTTGCTCGGACTCAATAGCGACACCGTGTGTCCCCTCATTATTTAATTAATAACTCGCTAATGATACAACATATTTCATCCAAAATCAATAGGCTTCTGGTCCGAGGTATGATGAATGCACATGCAAAGTTTGGAGCAGATTCAACCTCGCTTTCATGAGATATCGCGTAACATACAAAAGTGAAACAGACAGATCTCAATCGGTCAGTATGTTGATAAGGGACTAGATTGCCTCAGACTATGTTTCTGTGGGTTGTGCATCTTTCTTCACAAATTAATAGGAGTGGTGCACAAATCATCATTGGCAATGTGTTATTAAACTTGCATTTATATGTAGAATAAAATTTAAGCTACCATTTATGGTGATTCAAATAAAAATTTATAACCAAAAAACTTAGCTCCCAGACACCATTTCCTTGAACAGTACGACATTTGAACTTACCAATAGGTGTCGATGTCCATGAATTATCCTCGTTGTTTTTCTTGACTTCAGCCGGTTGCTTAATAGTTCCGCTTGATCCGCCAAGAGGACTCCCTGAAATAAGAAAAAATACTAGCATGTACGAGTCTTCACTGGCACGATGTTACTTATTTTTTCAACAGTGAAAATCTTTTAGTCCAACATTACCCCCCCTATTTACTGTGGGAATAACCCAGCAATCCTTTCACAAACAATCATTTTCATACAGCGTAGCGGCAAATCAGAAACAGACGCCATGCTTGGCAAATAGCCATGGAAAATAAAAATATAGCGACATTTTAGTTGAAATATCAGAAATGAGTAAGAAAAAATTTAGGAAATAAAAATAGGTGATAGCCTAATAATAAAAATTGAAACAATTGGTCAATTTGTGAATAAGAAAATCAATTACTTATAACAAGAAGAAAACGAGAATATCGGTCAGAGACCGAAGACTTATCGATCGAAAGTTAGGGGATCCCCCAAAACAGCGCTCTTACTCCATAATGACACCTTGTGTCCCATCACTAATTAATTAATAATTCGCTAATTATATGACAAAATTCATCCAAAATCAATAGGCTTCTGGTCCGAGATATGATGAATGGACATGCAAAATTTGGAGCAGATGCAACCTCGCTTTCGTGAGATATCGCGTGCATCTAACAGACAGACAAATCAACATACTTACCGATTAAAATCGATAAGTAATAACAACATCAGCTCTTACCTGGTGTTTTATTGAACAATCTTTGTCGTTGCTGCTTTTGTTGCTCAATTTTAGCTCTACGAACTAGCTCTTGCAGTTTTTCCTCCTAAAAGTAATTCAGTTTTATAAATTAACTCAAAGTCGAGAAATCTCAATTAGGATTGGAAATACTACAAATTTTAAGAGTTATAAAGTTATGATCAGGGGTGTAAAAAAATAACATTTTTCGGGGCTCCCGAAGTCTGCGAACCAAGATGGCGGACATCGGAATGTAATATGTGTACTAGGTTAGGGTTAGGCCATAATTTTAGGTATAAATACTACGGGAGGCTCTTGGCTAGTCTTCGAACTGATAATAGGACTAAAATAAGGAAAATCGGAAAAAAATTTTCGCCTGACCATAACCTGTTACCCATGTCCGCCATCTTGGTTCGCATACTTCGGGAGCCCCGAAAAATGTTATTTTTTTTACAGAAAAAAATAAGGTCCCCCCACCTCCTCCTTTTTCCTTATTTGTTCTCTTTTTCTTAATTCTCGTTTCGACAGCACAGGGGTGAATCCTTCCTCGTCAACAAAATCTGGAGAAGCGTTCGTTTGATTCTGATCCATTTGAAGTGAAATTAAACTCTCAATGTCAAGGATTTCTTGGTCTCTGAATGAGAAATTAGATAGAAAGAAGGTTATTTTAGGACTATGGCACAGGAGAAAATTTACAACTGGCTTAACCCTCTCCGTGCGCTGGGCATGTATACGTACCAACGACAAAAGTCGCTAGATTGCGGCGGGTACGTTGATGTACTCCACTGTTTTATTTAGCAATCAGTCGCAAACTGTTGGTCTAGTTTTTCCGGGTTTTAGTTTATTCATAAGAAGTCTTCTTCGAGATTAACATAAGCGACGATAAATCTCGCTTTCGTTTACAACGGGAATGGCACTAACTGTGGCACAGGAGAAAATTTACAACTGGCTTAAGAGTTGTGGAAAATTTTGATCAGCCATCAAGCTTCAGCTCCCACAAAATCAAATTTTAAAAACAAAAACGTTACCATGAGCAAAGCATACTTTACCAGACTGCTAGAAATCAAATCTTTTTTTTTGAGTCTTAATAAGAAGTTATGACTTATTTTAGCTGCTCTTCCCAAAGTATGTGCACAAAGATGGCGCACAACCTGGTACACATACTACGTTCAGGTTGTGCGCCATCTTGGTGCACATATTTCTAGAAGTCCATTTTATCAAGCTCATAAGTTACATTGATTAGGTCGGCTTTTTCCGAGATAAGTATATAAATACACGATTAAACTTTTCTATCAGCTTTCTTTTCCTGGGGATAATATGAGAAATCTTTTAAATTAAATTTAATTAAAGTTAGCTACCTCCCTTTTGTTTACAGCCTAGTTCAGAGTGACTTCCGCAAACAAATAAAAACAATGAAGCGTTAACACTAACCTGTGTGAGACGTCAGGCAGATCATCAACATTCACAACACTTGCGTAATTATGCAGATCGTATAACTTGAATAATTCCTGAAATAAACAAACAAAGATTAATTTCAAGGTCATAAAAAGTTCAAGGACATTGTTGTGTTTTATGCTTAAAATATTACGCGCAAAAGCATAGATAACGGATAAGCAGTTGGTTCCCCAATTAATCTATGTTGCCACATTTACGTGATATACTCAGAGTCTGCTACTATAATCACTTCATTTCATTTGTCCCTATCTATTCGTCATCATTGTATATCACAGTGAAATGTGGCAACAAGCACATGGATTAACCAGTGCAAAGGTCAAGGTCAAGGTCAAGTTAAAACTCTCAAGGTCATCCTCCAACAACACCTCCCAAAGTCATTTGGAATATGAAGGTCAAACAACAGCATGTTCAAAAACTTCATAACCCAAAATTTTCAATTTCAAGATCCAGATTTCTAAGGTCATTCGACAATTTCAAGGTCAAAGAACCTCACAACTTTATAGACCATTCTAGATGTAATTCCAAGGTCATTTATCAATATTAGGGTCATCGAGATACTACTGGGAGCCACTTTCCAAGGTCATTCAAATTAAAGGTTAAACAATGTCTCCAATGAATTCCCCCTGTTATTTCAAGGTCATTTGCCAATTTCAAAGTCACTAAGGACATTGGAAATCCTTTCAAGTCCTCAGGTCAAACATGAACACATTTCAAGGTCATTCAAAATATGAAGGTCACAAATACCTCGTGTTGTTTTGATTTCTTATTCGTTTTACTTGCAGCATCATCAGGATTCTTCGCTGAGGCATCACGTATCGCTTCATCGATTGCTTCCTGATGCGTGTAATCAACAGAATGAAGAGAGTAAACCTAGAAAATATCGAAAGTCAAGTTATGGACATCACATAGTCGAAATCTGCCATGAATAAACTTTCTCAGAGGACTACAGTGATGGACTACATGAAATCGACTACATCATGGTTGCATTCCTGATCATATTAGCGAATCGGCACTTTCTGTCGCATTATTTATCCACCATCATAGCGGAATAATAATTTGAAGCATATGCGAGTCGTTTTGCACATTATAATCAGATGCGTATACATGTGAGGAATTGCAGAATTTATTTTAGCCATTTTAGTTATTTTCATTGATATTTTCAACAGAAATTTATATCCTTAAAAACTATAGTCTTAATTTCAGCATGCGCAAGTGGGCCAAATCCAGCCTGCGGGCCATAATTTGCCCACCTCTGCATTAACTCATTTTTTCCTCGTGGCCGTTTGTAACTTTGCTCAAAGATGGATCTTCTCAACTAATGAGAGAGTGCGTAACAACCTACTTTGAGCAAAAACTTTGAAAAAAAATCTATATACCTGAGCATTCCCACTGACAAAGCCTCCCTGATCGTTTCTATTCTTGTTTCCTCTATCACCTTGATTTCCTTCTGAATAAGAGAAGTTATTGTTTAAGATAGCTTCCGTTAAAGATTTTGGGTCTAGCAAAGTGAACGACGTGACTCCTAATGGCAGATGGATGTTCTCACAGTACGACAAATAAGTTTGTTATTATTTGAAGACTTCCTGAAATAACAACTAAAACAGGTACGCATCATAAGTGATGCAAGAGTCCAGCTGCACACTAACACAAGTATATTTCTGTAACATTTCGTCTGACCAAGGTCAGACTTCCTCAGACATATCTCACAAAACGTTACAGAAATATATTTGTGTTATTGTGCAGCAAGACTCTTGAATCACTTAGGATAGTTATCTTTATTCTTGCTCCAGCATCCTTGCATTATATGCATACGAATCCGCCAGCACAAAAGCATAGAAGAAGACTAAGTAGTTAGTCTCGCAGAAACCAAATCATCAGCACAAAATAGATACTGGTCCATAATGACAGAAGATCAAAAGTCTATAATAGAAAAATGTAACATAGGCAAATTTCGATTCACTACAACGACATAGAGCAATTTTTTTTTCTCTTCAAAAAACATTAAACAACCCCTTACCCCCTCTTCCTCTCCCTCGTCCATGTCTATCCTGATAGCCCCCTCTTGTGGTTGGAGGCTTGTTATCTCGGTTTCGTGAGTTTGACTCCGGTTCCAAAGGATCATTCATGTCCTAAAAATTTAATAAAGCATTAGCAGGGGCAAAGCCAGAATTTTCAAAGCGGGGAGGAGAAGCTGAAAATTTGAATTGCAAAGTTATTGAAAATCTAGCGCAGGGGTTCCCAAACCAAGGGTCGCGACCCCAAATTGGGTCGGAGTGATAATTAGGTAGGGTCGCAAACAGGTCATGGGGTCGGTGGGGTCGCTGAGGTATGTCAGAGGATGGATGTACAAAACATCTAAGATTTGACAAACCATGTTAAATTTGGCCGTTTGTACCATGACATACTGTAAAACAGGTCCATAGGCATTGCTCTATGTTTATGCTATACATAGAGAATGTAGGTGCTTATTGTGACATCATTGTTTAGTTTTAGCTTATTTTACTTAATACAACCACATGACTAAACTCAAAAGTTCAGTGAAAGAAGCTCTAGTTTCATGAAAAATATATATATTGATCTGGGGTCGCACTGGACACTTGAAAGAGCTGAGCTTCAACCGCTGAGCATTAATGGTTAAAAATAGTTTCTTATTCTTTATGAGAATATTCAAGGGATACAAAGTCACACGCACTCGGTCATCTCACAGACAAATACTGAGAACTATCGAAACAGAATTACACATCTGCAAAAATTGATTTAGATCAAGCAGTTCAAAACGACGTCCCCAGAAGTGTGTGCCAATAACACAAGGAAGGTAACTAATTTTGTTCGCCTACTTTACATAAGTTGTGTAAAGGGACTGAAACCTATGGGCAGGGGGTATATTCACTTGACTAACACAGACAGTCCCGAACTCGTAATAGAACTAAAATAAGGAAAATTGGAATAAAATTATGACGTGACCCTACTCATACTTCGAGACTATCTTCAAACAATCAGGAAACAGTTATAACGTAGTGAACCCCACATAACTGTATATTTTGGGGAAAAACTTTTAAACAAAAAATATTTGGAACTGAAAAGTTTGAATTTTTACCTGTTTTGCAACAGTATAACCGTTATTATCGCTGTTATCGGATGCTGTTTCCCATTCCTCGCCACCAACGTCTGATGAATGCATTCCGTCAACACCAGATGGCGCTCCATCAATAGTTCGGGGTGGGAGGGGAGAAGTTGGTGACGGTGTTTCTGATGTCTCGTTACTCCCTTTTTCTAAATAAATTAAAAACCAATATTGAAATGTTTCGGTTCCCATAGACTCCGAATGAGTTTGAAATAATAAAAGTAATGGCATTATAGCAATTTCAACCATCTTAAATGACTAAAAATTTTCAATCGACTAATCACTCAGTTCCCAAACTCTTTATTTGTGCAGCGCCTAATTATCCCGAAAAAAACTCAAAGCGCACTTATACACAAAAACAGCTTTCAAATAAAACTCGCTTTAGTGATCGTAATGGTGTACTTCATGCCTTTTAAAATTTGTAAACATGTAGGCCTAGGTAATCAAATGTCAAAGGTCAACCCTTCTTTTCATCTCTGTCCGATTTTTCTTTAAAATGCTAAAAAAATTACTCATGTTCGCCAAACTCCGTTTAGAAGCACCTTAGTCTTAGCAGTTTCGAAACACTGCTGAATAGTTTGTGTCAACTGTATTGTATTTCTGACAACTAGCATTTTTCCAGATGGCTGAGCATGAACTGTGATGTCACCAGTCACAGATGACTGAGCATGACCTGTGATGTCACCAGTCACAGATGACTGAGAACGACCTGTGATGTTATCTTTTTTGTTATTCCGTGTCTTATGTTGCCACATTTACGTGATATACTCAGAGTCTGCTACTATAATCACTTCATATCATTTGTCCCTATCTATTCGTCATCATTGTATATCACAGTGAAATGTGGCAACAGTTACATGGATTAACCAGTACAAAGGCCAAGGTCAAACTCTCAAGGTCAGGGACAACCTCAAACTCAAGGTCATCCTAATATTTTCAACACCTCTCAAAGTCTTTTGAAATATGTTAAAATACTTGAATATAAATAAAAATTTAAATTTCAAGATCCAGATTTTCAAGGTCATTTGACAATTTCAAGGTCAAAGAAGCCTGATAACCCACACTTTTGTGGAAAATTTGCGGATAGTCCGCATCCGCTAGCTGATACAGTCTAACTTGGCAATTAGATTTTCAGAACCCCCCTTTGAAAATTTTCGGCCAATCCACTGGTACGTATTCAAAAAGTAAAATTGCAAAACAACAATGCCTGGCGCTTTGAGGGTCGAAACCCCCACTATTCAAATGAAAAATAAAAGCATTTTCTGTATCATTCCAATTTTTCGTCGTCTGAAACGCTTTTTAGACCCTCAAAGACTAGCTGTTACTGTATAACTTGGCAATTAGAAACCCCCCCTTGAAAAGTACTGTCCCCGCATCTGACCCAAATAACATGTTCACTATTTCAGTACACTAATTAGGCTAGTAATTGGACGAGAAGTCGTTGGAAAAAATAATAAACAACCTTACCTTGGGTTCCTGGTCCATTAGTTGCATTGCCACCTGTACCAGGCTGTCTTTCGTCTTCTCTAGTCTTCCCGGCAACGGAACTGCCTTCCAAGCGTTTGAATCTGGGGGGCCGGCTGGAAAAATGATTATGTTGCTGATTACTAAGCGGTCTAGAACAATCATTTACGACCACTGAAATATAAGAATTTATAACTGATATAGGCAAGGCATAGATACATGACTGACTAGGTTTCGCGGGCCAGGTTCGGCCCGTTGGGTAATTCAACCTGGCTCTCCTGATGCTGCCACAACCAAACTAAAAACAAATTTTGATGTTTTAGCTAAAAAATAACTCAACGAATTTACTGAGATTTGGATTAAATTTAGTTTTGGTACTAGGTTTTTTACGTCACACTCACATGGCCCGCCAGTCTGAGCGGGCAAAATTTTTGGCCCCCGGTTTGAATACCTTTCCAACCTTGATCTACAACCTTTATTGCTCGTTCTAACACCTAGGGATGTCTGAACGAATCGAATTTTCAAATTCATTCAAAATTCATCCTATAATACATTTTTAAATTTAGGAATAATTTAGAATATTTTGGTTCAAAAGTGATTTCGAGCAGTCAGACAAGCAGACAAAAACAGACGATATCTCAACTGGTAGGAAACAACACGACCCACTAGGTGAAGGCTTGGCCACTAGGACGAAAGAAACTAGTATTAGTGTGAAATCTAAAATCTTCCTGATTCAGTACAAATATAGTTACACTGGGTATGAGAGCATGATCATACTCTGTAACCAACAACATCTAGTACACAAATATATTCAAGCATAAAAATAAGGATATATTTGAAGGATTTTTTTATTGCCGTTCTGAGCAAAGCTTTAGGCAAGTATGCTTTGATTTTGGAAGAACTATTAAATATTTGCAAGCACCGAAATCTTTAAAGATTCAACATTACCTATACAGACCATTACTGTCTTTGCATGTTTTTGATGGTTTTTTACAGTTTTTGCAAGGCATGATCATAAAACTTGACCCGACATTTGCAACTAACAAGTAAATACAAAAACAACTTCCAACCTGTCTTGCTTTGGTCTTGTTGATTTCTTTCTTCTATCGTTTGAAAGAAACTCTCTACTGCCTCCTCCCCGTGATGGACCACCTCCGCGAGGCGGTCGACTGCTACCATTACTTGGAGGTCCTTTCGGTTCACGCTCAATGGAGGTATACATGGAATGTTGAGAACTGTATGGAAGAGATATTGTTATGTTATTGTTGTTGTTGGCTTTCTTGTTAGTATTTTTCCTCTTATTGTTATGAAAAAAAATCACTTTTCTCATTGCCTACTGGCAGGGATGGCCAATACCGAATAGTTCACTATTTCGAATACATTCGAAATTATTTTTTTCGAATATGAAATTTCGAATACTTCGAAAATAAAATCCACTAATTGAAGCTTATCTAAATGTATGTAGGAATTTCCATACAATAAGCAATGGAATAACTGCTATCTAGAAGTTACAACCTAGCTTTATTACCAGGCATTTCATATTCCAGTATATATTTTATATACCATAAGTTATGTTAACAGAATTAAATTAATACGGCAATAGTGGTATCGGTGATGGATTTGAATATTTGCGCAACACAAAATCATTCTAGTGAAACGCCCATACTCTTAATTAAACACCAACCATTATCCAAATTATTTGCCGATAAGCGGGATAAAGTATGAGTTATTTTGGTTATTGTGAGTACAAAAATGCGAATCAAAAATTAATTATATTCGGGAACTATACCACACATTTTAAGTCCGCAGATCGCCGTTGTATGTTTGAGTAATAATACTTTTATTATTTTATAAATATGAAAATAGGAATCAAAAACTATTTATAATCGGGTAGTTTATCACACATTCCAAGTTCACAGATCGCCGTTGTATTTTGTAAATACGAAAATAGGAATCAAAAATTAATATTAATCGCGAGTTTGCCACACAATTTATATCCACAGATTGCCATGATATTGTGCCGAATATAATTAGTTTTTAATTCTTATTTTCGTACTCACGAAAAAATAGTCACACGTTGGAAAATAATTTATACTTTATCCCGCATTTTGAGAACTAATTTGGATAATGGTTGCCATTGGTTTGTATTTAAAAGTATGGACTTTTTACTAGGATGATTTTGTGCTGCGCAAAATATTCGAATCCATGACCGATACCTCTATTTGAAATGCCTTACCGTGTTAATTTAATTCTATTATCATAACTCAAATGTTGGTAAATCGGGCAGTTTACCACACATTTTAAGGCCACAGATCGCCGTTGCATTTTAGAAATATAGTTTAATTATTTTGTAAATACGAATCAGAATTTAATTCTAATTGGGCAGTTTACTACATATTTCATGACCACAAATACCCGTGGTATTTGGTATTAATACTTTCATTATTTTATCAATATGAAAATAGGAATCAATATTTTATAATATCGGTCAGTTCACCACACATTTTATGTCCACAGATTGTCGATACAACCATGAGTTACGTTGAACAGAATTAAATTAATACAGCATGGCATTTTAATAAATGCTGTTACCAGTCATGGATTGGATTATTTTGCGCAACAAAAATCATCTTGGTAAAGGATCGATACTTTTAACTATCGTTATCAAAATTATTTGCCAGAAATTATTTTCTAATAAATCGACTTTTTCCCCAACTTGTGACAATTTATTTGATACGTAACAATTACGGCTATAAATACCGTATTTCCCGGCTAATAAGTCCACATGGCAAATAGGACGATGTCTATTTTTAGCACTCAAAGGGGTTTTTCCATATAGGCCTCCAATAAGACGGGTAAAAAAATTGTGTCCCTGTTGTTCAGTTATGCTAATATGCGCTAATAATTTTATATGTTTAGAACCAGATCATTTAACTATATTTAACAATTGAGCGGTAAATTTAAGTTGTAAAGCGGCAATCATTTTGGACAACCTATTAACCCGAATGTTGAAATAATTTTGAAATGTGATAAGTACTACACTGTACGTCCACGGGTTATTTCACAGCTGTGTTTTCCTGTCCCTGTCGTGTTCTGCTGAATCGGCAAAACGAAAGGGTCACAAATCACTTTATCTCGGTGGCAGTGTTTCTCTTTAAAGTAACGATAACCGGCCTGCGATTAAATATCATGATTGGCAGGCCCTAAGACCCAAATATAAGGTTACACAAATCATGTTTGAGAAGACTCATGCGAATAAAAAGCAGGCCACATCGAAATAAAATAAACATACTTTCTCAATTAGAAGCCCCCACCCCGCCTAGAAAAGCGACTCATTAGACGAATTTTTGACGTAATGGAAATGAATTTGTAAATTAAAAGCCTTGTAGACGAATGTCGGCAATGTCCACCCGCGCAAACGTGCAAATATGTCGCAACACTATGCGACGTACCGTCGCACAGAATATAAACAATCAAAATGCCGATTCTATTTCATCGTCATTAAAATACGTGAGACAGCGTAAAAAGTCGTTTGAATATTCCCGTAAAACGAAACACCACGTTTACGGCGAAAAGTGGCTACTATTCGGAATTATTCGAAAATTAGCCGAAAAGGTATTCGAATACTTTGATATTCGAATACATTCGAATATTCGATTCGTTTTGGACAACCCTGCCTACTGGACTAAAATTTTTAGAGGTTAAAGGTTGCAGCTTTCGCTAAAAGACTATTTATTTTAAAAAATTTGTGGGCTACGTGGGATTAATATTTTGTCTGCGATGACGTCATCAAAAATTGCGCACCTTGTGGTAGTTCCGCTTTCAATTTAATCGCCAAGATTGCCGTACCGGTAGTCTACTGTGATAGATTGCATACTCGTACTAATTTTCAGTTCGGCCTGGTGTCAATATATTTGAGATACGCTCTCATATTTTATACAAGTGCCAGTACTTTCTACGAGGCTACTAACTTTATAAGACATTAGAAGTCGCAAGCCAGAGGCGTCAAAATTTCACTTCTTTAACCATCATTACAGGCTTGGCCCAATAAACTGATAGTTCAATAGTTTTCCATGAAATTTATGTTTTTGTTTACAGTAATCATCACTGTTATGTCATAATTTCATTGCATGCATCATTGGTCACTAGTATAAATACAGATCATTCAGCTGTAAAAGGACACCCTGTCCTTGAAGATATGTTAATCATGTGCTCTGTCTGGTTGTGTTATTTACTTTTAACTTCAGAATAAACTTTCAACCGACTTATCAGAAACATGTAAAATTCAGATTCCACAACCCTGTTTTGATAAAAAGCCCTGGATTTTCATTCCCACCAGGGTCTAATGCAATTTCAACTTGGTGATCTTTTAGGGCAGGGGGTGCACAACACGAGGCACGCTTGCCAAATTTGGCACGCCTTACGCTCAAACGTGGCACGCGAACGGTTTTGTAAAAAAAAATATTTATGATATACATTAAAATATCACGTTTATATCAAAATCAGCAGTATTTCAGGACATTAAATTGTTTCAATAAATAGATATTCGTTATTATGTATTGTTATTGCAATTTGTTTGTTTTACGGGAGTTAATTTACAATACCACAATTGTGCGTGGCACGCGACAAGATTATTTTGAAAAATTTGGCACGTATCCTCATTTGAGGGGTGTACCCCTGTTTTAGGGGGGTTGCAGACTATAGTCACTTTTTACTCCCTATCATAGTCTTGGTTTTTTTTTACCCCACGACCACGGTGTTACTGTTCTGCTTTATTCATTTCAAGCACTGCATTCTTTCACTTTCGTTTTGCTTCATTTATCATGTTCGCTCAGGCGTAAATAATTTTCTATTGTGGTTGTTTTCTGTTTTTACTGTTTGGGCAGCATGCTCATTATTAGTGTGTGGTTTTGTTAATCTGTATGAATCGATGTATTGACTTTGAACTGAGTTGTATTGTCAACTTTACACACGGATTAAACTAATCTTATTTACTCTTCACATTCATTCCTTCTTTTATAAAAATAACACACTTACGCATTTTCATTATTCAACTGTTGAGACAACGGCCGTGGTATGGAGGGGCAGATCTTGCATCTTTTTTACTTAATTTATTTCCTCATGATCATTTTAGCGGAGTCGCAGACTAGAGTTACTTTTTTTACCCCCATCCGAGTCTTGGTTTTTTAGCATCAAGAACCAAGATTTCAATTAATCTCACTTACTCTCGGCATTTAATACTTTAAAAAAAATAACTTCACTCACCCATTTTCATTATTCAATCTTTGGCCACGACCTGGGTATGGGGGAGCAGATCTTGCACCCCCTCGGGTTGAAATTCCTCTCCCACGCCCTCTTGTGGATGAACTGGCAAACCCTCTCCCACGCCCTCGTCTAGAAGGTTCTCCTCGAGCAGAGAATGGTATTGAGCTGCCACGCCCCCTTGTATTGATTGGTCGGTCTCTAGGTGGGCGTGTGGAATCTTGACGGTCACCATGGTTACTAACGCCATTTGCTCGATTTTCGTGTTATCTTGGGCTGGATTTTCCTGAACATTAAAAATAAATTTAGCTAAATTGCAAAAGTTATTGATAAATTGTTTACTTTGTGTCACTATGGTTGAATTTTGATTGTAGTGGCAATGAATGACGATGCTGTTTTTTGATACTGCTAGAGGCATTAGGTCAGGGGTCGGAAAACTACGGCTCGTGGGCCAGATTCGGCCCGCGGAACAATATAATCTGGCCCGCAACGCTTCACTGAATTATATTAACAAAACAACTGTATCAACGATTATATTCTTTACGTAACAGAATTTGTTTTGAGACACCAAATTATATTATCATCTAACGAGTATATAATTCACAATCACTCGTTTAATGAGCCTATAAATTGATTATGATCAGACAAATGGCAACAGAACGTAAAAAAAGTTGATGCTGAGTGTAAATGGTTTAATGGCACAGAAAATATTCAAATGATCAGTCTTCGCGTGTTGCTTGAAATTTAACTAACATCTGTGTGAAAAAATGTGATTCATTGGCCATTCCTTCGGTTTGTAACTTTCTAAAAATATTGCGACCCGCCAATGACTTGCCCGCGAACGACAAAAGTTTGCCGACCCCTACATTAGGTAGTTCACTTAATATAGTTGCCAACATGTATCTTCCATTTGCTTAATTTGAATCTTTTAATTTAGCCTTACTATATGTATAAACGAAAACTAAGACCTCGTTTTTTGTTCAATATTTAGTGTCACACGCTACTCGGCTTCAGTAAAGTTTAAATAGTGCACAATGTGTGAACATGTATGTATTACAATTTTACTAAATAAATGAAGAACATGCATCCTCCATTTGCTTAATTTGAATTTTTTTTTATTTCGCCTTAGAGTTAGTCCCCGTTTTATGTTCAATATTTAGTCTCACACGCTACTCGCACTAATGTGTACAGTATTACAATTAGACTAAAGTAATGAAGGATATTTGCGGTACTACACATAAATACGAGATAAAATCTCTCTCCTATAAATAAAAGTTTGGAAATGTTGTTTTAACTGAAGGCAGCTTTCCCCACTATCAAATTCATGTATCTGTAACGAATAATTGGTCAACGATCCCACACTGAGGACACTAAGGCGAAGCCGAGTTTGGAATATCTTCATTGGGAGTTGTAGCCCTATTTTCAAACTTGGAAATATTCGAACGAGATGGCAATCGGAGACCGCCGACTTATCGATCTAGCGTCGTGTATCCCTCGCTCTGACTCAATAGCGACACCGCGTGTCCCATCACTAATTTATTAATACCTCGCTAATTATACGACACAATTCATCCAAAATAAATAGGCTTCTGCTTCGAAATATGATGATTGCACATGCAAAATTTGGAGCAGATTCAACCTAGCTTTCGTGAGATATCGCGCAAAACACGAAAGTAAAACAAACAGACAAACAAATACCTATCAACATACTTACCAATCGAGATCTATAAGTAATGATCAAATAGGTTGGTTCATAATGAGCAAAAAATTAAAAAATCTCACTTTAGCGTTGGAGTCATTTTTCGGTTTATTGGATGATTGTACGCCAGGCTCCTCATCTTCTGAGTAGCTTTCATCAGAATCTGTGTATTCCTCCGAGTGTTCCCCTATCTCACGCTTCCGGGTAGATATAGGCTGAGAAAATTATTAATTGTTTAGTCAGTTGGTCGGCAACCTTTTTTAGGTGACGAACCGGTAAAGCCTGACAAAAATTTTGGCGGACCACCTTTATACAAACTAACTAATCTAATTAATTATATGAATTAGACAATTTTGGTTGACAATACATTCAAAAACAAAGGTGATACTATTCACGTGACATGTTTTTATTACGTTCACCCTACTTAGATATTTCGCTTTTATAGTTTTAGTAGTCAATTTTGAAAACCCAACCTCGCATAAAGGTAACAATGCTATTGCATTGTATCTTTTTTATGTCACCTTTCTGCGGACCGGTAGTAACCTATCCGCGGACCGGCGATGGGCCGCGGCCCGGTGGTTCCGACCACTGCATTAGATCATAGTTTAACTTCTTCAGACAAAACAAGATATAACTTAGTAAGTATAACTTAGTGACTTGACAATATATTCAAAACAAAGGTGATGCTATTTATTGCGAAATCTGCATTTGTTTGCTGGCCATTAATTGTTCCCAATTTGAAGACATGGTCGACAGTGATACACGTTACGTGTTTCTTACGTTCAGCCTACTTCGGTATTTGCGTTGTGTTTGTTTGGTTTGTGCTATTAAAGCTTCGTCCGTTTTAGGCCACCTTTCTGCGGAACGGTTGTAATCTTTCCGCTGACCGTCCATGGGCCGCGGCCCGGTGGTTGGCGACCACTGGTTTAGTCAATTTACTTTAAGTAATTACCATTGCTTCTTGTGGCAAAAAAGTTTCGGCACCCTCAAAAACACCAGTCTAGAACAAATTATTTCGACTAACGAGAAGTCACTGTAATGGTGAAGACCAGTGACCCCTAGCCTATAGGTCACGACCGGCAATTGGGTCGCCGTAAAATCTTCGTGGGTTTCTTATATTTCAACCAAAACCTGCGTAAATCTTGATTTTAACATATACAGTAATTAACATACCCAAAGTAACCATAAGTTACACTAACAGAACTGTGCACGCGACCATAGAGAGCACATGGCCACTTCACCTTGACAGCTGGTTGGTCATGATCAGTCATATGGGCTGATGACATCACCTGTCATGTTTAACCATCTAGGAAAATGATAGTTGCCAGAAATACAATACAGTTAACACTACAAACCTCAAATTCATCTGAAACATACAACTCAGAGTCGGTTGTTTCTCCGTCTACATGGTCATCCCGCTGTGAAAAAATATTATGTCACACTTAATGTGATTGCAGATTTGAGTTTTAATATTCGGGTCTTGGGGGGCATAGTCTAGAATTTAAAGGGGGTTCTGTATAAGCTGGCTAAAGGCCGGTAAATGTGGGTTATCAAGAGCCAAAGTGTTTCGAGCAACAGAAAATTGCTATGTATGAAACATGGTTCCACTCGCAAATCAAGTCAGAAAGATTTCTGACAGTTGTGATGTTGCAATGACCGCTTTGCAATGTCACGTTATGTCAGGATTAAGTAAAATAAATAAAAAGATGGTTAGTTTCACTTCTAATACAGAAGTGTCAAAATTTTTTTAAAGTTTTTGAAGTTGTATAAGATGCGTAATGCAGTTTTGTAGTTCAATACAAAAGAAATACCAGACACTCATTATTAAATTTTCGAATCTTACTATTGCATGCAACCAATTTTTAGATTAAAGTTCTACACTAACCTGGTATTTTGAACTTTTGTATGGAGCTGTCCTGGGCCGATGATCATGGCCTCCTCTGGGGGGTGCAGTTCTTGAAAAAAAAAAGGATAGAAGTTAGCTTCATGAAAAGAAATATTAAAAATCGCATGTCAGGGTGAAAGGAGACTTAAAAACCAATACTGGTCATCAAGTAGCGGCGGCGCTCCCAAAGAATGTGCACCAAGATGGCACCCTAACCTGGTACACATACTAAGTTCAGGTTGTGCGTCATCTTGGTGCACATACTTCTGGAGGTCCGGCAACCATTGGGAAAGTCTAACACAGTGGTTCCAACATTTTATAGCTTGTGGCCCCTTTCAGAAGGGTTTTAGCACTCATGCCCTGTTTATCATTCTAATGGTATTTATAGTGTTATTTTGATTGGTAGATTCCAATTCTCATTATGTTCAAACAATTCATGCTCAACAAAGAGAAAACATTCTGTGAAATATCCTTAGCAAGTAATGAAACTAGGAAGAATGGATAGTTTTTTGGTGAAGTGGAAACTAACATTCGTATTGCGCCTAGCATTGTGACCCACACACAACTCCCGGGTCCCTGGTTGGGAACCACTGTGTAACAGAACATGATAAATAGAATGAAGTCGAACTAAAAATGTTATTTAAAAAAAACAATAGGTACATCAAGATGACCTGGTATATGCCGAATAGTCACCCTTTAGGTTGACTCCAAGCACCACAGCGCCATTTTAAGATGAAACTTACATTGTTGACTCCAAGCACCACAGCGCCATTTTAGGATGAAACTTACATTGTTGACTCCAAGCACCACCGCACCATTTTAGGATGAAACTTACATTGTTGACTCCAAGCACTACAGCACCATTTTAGGATGAAACTTACATTGTTGACTCCAAGCACCACAGCGCCATTTTAGGATGAAACTTACATTGTCGACTCCAAGCACAACAGTGCGATTTTAAGATGAAACTTACATGAAAGTATTCATAAACAAACATACCTGAATCCTCTCCTTGCACCACGTGTTCCTCGCCCACGAGTACTGACAGACGCTCCTCTTTCGTAATGAGAATGACCGCCTCTGATTGGAGCGCCTCGGCTGTAACTTCCACCTCCTCGAGATCTAGAAAAATTGAAAAACGTTTTTGCATGTTTTTGCAAGATTTTTGCACGGCTTTCACTGTTTTTGGTGGTTTTAGGTTGACTTTAAGCTAATATTCGGCAAAGTATTCAAACGAGAATATCGGTCAGAGACCGAAGACTCATCAATCGAAAGTTAGGGGACCCCCCAAAACAGCGCTCTTACTCCATAGTGACACCTTGTGTCCATCACTAATTAATTAATAACACGCTAATTATACGACATAATTCATCCAAAATCAATAGGCTTCTGGTCCGAGATATGATGAATGCACATGCAAAATCTGGAGCAGGTTCAATCTCGCTTTCATGAGATATCGCGTTCATCTAACAGACAAACAGACAAATACCTATCAACATACTTACCGATCTAAAGATCGATAAGTAATAAAAAGTTAGAAGTTTAAAAATCAAAACTACATGTCTTTCTCATCTTCTCAAAACAGCTTTTTCAGGTTTTGTCTTTATTTCGTTATTGTAAGATTGAAATAAGGCTTGATCTTTTTACGAATTTATCAATGAAATGTACGTTTATTTACAATAATTAGTGAATTAAAAATATGTAAGAATTCGTAAAAAACATGGCGAGTCACGGTTTGCGATCCGCCATCCCTGGTTGAGAGGTTTAAAATAATCATGAACTTATTACCGGTATATCAAACGCCACATTGCGGTTATCCCGTTAATTTCATGTGGTTAACCGGTAAATTTCACCCTGTTATAGTCTGATGACCTCCCACATCCACTACATACCTTCCGCAGCCTCTACCACGACCAGTGCCACGTTCATCATAGTAACGTTCTGTGTATCGATCTGACCTTGGTGGTCGCGAACTTTGACCTCTCCTTGAACTGTTCTTTTCTCGATAATACGAGTCTTGACGAGATGAAACTGGTCGCCGGCCTGAAATTTAGGATAAAAATTTAAATTTTTGGAATAAGAAAAGAAGAAATATTCAATTAGGATTGTTTTAAATTCTCCATTTTTAGAATAATTTTGTTAGATTGACTAATATCACACAGAGAATAGTAGATGGATCCTCGGCGCTCCCGAAGTATGTGCACCAAGATGGCGCACAACCTGAACCCCGACCTGGTTCACATACTATGTTCAGGTTGTGCGCCATCTTGGTACACATACTTCTGGAGGTCCAGATCTTGTGGATTGTGGTACAGCTGCAATCCTCAGGGCAAGCAGTTACTAATCATTGAAATGTGAAATACTGTATATCCTGCATATATAAACGAGAATATCGGTTGGAAACTGAAGACTTATCGATCGATAGTTAGGGGATCCCCCAAAACAGAAACTGCAGTTTCGATTCATCCGCTCTTGTAACTTGCGCACTGCGCATCGCACACACACACTCGGCGGGTTTCAAAATTCTCTTGCTTTACAAAAATCTAGATCACTATATCAATAATTGATTGATAACTCGCTAATTATACGACATAATTCGCCCAAAATCAATAGGCTTCTGGTCCGAGATAAGATGAATGCACATGTAAAATCTGGAGCAGATTCAATCTCGCTTTCGTGAGATATCGCGTGCATCTAACAGACACATACACAGACAGACAGACATACAGACAAATACCTATCAATATACTTACCGATCTTAAGATCGATAAGTAATAAGCTAAGTTTAGATTTCAAAAAAAAAGTTGCTGAACGAAGGGGTCAGCTGATACTCGCATACCACTGATCTCACTGAAAATTTGGCTTATATTCGATTCCAGGAGAGCAACAGAACAGTTGGGTAAGGGCACAATGCTAGACACAAAACTCATTATACTTTACATTTACAATAAATCTCCCCATTTCTCCTAGTTTCATTGCTTGATAATGTTATTTGGTACTCCTGAAGTATGCGCACCAAGATGTCGCACAACCTGAACCCTAACCTGGTACACAACAGAGTTCAGGTTGTGCGCCATGTTGGTGCGCATACTTCAGGAGGTTCGGTTATTTCACAGAGTGTTTTCACTTTGTTAAGCATGAATTGTTTGAACATAATGGGATTTGAATCCACCAATCGAACTAAACAGGGGGGGGGGCATGAGTGCTAAAGTCTCAAGAAAAGGGACACAAGGCATAAAAGACTGAGAACCACTGCTCTACAGAACTATGGTTGTGCACCAGTATATGGCGTTCTTATTTTATTCATTTTTCTGGTCCTCCCGTAAAATGTGTACCAGGTTAGGGTTAGTCCATAATTTTATTCCAATTTCTATTTACACAGATTGATGTAAAAAAAAGGCGAACAAAATTAGTTTCCTCCATATTGATACACACACCCCTCGAACACCCATATTCCTACATCTCTATCGCAGACAATATACAATAACTCACTTTCAAAATCGCGATTCTTGTTTGCATCTTTCAAATCTTCGTTTTTATCAAAACTTGGTTTTTCTTCAGTTTTCTTAATCTCTGGCTTCCCTTCGACAGCTTTGGGAGCAGTTTCCCTCAACGTTCGTTTTTTGTCATCTTCAGTGGGGGTGTATGTTACAGTTTTTTCGGCTTCAGTCTGGAAAAGTTCAAAAAAACAAAATTATTTTGACAAAAATAGAACAATATGTTCCGCCGCAAAAATGATTACCACCGGCACACGTGGGGATTTTTGAGCTCGAAATTTGTTTTCTCAAAGTCAAAATTTTTCTTAATCCAGAGTTTGCGTCCGAGCATAACTATTTCCCAATCCGAAGCCAATATCGTTGTAAATTTTCTCTCGATTTCACAGCCCTCAACATCTGAAAACAATTAAAAATGTGGCAACAATACCTGCATCTTTTTCTTCCTCTCTTCCCAGACATTGGTGCCTGGAGGTTGGGCTGGTACCGTGGATGGTTTGCTTGGGACGGGAGTTGGTGGCTTCTCTTGGCCTGAAAATTGAAAAAAGGGGTTAGGCGGCATGGAGGAGAAAGTGGATAAGATTGCTCAATTGGTTACTTCTATTCACTCCATCATAGCAAATTTTAGCGCAAGAATATTTTTAATTAATCATTACAAAGAACTGAATATATTCCCTGCAAATATTAAATCCCAGAATCTTTCATCATTTGTTATAGAATAAATTACATAACAGTTAAAGTATTTGAACTCTCAACAACCTAATATCATAGTACTGGTGCAAAAAACTATGACATAAAAACTAGAATTCAGTTGGAAACCGAAGACTTATTGATCGAAGGGTAGGGGATCCACCAAAACAGTGGTCTTACTTCATAGTGACACCTTGTGTCCCATCACTAATTAATTAATAACTCGCTAATTACACGACATAATTCGCCCAAAATCAATAGGCTTCTGGCGAGATAAGATGAATGCACATGCAAAATCTGGAGCAGATTCAATCTCGCTTTCATGAGATATCGCGTGCATCTAACAGACATACAGACAGACAAATACCTATCAACATACTTACTGATTAAAATCGATAAGTAATAAAAAAAAATTCTAGTGCTGATTCTGTATGTTTCAGTAGCTTTTAACATTTCAGTGTTCACTTACAAATTTTTTTCAAGATTACTTTTAACCAAGTGCACATGACGTTGGCTTAACTGAACTTAAATAGGAGAAAAATTGATCAACAAATGAACACTTCGCATCCAATAACTAACCTTTCACGGGATCAGCAGTTGCAGGTTTTGACATCGGTGTCGGGGTGAGTTGTCCTGTCTGTTTCGTTTCGGACTTCTTAGATGGTTCAGTCTGAGACTGCTGGCGTTGTGGAACTGAAGATAAACAAATCAAGTTTGTTAAGAATACTGGCCTGGCGGTTGGAGTGCGAGTGATAGCATTGCCACTGCACCTCTAATTTACAATAGGCCGGTCCATAGGTTCGAATCACATTGGGAATAATTATTATAGGGCTATAGGTACTCCTGTAGTATGTGCTCCAGATTAGGGTTAGGCCATAATTTTAATCCTATTTTCCATATTTTAGTTATATTATGAGTTTTGGGACTGTATGTGTTAGCCAAGTGAATATACCCATAGGTTTCAGTCCCTTTACACAACTTGATGTAAAGTAGGCGAACAAAAATAGTTACCTCCATATTGCTACACTTACTTCTGGAGTGCCCCTACTAGAATTTTATTTCTATGTAACTTAGACACCTTGCTTTGCAAAAAATAATACAGCAACCCCAAACCTGTTTCAAATTTTTTATCTTTATTCTTCTGTTGTTGCCTTTCTCTGACGTCGTAGCGCTGAGTTTCGAATCTTCTTTTATCTCGATTATCTTCTCGTCTCGTGTCACGATTGTCGTCACGGCGGATGTCTCTTGTGTCATCTCGCTTATCACGATTGTCAGGTTTTTCCCTGTCGTCACGACGATCATTTTGTCGAGCTAAAAACCAAAATTTAGAGTCAGTTTTTTCATTATTAATCTTGGGGGGAGGGAAATAAATAACGAAAAAAAAAAAGCAAACTCTTCCATGTGTAGTAAAAAAGACAAATTAGAAAACCGAAGAAATTCGCCCCCCAAATAAGAAAAAATAAAAAAATCCCCCCCCAAAACCAATAACAAACCTCTTCTATCTCTTTTATCCTCATTTCTGGATCTTTGATGCGAGGTTGCAGGTCCAACAATGAAAAAATAGGGGATTACCCCTCCCCGAACTTAACAAAGTAAGGAAGCAACTAAAAAAATAGGAAAATTCCCCTCCCAAAACCAATAACAAACCTTTTCTATCCCCATTTCTGGATCTCTGTCGTGGAGTTGCAAGTTTAACAATGAAAAAATAGGTGCCTCCCCCCCAAAAAAAAAAAAATAATAATAAAGTAACTAGGAAAATGTAAACTCTCCTCCCAAACAAAAATTTGCAAACCTCCTCTATCTCTTTTATCCTCATTCCTAGAGCTCTGACGTGATGTTGCGGTTTCTCTCCTGGACTGATTAGCAGAATCCATGGGGGTAGCAGGTTTGGGTGCGGCTACTGAGTCCGAAGTCTTCTTCTCCCCCTCTGGTTTTGATTCTGCGAATAGAAAGATATGAGATCGCTCAGAGTGGGATTTCAAGTTAGATACAGTGACGTACCGAAGAGGGAGGGGGGGAGTTGTTGTTTGCAACCCCCCTTTTTCGTAAATGAAAATTAAAAAAAAAATTTTCCCCCTTTTGAAAATTTAAAAGAAAAAATTTTTGTAACATATATAGCAATTTTTTGTGGCTTGAAACGCATTTCAGATCCCAAAGTCTCTTGAAAACACAAGTTTCCCGGCATTCAAGCGAACTTACTGGCTGATACAATCTTGTCAATTAGGAATTTCAATGATATAAATTATCGGTAAAAATATCGATGAAAATAACCTCATCTTGACAGCGATTGTTACATTGTGCTTATTGGACATGTTTAGTGGCCATAACGATCGTTTCAAAATTTTGTTGTTATTGTTATTTGTCTCCGTCTCCATTTTTAAAAAATCGCTTTTCTCTTCGAATACTGGACCAATTGCTTTGATATTTTCAGTGGTTAAAGATAAAATTTTTCTCCAGAAGGCTATTACTTTTTTTTCTCGCTATGACGTCATCAAAATTATTGCCACTGGGTGGCGCTACGTGTCCATATATTTGAGCATAACTCTCTTGTTATTATTATATAAACGTTAGCGTAGCTGTTGTTTTTCATTCATAGTTTTTCATACTGAGTTTCGAGTCTTAGTCCAAGTAACCAGCCAAGTCTATCATTTGTAACTGACCAACTCAGAAAAGTAATTGGCCACCCTTGGCCCACATGTTGTAAACCAGGAGTGGGCAACATTTTTTGTCGGCGGGCCATATAACCAACTTCTGACATCTAGCCGGGCCATTCCAAAAATTTAAGATCTTTCGGGTACATAATGAATTTAAAAATTTTCACCACGAAAAGGCTATAGCTTAGTCTTACAGTAATAAAGGCAAAAGGCCTTAAATTTATGGATTTTAACCAGTGTATGCGCTTTTTTAAACATAAACTGTCAGGTTAAAATTTGATGCTTAGTGGGAAAATATCTGAGTGTTGACAAGGGCCACACTTATTGTCTTGGCGGGCCGGGTTGTGGCCCGCCGGCCGCCTGTTGTAAACAAACTGTATTTTGTTTTCATATTGAGTTTTGATCCTACGTCCTAGTAATCAAGTCTATTATTCTGCATTAAAAGCAGTAACATTTTTTTGTCAACATTTTTTTCTGAAAATGGAACAAAAATCGGGGCTCCCGAAGTATGCGAACCAAGATGGCGGACATCGCAATGTAATATGTGTACTAGGTTAGGGTTAGGCCATAATTTTAGGTATAAATACTACGAGAGGCTCTTGGCTAGTCTTCGAACTGATAATAGGACTAAAATAAGGACAATTGGAAAAAAATTATCGCCTAACCCTAACCTGTTACCCATGTTACTTTCCGATGTCCGCCATCTTGGTTCGCATACTTCGGGAGCACCCAAAAATCTTTGTAATTTTAAAAATAGTCGAAAGTAAAAAATATAACTTTTTTTTTGGATCACACAGTACTTACTTGAGTCATCTTTTCTCTCTCTTGTTTCCGCCGTTCTGCTTGGCTGAGCAGTTGCCTCTTTATTCCAAGTTTTTGGTTCTTTTTTATAATTTTCATCTTTGCCTCGGCTATCAGTTTTGCCTTTACCTGAATGCAAAAAAAATATTTGTCAAAAATTTATTTTTTGAAGAATGTGGGATAGTAAGGATATAATGAGTAAGAACGCTTCGCAGTTGAAAAAAAAAGTGCGAAGGTGTCTTGGCCGATTTTAACGTTAGGTGCCCTAGTTTTTGTTTGAACTCATTTAAATATGATAGGTACTAGAAAAGTGTTGTGCTGTTATGAAAAGTTTATACCTAAGGCTGTCAAATAGAGTCCCAAATTTTATGAATCATATTTTTGTAGTTGATTGAATTCAAAACTTTTGAAATTTTTTGCTTCAAAACCAGAAAAAAATGGCAGTAGCTGCTCGCACAGGTCCAGGTTCGGGGCAAAAGACAAAACAAACCTGTTTTCTTGCTTCCATCTCTTTTCCGGTCTTTCTGTTCATATTCATCGGGTTCTTCCACTCTAAAATCCTTGAATTTCATTTTCGATCGGCTCATTTCATGACGAGATTTGGCCGGATCATTCGGGGCTTCTCGTTGGTATCGGGGCCTCGAGTCAGTGGCTGCTTCCACCCCCTTCGTACTCCCAGAATCTTTGTCGGAATGAGAGCTGCCACGCTTTGTGACAACTGGTTTGCTGATAAATTAAAAATCAAAATTCAGCGGAATCAAAAATTCATCAAATTCAGAGTGGACTTGATCAGTAGTTTCTAATTTTTTACCCAACTGGGCCAGTAACCAGTAACTAACATTTTTGAATACCTGATGTTTTAGAATCGAACCGATTATTTTTTCGAGCCGAATCATGAATACTCGGAAGATGTGACTATTTTAGTGAGACGGCCCCTGCTACGTACTCAAGAAATACACAATGTCAAGGTTTGGAGGGGATGGCATTTAAAAAATCCCATGAAGAATTCGAATTCACTTTCTATTTGGTTCCACATACAGCAATATCTGTTTGTCTAGAGCAGGATTTTTCAAACTGCTTTCCGCGGAACAGAACAGGGATTAAAATTGCGACTATTTTGGTCACCATGGCGATCCTGACCATGCTTCGGCACCTCTGGGTCATGAATTTAAATCTCAACTGGCAATAAACAGGCGAACAGACCTTGTGGTGTCTTCTTTAAACATTCAATTTTGTCGACCAAATTTTATAATTGTCAAGTTACAACAAACTTTTTAATTTTACCATATGTTCAATTTTTTGGAAACCACTCGGGACGTGAGAAAGACTAAATAAATTCAAGTTAGTACTGTCTGGGAAACTCACCCGTCATTTCTCGAGTACAAAGCCTTTTGTTGGTTATTTCGTCGTGTTTCGTTTGTTGACGCATTCGAGGCAGAACTTTCTCTCGAAGATTGTCTTTTAATGGTTGACCGCTTCTCTTCTTTTTTCGGCTCCCATAATTTTTGCTCCCTAGGTGGCGCTTCTTCACCTACAGCATTGTCACGACGACGAGATTCTTTACCGTCACCATGGCGATAATATTCTCGGGACTGAACTGAAGGTGGACGACGATCCGATGGCCTGTTTTGGAGTAAATATGGAATATAATACCAAATCTTTACGGAACAGCAATGCTAGCAACTTATTGCCCCCGGGGTGAGGTGTTGTTGGGAATAATTTAGATCAATGGTGGGGCACGACCCACAAGAGGGGTGTAGACAATTTTTTAATGGGGGGGTGGGGGGTGAAGCTAATTGAAAATAAAAATCTTGCCCACCTTATTCTGGATATTTACGTTCCATCCACATATTTTTAACATGTTTATTGAATAAAACATACTTTCGCTTCACTACCTGTTTAGGTCTGTAGTGGGCGCGTCTAGGGCTGGGCATTTCGAATCAAATATTCGAATCGAATCGAATAGTAAATTATTCGAATCGGTTCAAAGCTAAATTTCGAATTGCCGCCATCTTGTTTTTATCCTTCCGCTAATGGTCGAGGTGAATTCCCCAATTTTTTTTTTCATTGAAGTCGTATTTTTCAACGAAATTCTGACATATGACTATTTTCTGTAGTGAGTTATTGATAAAACGTGTTTGTTATTCTGTGTGAGCGCTCAGTAATCTATTTGGGTGATTTATTCTATGTCTTCGGTAATTCATTTGTTGAGAGGACCAATTACTATAATAAAATCGCTTACAATTATATATTTTCAAGTATTCGAGATTCGATTCGATTCGAAATATATTAATCGATTCGATTCTGAAATCACAAGGTATTCGAAAATGCCCAGCCCTAGGCGCGTCTCACCGTTTCAGAGCCCATGTTTTGGAACATTAAAAGAGCCGACTTTTTTAGAGAATAAGGATTTTTCTGTCGAGTAAAATATTAGTATTCTACCCACCTTTCATTTTCCTTATCAGCGGGGGTTGCTCTTCCACTATGCTGGGATCTTGTAGAGCCTTCTGACGGCTTGCGGGTTCTGTTGAAACGACAAAAAATTTAATTTCTCGCTTGAAAAAGAAATCTGGTGTATTGCCATGGTGGTTGGATAAACTTACTATCGATTATTGTCGATGCGGTAAATTTTTCGTTGTTTGTCTGATGCCTTTTCTTACTGTGAGGCTAACTGTTAGCCACATTCTCTTTACATGTATTTTCTTGCATGGAAAAACTAATTTTTTTGTGCGACTCGGCTAAATATTTAAAGTTGATTATATTGTCCATCGACAAATAATGTTATATAACCTGACTTGGAGGAATTAAAGCCAAACTGTCAGGCAGAATATTGTGCATTCAAATCTTACCTTCCAGATTCCGCATCATGAGATCCTTCACTTTCAACACGCTCTCTTTTCATGATAGCATGAGGACGAGGCCTGGGGTCAGCCGACTGCTGGAATGAAAAAAACATTTTCTGTCTATTTCAAGAGCAAAGCCAGGGGGTGGCCAACACACCCCTTTTTTAAATTTGAAAAAGCATGGATGACCCCCAAAGACAACTTTCAGGTGTCCAGTGCGACCCCAGGTCAATATATATATTTTATGAAACTTTGGAGCTTCTTCCACTGGACTTTTGAGTTTCGTCATGTGGTGGTATTATATAAAATAAGCCAAAACCAAACAGTGATGTCACAATAAATACCTACATTTTCTATAGCATAAGCATAGAGCGATGCCAATGGGCCTGTTTTACAGTATGTCATGGTACAAACTGCTAAATTTAACATGGTTTGTCAAATCTTAGATGTTTTGTACATCCATCCTCCATCATACCTCAGCGACCCCACCGACCCCATGACCTGTTTGCGACCCTACTTACTCATCACTCCGACCCAATTTGGGGTCGCGACCCCTGGTTCTGGAACCCCCGTTTTAGACCCTGGTTGTTAGCCAGTTTCACGACACAATAAAACAATTATATTAAATACAATAAAAAAAATAAACAATCATATGTTAGTTATGTTTAACACAATTCTGTTGATTTCGGGGCACTTAGTAAATTGACCTCTTTGATCGCAACTGATCTAGTCGGTAAAAAGATTTAACCAACCTGTCCGTAATGTTGGGGGGGGTATTGCCCCCATTGTTGTCTGGGGTCGTATTGCTGTGATTGCTGTGGCTGACCGTAACCCCAGCCCCATTCCTTCCAGCGCATTTCCTCCTAAAAAGTTGATAAAAAAAAAATTTGGAAATACGGTTTTGGATCGTTATGTTGAATCTGATGACAATAGCGAATCGAATATTAGATACATACGAAATAGAATAACTTTTGATTTTAAAAGAAAATATTATTTATGGAACGACAGAGATGTCATGTTCAGCAACGATCATACGTTTTCTGATATTCTGGGCGAGTTGTTTGAGTAAGGATTAAGCGTTTATTGTTTTTTTTTAACTCAGTGATTTACCTAAACCCCAATATAAGAGATGAACCATCCAACCCTTCCTAAAATTCGAACATCTCCGTTATTTTCAGGTGACACCACAATTTAATTCTTGACGTAAATAAAATTGTATTTAAATATCAGAAAAGCGGTCATTACTTATCGATTTTAATCGATAAGTATGTTGATAGGTATTTGTCTGTCTGTGTGTTAGATGCACGCGATATCTCACGAAAGAGAGATTGAATCTGCTCCAGATTTGCATGTGCATTCATCATATCTCGGACCAGAAGCCTATTGATTTTGGGCGAATTATGTCGTATAATTAGAGAGTTATCAATTAATTAGTGATGGGACACAAGGTGTCACTATAGAGTAAGAGCGCTGTTTTGGAAGATCCCCTAACTTTTGATCGATAAGTCTTCGGTCTCTGACCGATATTCTCGTTTATTAGTGCAGAAGATCGGTAAAATATAAAATAAAATTTTTATAAGTTATAAATAGTTTTATCATTAATGACAAAATATCTACCACCTTTCAAATTTGAAAAACAAAAAAATTTAAACCTGTTTTTTCTGGGCTGCGAGTCTAGGTGGTAAATTTCTACCACCGGGTGGTGCCGACCCACTGCCGGCAGGATAGGGGGCCGCTCCTCCTCTCTGGAAATATTCATCCATCTGAAATAATCACAGAAATATAAACAGGATATAGTTCAGCGGTTCCAAATCAAGGGTCACAGGAAAGTTAAAGCGGGCGACAATGCCACATTGCTGTCCGTTCTTCTTAGTTACTTATCGATCTTAAGATCGATAATAATGTTGATAGGTATTTGTCTGTTTGTCTGTCTGTTAGATTGACGCGATATCGCACGAAAGCGAGATTGAATCTGGTACAAATTTTGCATGTGCATTCATCATATCTCGAATCAGAAGCCTTTCAATTTTGGGCGAATTATGTCGTATGATTAGCGAGTTATTAATTAATTAGTGATGGGACACGTGGTGTCACTATTGGGTGCTCCCGAAGTATGCGAACCAAGATGGCGGACATCGGGACGTAACATGGGTAACAGGTTAGGGTTAGGCGATGATTTTTTTCCAGTTTTCCTTATTTTAGTCCTATTATCAGTTCGAAGACTAGCCAAGAGCCTCCCGTAGTATTTATACCTAAAATTATGGTCTAACCCTAACCTAGGAAACATATTACATTCCGATGTCCGCCATCTTGGTTCGCATACTTCGGGAGCCCTCACTATTGAGTCAAGAGCGAAAAATAAGCGCCGCTAGATCGATAAGTCAACGATCTCTGATCGCTATTCTCGTTTCATTGCTTGATAAGGTTATTTCACAGGGTGTTTTCACTTTGTTAAGCATGAATTGTTTGAACATAATGGGATTTAGAATCTACCAATCAAAATAACACTATAAATACTACTGGAATGATAAAAAGGGGCCTTAAGTGCTAAAAACCTCCGAAAAGGGGCCACGAGCCATGGGAGGTCGAGAACCACTGATAAGGTTTTGATAAGATTTTGATTTGCGTTGGAGAGGCAGGAAGTCCGAGGAATTGCAATCAGTTCAATTATTTGAAGGTTGGTGCACTGTGATAAGCCATGAAAAAACATAAAATTAGGATTCAGGATTTTCGTATTCTCCCTGAGGGAGAGGAAAACCGATGGCTCGATTATATAGCGAAGGGTAGTCCTGTAGTATGTGTACCCGTTAGGGTTAGGCCATAATTTTATTCCAATTTTCCTCATTTTAGTTCTATTACGAGTTCAGGGACAAGCCAAGTGACTCCCGTAGTAGGTGTACCAGGTTAGGGATAGGCCATAATTTTATTCCAATTTTCCTTATTTTATTTCTATTACGAGTTCAGGGACAAGCCAAGTGACTCCCGTAGTATTTGTACCTAAAATTATGGTCTAACCCTAACATGCTACACATAAATCGTTATGGTGTCGCCATCTTGGTTCAAATATTTCGGGAGTACATAGCGGAACCTCTTGTCCTGCTATAAAGTCAGTCAAGTGAAAATACAAAAAACTTATATTTCTGATTTTGAAACTCTCCTAAATTTTTATTGAAAATATAAGGTGAATATCGCTTCAAACAATGATCAGATACCATTTCAAAAGAATCTATATTTTTATAATATTTTCAAATTTTTTTCCCAAAATTTCAATATTTCAATTCTGCTTTCTGTCTCGAAAGCACTCATATTATGGAAATGTCAAGTTGAGCAACGGTTATTTTATTATTGAGTTCATGTCTCCCCCCCCCCCCAGGGAAATCCCCTTCAAGCATAAAAAATTATCCGCACCTTTCTGCGTTCATCACTGCTTTCACTTTCTGTACGTTGACCCCTTTTTTCATATTGTCTGTATTCCTCACTTGGTGTCCTCAGTAATCCATGAGCGGGCATATCATACCTCCCCGCTTCTCCATGGTTACGAGGAATTCGGCGGTCGTATTCGTCCGCTTTGCCATCAGCACCTTGCTGTTCGTATGCCATCCTTAATATAAAAAAAAATTGTTTCGAAATGAGTTGGGTTCAGCACGATCTATCAAAGTCTTGTTTGAAGGTAGTCCCGAAAACATCAAAATTGGAGTTTGACAAAAACCTAAAGAGTCGGCAGACACTAACAAATCAAAACCAAAGTGACTCCCGTAGTATTTGTACCTGAAATTATGGCCTAACCTAACCTGGTACACATACTACATTCCGGTGTCCACCATCTTAGTTCACATATTACAGGAGTACCCAAATTTGGGAACATCTGGCATATATCAATGTATGATCATAAATCACGGCCTCTTGTCCGGTTACCATTCCATGTCTGGCATGGGATTATTTAGTTATTTGTTTTTGGGAGCATGGACTCGATGGTGGAGGAAGCCGTAACCGACCAGCGGTTACGTGAACCACCCTACGACAGCGAGGAGTCCAGCAATCTTCTCGCACATAACCATCCCCGCATGGAACTCGAACCTGAGAACCCACGCAGAGTAAACAGAGGTGCGTGGGCGAGCATATTCCTAATGCTTAGCATGATGAGCCACACCGCTAGCCGATCAGCAATGTCTGATCGTTAAGAGCCGTGAAAATTCTGAAAATGTCAAATTACCTTTTTTCTTCTTCTTCTCTTCTGCGTTTTGCTCGTTCCGCTGCAAGGAATTTTTCGTCATTTTGCCTCCCCCATCCTCCAGATTCTGCCCCTTCCACATCAGAAGGGTGGGGCTTCTGGGGGTACATCTGCGGCCCCATGTATCTCGGGGGTTGGTTAGAGGGATATGCTTCCCCTTGTGGTGGCATTCGACCTTCGTATGGTTTGCTAAGAAGAAAAAATAAGAAAAATTATTTTCAAAATTGATGTTTCCTAGACGTTAGTGACTGGAAGACTTATAAACGCTATCGATTGACATCTAGGGCAACGGAATCGACATCAACCTGGGAAAAATTTGGCTCGGACTTCAGATTAGATCTCTGATAAAATTATGTTGGATAAATTTAGCATATTGAGGCCTTGAAACAAAAAAAAGTGTTTGGAGAAAAGATGGAAAATAAATATTTTAATCTCTAATATTTTATCTCTAATATTTTATTAAAATATTTTGGCAAATATGGCTTTTAACTTTTATTACTAAAACCAGATTTCACATTTATAATTTTTTATCGAAATTTTTTCAAAATTAAAACATTTGCCCTTCTGAAACGCTCAAGCCCGCTTTGATAGACTTTTAAAAACACTCGAGACATAAATTTTTTTTTCAATTCCGTAGAAATATTTGAAGTTTGTTATCATCATTGAAAAAAAATATTTCTTAGTTTTGTAGCGACTCCAACCATCTTCAAGGAATGAAAATCATTAAATGTTTGTTGCAAAAAACAAGAGAGATATGCTCAAATATATGGACACGTAGCGCCACATAGTGGCAAATTCGGATGACATCATAGCACATAAAAAAACGAATCCCACAGAGCTCACCGGAATATTTGAAATGAATAAAAGTAATAGCCTAGTAGCAAAAAAAATTAATCTTCAACCACTGAAAATTTCAAAGCAATTGGTCCAGTAACCAAAGAGAAAAGCGTTTTTTTTCTGTGACAAAGAACAAAGAACATAATATTAAAACGATCCATAAACTCTGTCTCTCTATTCAGAACTGCCAGTCTAAGAAATTTAATTCCCTGCCCTTTTAGAGTCTTTTTAGAGTATAAACTTCAAAGTATTATTTCCGATAAATATTTCTGAGCACCAAAACGAAAAATTAATCCTCTACTCACCCCCGCTGGCCCATTGGTCTGGGTCCTTGGTAATTTCCTTGGTAGTATTGTTGTTGTTGATTCCACCCCATGTTGGGGTCCATACCGCCATCATACCCCCCTTGTTGGGAGGGACCCCATGCAGTACGAGGATGCATAGAACGGTCGCCGTCCTATAAAAAACGAAGTTATGTCAGGTATGTGAGATATGTTGTGTCTTTTTACATAGTCTGTGCATCTGAGGATAACCGAGAATATCGGTCGGAAATCGAAGACTTATTGATCGAAACTGCGGTTTCGATTCATGACTCTATAGTGACACCGCGTGTCCTATCACTAATTAATTAATAACTCGCTAATTATACGACATAATTCATCCAAAATCAATAGGTTTCTGGTCCGAGATATGATGAATGCACATGCAAAATTTGGAGCAGATTCAACCACGCCTTCGTGAGATATCGCGTGCATCCAACAGACAGACAGACAAACACCTATCAACATACTTACCGATCTAAAGATCTATAAGTAATAATCCTCTACTCAACATGGAATGGTAACAGGATGAGAGTTCACGGTTCGCCCTATGATTAAGTCGTCTTATAAGCTTTCTTCTCCCAGAGATAAATATGAAAACCTTATTCTACGTTTGATGTGAACCGTATTTTTGGTGTTTAAATTCAAGAAATAATTGAAAGCTGCTGATATAAAGCTGTTTCCCAACAGTAAAGGCATGAAGGCATGAATGATGATTATTATTATAATGATACATTTTATTCACTGTAGAATTTACCGTATTTCATGGACCATAAGACACATTTTAAACCCCCCTTTTTTAAAATTGATCATGCGTGTTAGAAGCCGGTGAGTAGTTCTTTGTGCTTTATTGTACACTCAAAACCTGTACGTTATTGCTTTAAAAATCGACGCGTTTTATAGGTGCTGTGCACCTTATTGCTGGATGAGAACAGAAGGGGCCTAAGTCACATTTTTGGAAAATTGACTTTTTTCAATATTTTGGGGTTTTGAGCCATGCTCTACAAGGTGGTGGTCTTGAAATCCTGAATTTCTCAATAATAAAAGTTTTAGCTGGACTTAGGACTAAAATATTTAAGAACAGATCTAAGTCCAGCTAAAATTTTTATTATTGAGAAATTCAGGATTTCAAGACCACCTTGTAGAGCATGGCTCAAAACCCCAAAATAATGAAAAAAGATAGTACTAAGTTCCAATATGATGGGCATGAACATCAAAAATAAAATGTCTGAAACTTACATCCCTGAAAATTTGTTTAGTGCAACCTAGGCCTAAGTCACCTTGTTTTACCTTGCATCCCATACAGAAAAAAAGTTGTTGAGAACAGAATGGGCTAAATTCCTTTATGGGGGTAAAAAAGCAGGAAGGAATTGAAGCTGAAGTGCCAAAAAATATTGATTACAATAATATTCACATCCACATTAAAATAACCATAGCTCAGGTCTTTACTAAGTGTAAATATTTAGAAATTAAAAAATTAAAAAATTCCGAATTGTTTTTTGCGATTTTCTCAAAACTCAAAATTGTGACTTAGGCCAGTTCTGTTCTCATCCGGTGTTATGTATGAATGCAAACCCTAATTTAAGGAATTTATTGGCTGTCAAATGGTCGGTAAAATATGGTTTTAATAATACTGTTATACTTATTTATGGACACATTGTGAACTTTGCTAACTGTACAAAATCTCAACTTGCGAGCTACACTGGCTATGAACATTTTTCATTAATAGTGGAACGAACAATTTAAGAAAATGAAACAGAAGAATTTATCGTAAAATACCGCAGACATCTGGTCTAAAATTTTACTCATTTATTTTACTCTTAAATTTTTTAAATCCTACCTTTGGTCTTCCATGGTCGAAATGCTGATCTGCATGTTTGTTTCCCCTGAACATAAAAAAGAAAAAGTAATAATCATGGTTATGCAAGCAGTAAGATAGTACGGCGAAAGTATGTTTTATTTGAAAAACACGTTGAAAAAAAATGTAAATATTCAAAATAAGGTGGACAAAATCAAATTTAACAAACATTTTTATTTTTTTTAATCAGCTTTACAACTCCTCATAAAATTGTCTACGATCCATCTTCTCCCCCCCCCCTTTGTACTAAATTATTTTTTTCATTATGTTCCGGAATAGTGAAATATTTGGGCTGAATAGACATCTAAATTGTTATTTACTAAAACTTGAAATTAAAAAATTATTAACAAAATCTCACCCTTTTTCTTTATTACCGCCACCATTGTCTTCATCGTCACTAAAGACTAGTTTTTCACTGTAGTCGACTTCTCCATGCATTTCCGCCCATCCTTCATCATGCTCCTTCGCTAGGTGGTCGAATTCCTGTCAATGGGAAAATAAAGAAAAGGAATAAATATATGGTCATGACAGGTTAATAAAAACCTTGGTCTGCATAGAATGGTCATGGTCGTAAGGATATTTTCACCAACTATCATTTCCTTGTTTTTAGGTCCCTATAGGAATAAATGAGAATATCGGTCAGAGACCGAAGACTTATCGATCGAAGTTAGGGGATCCTCCAAAACAGCGCTCTTACTCCATAGTGACACCCTGTGTCCAGTGGCGCAACCAGCGGGGGGGTTACGGGGGTCGTGTCCCCCCCGTTTGAAATTCGTTTTTTATTAACGTCGTTCTACGGTCATAACAATCCGGTGAAAACTACTTTTTTCCAGTGCTTTATCACCTCGACGTAATTTAACACCGCCCGACTTCACTCATACCATTTTGCTGTTAGTTACGTAATAATCGCTATCCCCGCGTATATGTTTGTATTCGAAAATGATATATGTTACCTTAAAAAAGTAGAATACGCGCGCTGTCGATGCGAATTGAAAGCGACAATAGCATAATGCTATCTCACTCTCTCTTGTGACGAATACTCTCGTGCTTCATCATCTTGACGCAATGTAACGCCGCCCGTCTTCATGTTATAATAATGCAGTAGAAACTCTGAAAATCTGGATACGAAAATTATTTTCGGAAAAATATTGCTTCGATTAACCTAAGATTTTCTACATATGAAAGGCCGAAAACCGAAAACGCCGTACACATCCTACCGCCCCCGTCCACGTTCTGATTTAAAAACATTTCTCAATTATTCTATTTTTATCGCAATCGAAAGCAGCCAGTGTGGCACGGCAATAACTAACAGTCGTCAGGAAAGGTTTTTAATAAACTCCGACTTGAAGTGCTTATAAGACGTCGAGGACGTTTTTGGTTGGAACATTTTTTACATTTGTTATCGTTTATTTTAATTTAGTCAAGATATGTTGTGCGCCTCAGCAATAAACTTAAAAGCAAATCCTGCCCTAATTAATTGTTTTTATCCTCAGTTTCCATAGTTATCGAACTTACGGGAAATTTTTTAATTTCTTGCAATCTATAAAATGGCTTCAAATATTATTTGGTTTCTATCGGAGATTTTATCGTTATCCCGACGTCGTTAATAACAATATCGTTCATTTTAAGTTGGAGGTATTGGTTTATAATCAAAAAATTATAACACATAACATGAAAAATTTAAATCAACGCCGACTCAAAAAGTAAAACGCGTTTTTCCATCTTTATTCTCCATTATTGGCGGACGGAAATTTGGGAATCGGGTTTAACTAATTTGATTATGATGACGATGGTAAACAAAAGTAAACAAACATACCATACCGTTCTTAGTTTTTAGTCGTTATTTCTGTGTCCTTTCTTCTTTCTATGTGCATATTTAGACCATAAAACGTGTTTTATTTTTGAACTCTGCGCTGATTTGAATATTTCATGTCGATGGTTATGTATTTTTGTTTGTAAATGAACACCGCTAACTTAAACTGAACGATGTTGTCATCAAAGCCGGATGCCGACGAAATCCGCGATAGATCGAAACTGAAATCTGTCACTATCGAAACTGAGGATGAAAACAACTAATTAAGACACAATTTGCCGAGGACGCCTAAACCATCTCGACTAAGTTAAAATACACGATAACAAAATATTTTCAATCAAAAACGTCCTCGAAGTCTTATAAGTTCTTCAAGTCCTAATTAAGACACAATTTGCCGAGGACGCCTAAACCATCTCGACTAAGTTAAAATACACGATAACAAAATATTTTCAATCAAAAACGTCCTCGAAGTCTCATAAGTTCTTCAAGTCGGCGTTTATCGAAATTCTTTCATGTCAGCTGTAATAAATTGCTGAACCACACATGGACGACGACGCTATGATATGTGCGCCCTATTCGGAATTATTATAAACACGAAAAAAACAGTATTTGAAGTTTGCGATATTTGAGTTTAAATTCGATTTGGTCATCCCTGCAATAAATTAGTCAGTTTTTAGTTGCAATTCCAAAAATTAGTTGTAAATCAAGTATTTTAATTGTCATTATGTCTTTCGGTGAGCTTCAGTTCAGTTTAGAATTTTTCTGGGGTTTGGGTCGGGAAAAGGTCCATTCGCAAGAAGTGCATTTTGTTTTTAGTCTTGACGAATTCACCCAACGAGCAAGGCGCGGCACGAGGGAAACACTGGAATTTATTCAAATCGTGTTTCACTATCCACGAGGCGCAAAGCGAGGGAAACGTTGAAAACAATTAACAGCTTTTCGTTAGCAATTCGCTGGAATGTAATGAACGGCGTTTTGCTACCCACGAGGTGCGAGACATAGCGAAGCGCCGTTAATGAACGAGGGCAAGGTGAGCGAAAGACTGGGATTTAATCGATGGCGTTTCCCTTTTAACCACGAGCAATTTATCGTGTTTCAGCGGGGCGACACCTAGTGGCGTTGCGACTTACGTCGTGGTTGCACTGTGTAAATTCCGATCGGACCCCCCCCCCCGTTGAAAATGGCCTGGTTGCGCCACTGCTTGTGTCCCATCACTAATTAATTAATAACTTGCTAATTATACGACATAATTCGCCCGAAATTCGAGATATGATGAATGCACATGCAAAATCTGGAGCAGATTCAATCTCGCTTTCGTGAGATATCGCGTGCATCTAACAGACAGACAAACAGACAAATACCTATCAACATACTTACCGATTAAAATCGATAGGTAAAAAGCAGTGCTCAAATATATGGATATGACAATGCAAGCAAAATTGCTGCCTAATGCTAAAAATTGTATCGAATACAGAGGCGCAACTAGGATTTTTTAACAGGGATGACGATGGCATTGAAACGGATAAGTTTATATCTGCTGAGAAAGTTGGTTTTTTTTTAACGAGTGTGTGCGCGACTGTCTTATATGCCACTGGTTGGAGATTTCTCATTATGAAACCCTTACATACCTCTAGAGTTACGCCAGAATTTAAAAACAATGTCAATTCCTATGAGAGAAATTAATACGGAACGCTCAAATATATCTTGCGGACTTGTGGCAGCAAATTTTCTGAAAATCACCTCCGATTTTCTGTCATTTCTGGATCACACAATTTTAAATATAAATTAGGGTTCCAGCCACCTCGAGTCTTACTCGCCATCAGGTATGCGAAAAAGTAGATTATTAGTTTGATGCTCATTCAAGCAGATTCGCTCATGCATATCTTTGTTTCTGTCTAAGATATGATAGACGACATGGTATGCTCATTCAAGCAGAATTTTTTTTAAAAAAGCGCTCGTGTGTACCTTTAATTCTGTCTGTGAAATGATGGACGGCATCCCTCCGTATCCGTCCTGTTGTTTGTTCGGGGCTCGTTGTCGTGGCCCCTGGTTCATATACATCCCTCGGAACCTGGAAGAAACATTGGATGTGTATATAGAGAGTGTTTATAAAGTCTTAATCGAGACCATATATTGTTTTGGCCCTCACAGATGTATTAAATGAAATAAAAATACTTGAACAATTACTGATTGAAAAACAACAAAACCTGGTTAGGAATTAAGATATATTGAGAACTGACTTCAGAACAAAAATGTAATTGTAAAGGGACTTTATGGATGCCTTGTATAATATTCGGGAAACGTTAGGACTATATGTCTCTTGCTGAAACCCCATGCCCCCCCAAACCCACTCAGGGTGTAATAAACTAGACCAAGGGGGTCCACATGTGGCCCGCCCATTCATTAATAATATACTATAGGCATCATGAAAAACTAAAAATTGAATGCGGATTCTATTAGCCTGGGATGGCTATGCCTGATTAACTATATCTTTGCACAATAAAAGTGTTTGTTTTGTATTGCACTGTTTATCTATTCTTGGCACTATTGTGGCCCGCGAACAATGCAAAAATAATTGTGTGGCCCGCGGAGCCAACAACCTTGGACTACCCTGAACTAGACCATGGCTTCCCAAAGTAGGGTTGCAACCCCGCAGGAGACGTACAACAAAATTTAGGGGTGGAAAGAGTGTATCAACTTCACACGAAATACTATACCCATTGTACTTGTATTGTATTACTTGTACCCATTGTACCAAAACTTCTGATTCGAAACACAATTATTAAAACTAGTGCAAAACCTAAATCTCACGATTTAGAGAGAATAAATAGAATCAAAGAAGAGGTGCGCCTGCATAACAATGCCTAAATACCAGGGGTCCCGTAAAACTTCAATGTATCGAAAGAGGTGGCGAACTTAAAATTTATATTCATAAAAACTATAGGCCTAGTCGTATTTTCAGCAGACAAGAGTGAGTCGGATGAAGTACTTCGCAGGACGGATTCAGCCAATGGACTGTAATTTGCCAACCCCTGTGCTAGAAGATAATTGAGTTCACTTTCACAAGATACAACCATAAAATCACCTTTGACCTATAAACCCCAGATATGGGTGACGCTTGAAAACTTAAAATTTACCCACCTTGGATCTTGTGGTTGAGGGTATCTCATTTGTCCTTGTTGTTGGGGGGCCCCTCCCTGGGTTGGATATCTACTGCCACCTTGTGGCATGTTCATATGTGGATATCGGCCATATTGAGGCTGTGAAAATGAATTGGAATTTTATTGTTTTGAAAAATAGTTGTTCCAATATTGCATTCAGGCCACACGAGAATTTCTTTTTCTTTTCTGAAACAGATGCAGCAATTTTGCACTTGTTAAAAGAGTCAACTTTGACCCCAGTCCATTCGTCCATGATAGCTGGTTACATCGCTCATACTTAGCTACTTCGAGTAGCGCCGAATTGAAAAAAATAGTCTTATAACTTACATAATTATTGGGCATATTTCCCCTGTACTGCATGCCATGTTGCCCCATTCCAGTGTGGCTTATATTATCTCTGGATGGCATACTTTGGCCACCATTGTTCATATTCTGGAATATAAAAATGAATTATAAATAAAAGAAGAGATACGCAACAACGTTTTTTCTTTGGTATTCAATAATAGTTAATCAGTATTTACCATATATCTCGCATATAAGCCGAGGTAAAAATCTTTACGAACTTAATTCTAATCGTACTAAAAATTGGGCTCATATGTGCATAACTTTGATCGCACCTCAAACGAAATGACATTATGCTAACTAAATTTCAACAGCTACAACTCAAAAATGCTAAGTTCTCACGTTAAGAGCGGACGATTTGTAGGTTCAGCTTTTATGCGAATTTTCATAAATTCACCATTTTAGGGCCATTTTTAGGGGGCCGGCTTATATGGGCGAATATACGTTCGAACATGCAATTCCACACATATGTGGTGGCTCTTAGTATTTTAGTAGCCGCTCTTAACTTCGCGCAGAAATTGATCTCCTGCGTTTCTATGAAAGCGCCTGCAAACTTGCTTTGAGCAATTTTTGATATGAAAATAAAAACAAATAAAGACACACAACCTGTTCCCCACTGATAACTTGATCATCTTGTATCGGACGTTTACTTCTTATTTCATCAGAATCTACTTGGGGAACGTTTCTCCCGCCTCCCTCTCTCCAGGACTCCATGTCTGTAAGAAAGAAATCGAAAAATTATAGAAGGATTTGTGTGGCTGGAAATGTCACACATAAGAATGTTCACACTCACATCTTGAATGCACATACATAGTTCACACACAAGACTTCAAATACTAAAATGATTTAACTCATTATCCACACATACACACATAGAAATATCCACACACACACACAAGTTCCACACACAAACATGTACACCTATGTAGTAAGCACACACAACTCCCGATACTAATATTATTCCACATTTCATCCACCCATACGCACCGATAAAGGCACATGAGAGAAGTGCATCTTAATTACATACACCACATCCACTTACTATCCACACACACACACACACACACCAGCAAAGACACATAGAAAAGCAAATTAATCTTAAATACACATACCACATTCACACCAGCAAAGAAACATGAAAATGCATGTGTGCGTATTGCCTGAACACATGTAAATCCTAAATACACACGTGTCCATCACATCTCCAAATTTCATTTACACATTCACACTGATAAAAACTCGTATAAAGACACATCTGAATATTAAATACACACACCACATCCACTTTTTATTTACACATACACACCGACAAAGACACATAGAAATGCACATGGGCATTTTACACACACACATCACATCCACTTATTATCTACACATACATGCCTGAGAGACACATGAAAGTGCAAGTGTACATATTGCCCAATCACATGTATATCTTAAATACACACATGCACATCACATCTCCTTATTCGCACTGACAAAGACACATAGAAATGCACATGACAAGTGTAAATCTTAAATACACATATGCACCTTATATCTCCTTTTTGTCACACATACATAAAGATACATAGAAATATATATGTAACTTAATGGACAGACAATACAACCAATACTAAAATTTTTCAATTATTATCCAGACATGCACACACACAAAAAAAAAAAAGACAAAAACACATAGAAATGTACATGCACATCTCGAAGGCTTATACATAGTATGTGAACACTTAAAATCCGAAGCCGAAAAATTCACTCCTTTTCACACATGCACACCAAAACACACACACATAAACATCAACAAAAAGCACATACACAAAACTTAACTGATTAAAACTAGGAATCTACTCACTTTGTGGTCTTAAACTTGGACCACTAGCACCGTATTGATTTACTTCTTTAGACCTTTCTGAATCTTCCTGTGAAAACAAAGAAGGAAATGCTTAAATATATGGTTTCAGCAGTTAAGTTTACTAAACGTCCTCAACAGTTAACAGTTAAAAAACTCTCGAGTATGCTAAAGTTTTCGGTACCAAAATTCGATAATCTCAGACTTCGAAAATTGAATCAAAAATTTGTTACGATGTCTAAAGCTGCTATCACTTTTTAAAAACCACATTTTCAAATTTTCAACTTAGATTGAAGTTGCCATCGAGCCATCCCTGGCTTAAACCATATTTACTTTTGCCTATTCATCCCACACTATGCACAAAACAACTTTGTTTATTCAATCATAATATAAGCAAATATATACTACTTACCTGCTGTGTACTCTTTGTATTTGATAGAGATGGGAAATCATCTGATAAATGACCCTGGTTTCCCCCTGAAAAGAAAATTTGCATGTTGCATAACTTCTATCATCTTTTTTTAAAGGATTTCACTAAGGCAAGGTGAGTAATGAAAATTTAAATTTCGACAGAAAATAAAAATAAATCAAGTTGGAGCAATCCTAGCAAACAATTTAAACTAGAATATCGGTTAGAAACCGAAGACTTATCGATCAAAGGTTAGGGGATCCCCCAAAACAGTGGTCTTACTCCATAGTGACATGGTGCGTCCCATCACTAATTAATTAATAACTCGCTAATTATACGACATAATTTATCCAAAATTAATAGGCTTCTGGTCTGACCTATGATGAATGCACATGCAAAATTTGGAGCAGATTCAACCTCGCTTCCATGAAATATCGCCTCCGTGAGATATCTGTTTAATGCCCAGCACTCAAAAATTTCGTTTTTTTTATCTGCTTAAAGTTTTAATTTTTGGTGTAAAATTAATTCCCTGTCTTCACAGCCCTGGTTATATCTAAGCCAGAGGTAGGCAAATTATGGCCCGAAATATTTCACCCGGCCAACTCGTGTCTGCTGATATTAAGACTATACAGGAGGTCCTCTGGTTACGACGGTCGCGACTTACGCTGTTTCGAGGTTACGAACGCACTTCCAAAAAAATATAAAATAGAATTCTGTACTGTAATATCTAAGCCCTTAAATTGGATAATTGTGATCAAAAAAATCAGTGTTTTGTGCTCATTGGTTTTCGTCATTTACATCGTACTTTTTGCATTATTTGTACATTTTATTACTGTACCATACTTTACAAAACAGTACGATATGTATAGAGTGATTTTATGTACTGTACAGTATAATGTTCAGACTTACACTAAAATTCGGGTTACACCGCTTCTCAAGAACGGGACAACGTCGTAAGTCGAGGACTCCCTGTATAATGTCCCAATGATCCGGCTTGTTACATTGTGCGTCTTTTTATTATATAAACGTTAGCCTAGCTGTGTGAATAAACTGTTTATTTATAGTTTCTTCGTCGCCCTAACCAAGTATATTATTTGTAACTGGCCTACTTGATAAAGTAATTGTCCACTCCTGAGTTAACCCGTTATTACTTATCGATTTTAATCGGTAAGTATGTTGATAGGTATTTGTCTGTATGTCTGTTAGATGCACGCGATATCTCACGAAAGCGAGAATGAATCTGCTCCAGATTTTGCATGTGCATTCATCATATGTCAGACCAGAAGCCTATTAATTTTGGATAAATTATGTCGTATAATTAGAGAGTTATTAATTAATTAGTGATGGGACACAAAGTGTCACTATGGAGTAAGAGCTCTGTTTTGGGGGATTCCCTAACTTTCGATCGATAAGTCTTCGGTCTCTGACCGATATTCTCGTTTGTTATTTTCCTCGATATTTTAAACAGAAATTTTATATCCATAATAAAAACGCAAATTTATTTCCATAAAAATCATAGACGTGATTTCAGCGAGCACAAGCGGGTCAGACTACAAGATGGAGTCTAACGTAAATGGGAAAACAAATAAAAACGGGATATTATTAGAACAAGACAATCTGCTCACTAATAATCTAAGACAGGGTAGTCTAGAAACAGGCCCGCGGGCCACATGTGGCCCGCCGTCTCATTATCTGTGGCCCGCGTCGCATTCGGAGAGAAATCAAACAAATCGCATTTCGTGTTGTTTTGTCATAAAATCAACCGAAAAATCTTTTGACATATTGTTGCATCACCAATGTCACTGAATTGACTAGTGTTATGGCTTGCTGAGGCAACTAGCGAAGTTAAACGAGCGAAGTTCTTGGAACTATTGTGGCCCGCAAACAATGCAAAAGTAATTTTGTGGCCCGCAGAGCTGCCAATCTTGGACCACCCTGATCTAAGAATTCACGTACCTTGGTGATGTGTGTTACGTGGAAATCTTCCCCACCCTCCGCCTGCCTGTGCGGGCTGTTTTTGTTGCGTAGAATTGCTGTTGCTGCTTGAATTTGCTGCTGCGTATGACTGAAAAAGGTTAAACATTCAAACGATAAAAAATTCGTGAAGAAAAAATATATTGTTATCAAAAAAGATATTTTCAGTAAAACTTGATGGTAAATAATCAGGCATATGTCTAAATTCGGGTCTAAACTGAATGGATTAAACCCTGGACCAGGAGAGTACCAGTGGGAAGCTGATGTGGGTCAGTCCTCTCCCTTTTAAAATGTAAAATGAAAGCATTTATCTGTAATATAAATAGCAATTTTCTGTAGCTAGACCATCACGACTCTTGGAAAAATCACGTTTCCAGACAAAGCCAGCTGCCTGTTATAGTCTAACTTTGCAATTTAATTTTTTATTCCGCCTTTCCTTTTGAGAATTCTTAACTAGGCTCCTGCCCTGGACATAGACCAGGGGTGGGCTAAATATTTTAGTATAAGAGCCGCATACAGGTAGTCAGAAATATGTGAGAGCCGCATAATTTTAGAAATTAATAATATTAGAATATCGTGATCTGAGAATAACTTTACACAAACGTATAATAACAATATTGCAAAGTATATATTCTTCAATCGCTTAATGAATTGAACAAAAAACTGTTACGCTACAGTTTCTCTTAGTTACATTTGGATAATATATAATTATTGCCAGTGAGAAGAGTCGCATAAAAACTCCAGCAACACGCATGCGTCTTGCGAGCCGCAGTCTGCCCACCGTTGAAATAGACTAATAAGTAATCCTCACCATTTGTTGCTGCTGAGTGTATCGGGCTTGCTGACGTTGGTGCTGCGATTCCGACGTCTGCTGCTGATTTACACGCTGCTGAGAGCCTACAACTCCTGCTGCTGAACTGGAGGAGGCTGCTGGTTTTGGGTCCTGTTTCGAACCCCATCCTGTGCCGTCTTTAGGGACTGAAAATTAGAATTTAATTAGAAAATGTCAATCCCGTGCCCTTACATTCTATAACAGTGATTTTCAATCCAGGACCCCAAAAGGAGTCACAGAGAAATAGAAGGGGCTACGATACTAGTCGCTAAAATTGATTTTAGTGTTATTTTGTTTGCATGCTTTTCTGTTCCCTGAAAATGTCAGAACCCTTACATTCTATAACACTGGCGTTCTACCTCATTGGGCTCGTGGCCATAAAGAGGTCACAGAGAAGTCGGAGGGGGCTACAATACTAGTTGCTAAAATTGATTTTAATATTATTTTGTTTGCATACTTTTTTTTTAAGAAAAAACCATGTTCTTCCTAGTTTCGTTACCTAATAAGGTTACTTCACAGGTTATTGTTCACTTTTTGAGAATTGAATTGTTTGAACATGGAAATCTATGGAATCCACCAATCAAAATAACACTATAAATACCACTTGAATAAAGAACAAAAGGCCCGGTGCGCTAAAAGCCTCCAGAAAGGGGCCACAAGCCGTGAAATGCTCTGTAAACGCTTGGATTACATATTTCATATTATATATTTCACAGAAATACTGTAAAAGTAGGGATGGGCGATGTAGGCCAATTTACTATTCTAGAATACTTGAATCAAGAATATTGAATCCTATTCTATTTTTATAATTGGACACGTTTAGTGGCCATAACGATCGTTTCAAAATTTTGTTGTTATTGTTATTATTGTTATTTGTCTCCGTCTCCATTTTTAAAAAATCGCTTTTCTCTTCGAATACTGGACCAATTGCTTTGATATTTTCAGTGGTTAAAGATAAAATTTTTCTCCAGAAGGCTATTACTTTTTTTTTTCTCGCTATGACGTCATCAAAATTATTGCCACTGGGTGGCGCTACGTGTCCATATATTTGAGCATAGCTCTCTTGTTATTAAGATAGTGGGAATCCCCACATTGTTGGATTTAGATGTTAATATAGCAAAATCGTAAACGTATTGCTTATTTGGTAATGTCCCTAGTCTGGACATCTTGAAATCGGAGAACTATTTTATGTTAAGCATTGGATTTCAAGACATTTCCCACGACAATAGAAATCAAGACTATTACAATATTTTTTGCCTCAAAATGTATCTAATCCCTAAATACTGATATATGCATAATTGAGACCTGCTTATACGCTTCAATAGTTAACGATAAAATACAAAAATATATATGAAACAACATTAAATCATTATTAATTCTAGTGTGCCCCTGACTCAAGGTTTCTACTCCATCGTGTGACCTAAAATCTGAATTGTTGGACACGAAGTGGACATAACGATCGTTTCAATATTATGTTGTTGTTGTTGTTGTTGTTCTTTGACACGTTTTTAAAAAGTCGCTTTTCTCTTCGAATACTGGACCAATTGCTTTGAAATTTTCAGTGGTTGAAGATAAAATTTTTCTCCAGAAGGCTATTACTTTTTTTTTCGCTATGACGTCATCAAAATTATTGCCATTGGGTGGCGCTACGTGTCCATATATTTGAGCATAGCTCTCTTGTTTTACTTACCTAGCTCAATATTCGGGTCGTTTCCTAAATTTTCTGACTTTAAACTCGGCAAACTAGCGGGCGGGGGAACTCTACGAACATTTTGAACTTTTCCCAAGCTTTGTAAGCCATGTCGTACTGCCGCTGAAAAGTAAAATTATAAAAAGACATTTTATTTTCCATTTATTGCATTTTTTCCAAATTTCAGGGGTGGTGGATATTTAGTTATTAGTGATAAAGTAGCGAAGTCACTAGGCCAGTGGTTCTTAATCGAGGGCCAAATAGCAGTTGGGGGGAGGGGGGGGGGCACAATGCTAGTCGCAAAACTGATTTTACGTTTCACTTTACACGAAAACTCCCTGTTCTTATTACTTGATAAGGTTATTCACAAAGTTTTTTCGCTTTTTTGCGCATGATTTGTTTACGCATTTAAGCAAATTTGGAATCCTGCAATCAAAATACCACTGGAATGATACATAGGGGAGCCATGAATGCTTCAAGCACCCAGAAGAAGGCCCACAAGTCATAAAAGGTTGGTAACCACTGCACCAGGCCAACAAACAGTTCGAAACCACTGCTCTGAATCTAAAACAAAAATTGACTCACAAGAGGGTTTAGGGTTTTCAATAGTTTTTCCTTTGTAAGTCGACGTCAGATTAAGCGTATGGAACCGTCCATCCTTCCCCTTCGTATTTGCAACTCCATACCCAGTTGACATATCAATTCAAACACACTTAGAAGCATCGGAGATATCAATGTGCCCCGAACTAGACCTGTGGATGAGAGAGAAAATGAGATATGTATGGGAAAATTTTCTTCATTTTAAATACATATTTTTAGGGTATAACTGGTCAAAATTCTCCAAATATCGTTGGTTTCAATATCAAAGTGCCCCGAACTAGACCTGTGAAAGACAGAGAATAACTTATCATACCGACACAAATTTATTCTGGGACTATAATGCAGTAAGGTATAGTGTTTACCATAATGACCGAAGGCCACCATATTTAAACCCTAGCTTTATAGGCAGTTAGGCGCTTCCATATCACCACAAATCGGATACTACCCTATATGAGAGATCGCGCAATAATCGGATTCCTCAGAGAAAAATAATGATTTACAGTCTGGGCCTCCATATCAATATAAATTAGTAAATTTATAATATATATTTGAATGTACTGTGATGCAAAACATTTCGTTTTGATGTCATACATCTACGACTTATTATATGGATAAGTGTAATGTAAGGGGTCATAATCTAGTACGAGACAGTTTGGGCCTCCATATCGACACAAATCAACTAAAACAGTGTGCACAGTTTTTAAATTCCAAAAATGTCCCACAAACGAATTTGCACAAATAACTAAAAGAAAGCGCAATATAAAAATGTCATCATTAAATTTCTCGGCGAAAAAATAATCCCATTTAACGGATGAAATTTTTTTTCACCGTAACATTCAAGAGTTTTCAACAAAAACCGCAGTGTTTGTTTTATTGAACCAGACGACAGGACATTCAGTACGGCAAACTATCCAAATTCCTAGAATTTTCCTCCATTTGGTTCAATAAAACACTCTATGTGTCTCACAAACGAGGAGCGTCTGGCACCACGTCAGATGCGTCATATCGCGCCATGCTTGTCTCAATAATAATATAAATTAATCCCGCCATCACGTGACCAAAATTGCCGGCTAAAATCTCTCGAATGCCATGGTATCATTTTTTTTTCTTCAGTAAATCTGATTATTATTTCCCAAGTTATTCAATGATGACGTTATTAGATTGAGCTTTTTCGTAGTATTTTGCGCAACTTCATTATATTGTATTTTTACCGATATTGAGGGACAACAATGTTTACACGACTCTCAAAGGAGGGGTGTCTTATCATCGGTAAAATGGGTTTCCCTGAAACGAGACAATGTGGCTCGATCTGTAGTGTGCTGTACTGACATCCTTAGAATTTAGATACTGGCTTGTCTGGTATTAATGGATGGATGCCCAGGCTGTCTCCTAAAGCTGTAAGGGTAATTTCGGGTCTCATGTACTCTCATACCTAACGTACTTCTAGTAGGCGTAGCATAACAATCTTTTGACATGCCAATCCTCACCTGACTTCGCCATCCAAAAATTACGTCACTACCCCTCATTTGTGAGAAACAAAGAGTGTTTGTATCATTGAACCAAATGGAGGGAAATTTTAGGGATTTGGATAGTGTGCCGTACTGGGGTCTCGTGTAGTTTCGTACCTAACGTACTTCTAGTAGGAGTAGCATAACAATCTTTTGACATGCCAATCCTCACCTGACTACGCCATCCAAAAATTACGTCACTACGACGTCACAATCACGTCATAGAGCTTGCCAACTACTCGTACGGTACGAAAGGTACGAAACTACACGAGACCCGTAATTTCTGCAATCACTGTTACAACCGATACCTGACAGAAGGCTTGCATTAGCATAAGGTTCGGAGTTGGAGTCAGTAATCAAACAATTTTACATTCTGAAGTCAGGAGTCAAAGGGGAACTACAGAACTTTCTGCCTTTAGTTTGACAATGCGAAAATAAGCTGATGCGTAATGCATGGTATGTGAAAATGGGGTCTGGTATAGTTTAGTACCACATGCACTTCTAGTTTGCCTGGCTCGACAATTTTTGCATATGTCAATCCTCACCCTCACCTGACTACGTCACAGAAAAATTACGTCATTTCGATGTAACAGTGGCGTAATAAGGCCCACCAAAGTATGCGGATGGCCGACCAAAGTGCGCAGACGATCACCCGAATTCGATGCAAGCGATTTCTCTCATTTACACGTCACAACGATCACGATAGGAGAGAGATCGCCGGCTTGGGCGAGTTCGTTATCGGCGCCGCAGATGCCATTTCGGGCGATTGTAATTATAATTTGGCAAGCCCTATGACGTGATGGTGACGTCGTAGTGGCATAATTTTTGGATGGCATAGTCAGGTGGGGGTTAGGAATAACATATGCAAAACTCGTTATGCTACACCAACTGGAAGTACTTGTGGTACTAAACTACTAGACCCCGAGAATGTTTATATTTAGATTTGCTTAAATTTTTCCAGCTGTCTGTAAAGTAGCCTACATCAATCTTGCATCGGTACTACACAACAGCCCAACTGACTAGTCAAGCATATTTATTTTTTCGTCTGTCATTTGCTGATTTGCCAAAGGCACTGAAACTAGAAGAGGAAGTGAAAACAAAGAAACTTGTATTGTGTAATAATTCCTGATTTCTCGCAATTTACTCGCTTATAAATCATATTAATAAATAAAATGTCGTTGCTGACTCCACAGCGCGATTTTTTGCAAACAACTGGAATTACGCTGCAACCGAAGGTCAAGAAAGTAATTCCACCTCCAGTAATTTAAACAAAATTTGTAACAAATAAATTGCGTAAAAATATATCTTAAATCATTCATTACCTTGGTCAGTTCTCTCGGGATTCAAAAATATCAAATACTAAGCTGTAAAACATAAAATATAAAAGGATTACTTGGATTTAATTCACCAAAAATCAAAACCTAGAAACCAACAAACCGCCACTTTCTACAATGGCGGCCAAATCGTGACGTCACTAAGCACAACAAAGCGTGATGATGAAAATTCGTTCTTTCCGGTTTGACAAAATATACTCTGTTTCAATTCGAATCAGACAAAATGAAAAATTAAAACAAAATATTGAATTTTATTGGGAGTTGTCGAAACGATTGCAATATTTAACTGATGAAATAAGCATCAACGGATTTGTTGAATAATAATATTTGTGATCACTAGGTGTCTTTCTTTAATAACGCGACGGAAATTCCATTCAAAAATGCTTGAGTGAAGACGAAACAACCATTTCCGGAATGTTCGATATTATATAGTTTTGCACCATTTCGTTTAATATATATATTTATAATAATAATTCTGTTTTGTTTCCAAAATAAAATGGTAAATATTACAGAAAAACTGTAAAGCATTCTTCAAAAACCTCAATCACGCATAAAATATAATTTCTTGGTCAAGTTCGGAGCATTTGTTAATTCATTGTGCATTTGTTTCGTTTTTATAATCCACATAAATGCGATACATTGAACGGGAAGCTCAATCAATCTTTTAAGCTGTGATTATGATCAAAAACGGCATGTAAATTTAAAATACTTCTGAAATACACATAATCCATTGGCGCACTGGATCCGCAGTTCGTACGTTGACCTAGGTCCCCTATCGCCGGTCCGGGGACCGGTGCCGTTCCGCGAAGCCTTTTCGTCGGTCCGCGGGAAATTTCATTTTGTTGTTTTTCTAACGCTTCAATCGCTTTACCGAAGCCGAAAAGACGAAGTTACGTTGGTGTATTACACAATTTCTATCCGGCCGTCATATTGCTTTTTTATACGAGCGTTATGTCCCGGCGACATCATGGCGCCGAGTAATAACACTTTTCGCTTTTTCGGCTACGATTCATCGCGAAAACGCTCCGTCAAATCTCGCAAGGTTCAGAAACCTGAAAATCAGCATGCGTGCTTTTCCCGTTCTGCATGCTTTTCTTGATTAATAAGTCGAAGTTTACTTTGGTTTATTACGCAATTTCTCTTTCCGCGTCATATGGGTGTTTGATAAGTGCGGTATTAATAGCCCGGTGACGTCTTAGCTCGGAGTAATCACATTTTTCGCTTTTTCGTTTCCGATTCATCGCGAAAGCGCTCCGTCAAATCTCGCAAGATTTAGAAACCTGAAAATCAGCAAGCGTGCTTTTTTCCGTTCTGCATGCCTTTTTTGAATAATATTACCATCCAAATAAAAGGTTATGAATATTTCTTTGTTCAAACCAGAAAACTGTCAAAAACAGTATAATATTCTAGAGCTGCACCATGACACCCAGCGAGATATGAACTTGTTGCGACCCTGCAGGTGGTCACGAGACGCGCAACAAAAGCGGAGGCCGCTGAGATATTTCCCGATGCACAGCAGGATTTTGAGCCAGGTGCCTTGTTAGCAACGACTTTATCATTGTAATATAAATTCATTTTGCTTAGAGCGCGATCAACTGCAGAGGGATGAATATGATGAACCCGATGAAACCTATACTTTACAGTCCAGGTTTATAAAAGAATCATTGTCACAATTCATTCTTGAGCTCTCTTGATAACGAATACCCATCGCTAAGCAATCGAACAATCAAACTGTTGGGCGAATTTTCAACCAATTACATCTAGCTTTAATTAAAACGAAGCAATTAATTGACTGTGAACCGCTGCAGAACTACGTGTTGCAAAACCTTTTTTGATGTCTCGTTTGCAATCCTGTATTAGAAACGAAACAGTAGCAAAATTCGCACTGGGGGTTAATTGCGTTCGTACATGTTTTGGCATGTACATAATTTTTTTGTGATATGTGTGCCTTTTTTACGCATACTGGGTGCCCAGCACTGCATTTTTGACGCAAATATATGTTATTATTTTATGTTCCACCCATTTCAATTTTGGCCGGCACATTATTTGATAGTTTTTTTTCTCATGAGAAATGTTTTTAAGTGTACCCTTTTTCTCTAAAAGCATAGTGATTGCCCGAAATTACGCAAATATATACATGTTATTATGTTCTGTTCCACTCATTTCAATTTTTGCCGGTCCGCGAATACATTTTATTAAATTTTACCGGTCCACCAGAGTAGAAAGGTTGGGAATCACTGATCCAGAGCAGCGGTTCCAATTAATTTTGTTTTGTACATGTTTTCTGGTCGACAAAACAAAATAAACTCTCCCTCTCTTAAGCAGTGGTTCTCAAACGGTGGGGCGTAGACGGTGTTTTGAAAGGCATGAGGCTAATTGAAAATGAAAACTTTGTTAGATTCAATCCTGGCCGCCTTATTTTTAAATGTTTACATTTTTTTATTTTGGATATTGACGTTCTATCCACGTATTTTTGAATAAAACTTTCACTTTACTATCTGGTATTTGTATCTCATCTTTAAATAGTTATTTTTGAGGTGGGGCGCAAGACTTGATAAACTTTGGTAAGGGGCGCGACTTAAAACGTTTAATTAAGAACCAGTGCCCAGAGTGAAATGGACATCTTAGTTTTTTCGAGGTCTTTCCGAATCAAAACTATGATAATCAACAGTTGGTCAATTTTACCGATTAATCACCAAAAAAACGCCGATCCCACTTCTTTCGGAATCATGTTTTTAGTTCTATATTTCTCATGGAGTCAAAAGAAACCTTCAACTTTAACCTTACAAAAAAACTGGCTTATTAGAGACAAAAATATCCATAAAAAATGGATGGTGCTGCTGCAACTGGATAGGATTTGAATATTCATCCCGAGGGAGAGGAAAGTCTACCATACGGCCTCTCGTTGGGTTACCAGTCCATGTTGGGTATGGGATTAGTTAGCCAGTTACTTATTTAGAATGCATGGACATAGCACGGTGCAAGAATGAACACGCCCTACAGTGGTATGAGGTCCAGTAATACTCCTACAAATTATTCTCCACAGATTCAAGCTTCAGACCCACACAGGGTAATCAAATGTTCGATGGCGAGCGTATCACTAATGCTCAAATGGTAGGACACCACTAAGCTATAAATATCTCCCACGAAATTCGAACCTCCAAACCATACATTGGGTAATCAGAATTGCAATGACAATATGCCCAATGCTTGGCACACGGATGGGCAAAGTTTTTAGACCAGGGGCCAAAAATTTTGCCCACCTAGACTGGTAGGGCATTAAGTGCGCTGTGAAAATTATATGTGACTGCACACGACAAGTGCACGAGGCGAAAGCAAGAGGTATGAAAATCACACGCCTTCGAATCTAATGGACCTTTCCCCGAGCATCGACTTCCTTGTTTACTTCGTGACATTGGCCAATCAGTAAGATGCAAAAAGTGATGTAACAATGCCCCCTTTTAGCATCCGCTCAGACACATTTCTCACTCAGACAGATTTTCAAGCGTGGTTGTAAACATTACCTCGTTTTCGCACTCTATTCGTTAGTTTTCAGTTGTGCATCGGAAACTTAAATGAAAATCAGATAATTCAATGATCACTCTGTCTTCCTAGGAGTTTTAATTTAATTGCAGTAATAAAAGTTAGTGTAGAAATAGCTGTGATAGACTAGCCAGAAATTCTTTACCGGTACTTTTAAAAAACAGATTGTTGTGTGCGATGAATCATAATGATGGCTTGAAACACATACCCCATTTTACAGGCGCCAACTCGCAAAAGCACTCTTAAAATAGCCCCGAAAATTTTTCAATGGTAAAGTATAGGAAGATTTTTGCGGGGGTCATAGGTCGGGAAAAGGTCCATTAGTGAGAAAACATTAAGTTTTGATAATGTCCCCTTGTGATAATGTGAAATACAACTTACACAGACTGCGATAAAAATCTATTGCAGGACCAGATTTGACCCACGGGCCTCAGTCCATGCTAGGCTCAGTGATACACCAACTCCAAACAGAGAATAATCAGTCCAAAATCATAAAATTTAATCAACAGTAAAAAATCAAATTATAATTAACAGTATAAAAACTACATTGGATCACACACATTATGCCGCAATTTTACTAGGGAGAGGAAAGTTGGTAAGACAATACCCATTCTATGAGAATACCATCAATCCAATGGCGGCCTTAACCATCACAGGTCTATGCAAAACGAATTTTGCAGGGTCACACACAGGGTTGAGATAAAGATAATAACTAAAGATTTTTGGTACTCCCGTAGTATGTGCAACAAGATGGCGGACACCGGAACGTAGTATGTGTACCAGGTTAGGCCATAATTTCAAGTACAAATACTCGTAATAAACCTAAAATAAGGAAAATTATGGCCTAACCATAACCTGGTACACATACTATGTTATGGTGTCTGCCATCTTGGTACACATACTAGGGAGCGCCAGATTTTTCATAGAAAATGAATTCATCTTGGCATTTTAATAACTGTTACAAACTCATGTAATTTTGCTTACATTACGAGTCATGTTTTCACATTATAAATATGCTGACCTAAACATATCATAGTTTATAATGTGTAAGTTTAATAATGCATATCTTCAATTAGGGCCTAAGAAGGTTCAGATCTGGAAAGAATACCCACTTGCGTGACTTTAAATGCTGGCCATACAAAATGCTAGGGTATATCTTATCGGCTTTCCTCTCTGCTATGCTGAATATGAAAGAGAGCTGAGAATTTGGCATGTTTTTGTTGGAAGTATATTTCCAAAATTTGGGGCTCCCGAAGTATGCGAACCAAGATGGCGGACACCGGAATGTAATATGTGTACTAGGTTAGGGTTAGGCCCTAATTTTAGGTATAAATACTACGGGAGGCTCTTGGCTAGTCTTCGAACTGATAATAGGACTAAAATAAGGAAAATTGGAAAAAAATTAGCGCCTAACCCTAACCTGTTACCCATGTTACGTTCCGATGTCCGCCATCTTGGTTCGCATACTTCGGGAGCACCCAAAATTTTTTCTTCATTCCCTTAGAAGTGATTAAGGAATTGAATTAAGTTAACTTAATTAAGTCCAAATTTCTTTCCAATTTAGGAACCTACTACGGATGAAAGTGTAATCAAATCCCAAATTTTTACATAGTAAAATGAAAATACTTAACTGTATAAAGAAAACACATATCAAAAGCATGAAATCACAAGAACTAAATAAATGATCCGAATAAGATATACTGGAAAACGTAAATGGGTGCGATCAGGGGCGTGGCCAGAAATTCTTGAAGGAATGATTCTAAAATTTCTAATCGCCAAGTCAGACCGTAACAGCTATAGGGTACGGCCGGTAACGTGGGTTTTCAGGAGTCTTACGGGTCTAAAACACGGGTTCCCGAGCTTTTTTCAAGACGATCCCCAAAGACAACTTTCAAGTGTCCAGTGCGACCCCAGGTCGATATATAATTTTCATGAAACTAGAGCTTCTTTCACTAGACTTTTGAGTTTGGTCATGTGGTGGTATTATATAAAATAAGCTAAAACCAAACAGTGATGTCACAATAAGCACCTACATTCTCTATGTATAGCATAAACATGAAGCAATGCCTATGGGCCTGTTTTACAGTAAGCCATGGTACAAACGGCTAAATTTAACATGGTTTGTCAAATCGTAGTTGTTTTGTACATCCATCCTCCACTATATCTCCGCGACCCCACCGACCCCATGTGCTGTTTGCGACCCTACCTACTTATCACTTCGACCCAATTTGGGGTCGCGACCCCTGGTTTGGGAACCCCCAGTCTAAAAAGTGTGTCGAGCTTCGAAGAGGGGCATGTATGAAACAGAAAAATGCTTTTTTTGGGTACTCCTGAAGTATGTGAACCAAGATGGTGGACACCGGAACGTAGTATGTGTACCTGGTTAGGGTTAGGTCATAATTTTTTTCCAATTTGCCCTACTTCAGTTCTATTACGAGTTCGAAGATTAGCCAAGTAATATTTGTACCTAAAATTATGGCCTAACCCTAACCTGGTACACATACTACTTCGGAAGTACCCTTTTTGTTTACATTCGGCCCTCAATACCCCAAACTTCACATAGCCATTTGAAATATTGATTCAGGACTAACTGCTTATCCTGTGCAGCAAGAAAGACTCTCGAATCACTTGGGCTTATTTGAAATTTCTTAAAATTATACTAAATAATGAAATAATAATGCTGAATTATGATTCACAATCCTTTCCCGTTCCGCTCTACAAATTCTTTCTCTTTGAAACTTATTCCATCCCCCGGCAGCGGACTTGGTATGATCGGAGAAATCCATGCGTATTTCCAATTTACGCCGAAGACTTGCGCAATATTTTCAGCTGCTCCTAAATCGTAGTTAAAACCAATCTTCTTGGCCATCTCATGGCAGGTTCTACCCCTGTGGATTGTGAAAATTTTAATTAGAAAAATGTTTCAAATTAATTTTAACTTGGGAATAATTAAATCACCCATTTTTATTTAAATAATAATGCATGAACATCAGCCATTAAAAATTGTCAGTCAACGATCAAGAGTGCACATTTTTAAACATTGCCACAGGCGCCATTTCAAGCAGCCACTGAGTAAGAGTGAAACCAGAAATACGCCGACAACATTATAACTACTAGACCAGTGGTTCCCAAAGTTGATTGACCGGGGGCCAAAATTAGGGGCGAAACGATAATCGTGGGCCGGGAGTGCCTGCAAGGGGCCGATAACAATACATATATTTAAGATACCAGTATAATATAATTGTTGCCAATATAACATGCTTGAACTGTGATAATGATGTAACAATTGGCGATATCTAGAACGCAGAAAGGTAAAAACATACAAACGCAGTGTTAAACTATTTCACTCGAGTTCAGCCGACCATATTAAGTCGTTAAATGGGCCGCGATTGGCCCGTGGTTTGAAAACCACTACACTAGTCCAAAGCGTACTTACTTTAACAGGTTTCTTCCATGCCAACCCAACATCACAGTGCAATACATGAACCCTAGCAGACATATCGAGGTCATGATCGCCATTACAAATGTCTCAGATTCAGCATAACCGAGAACCCAAGCTAACCATGGTACGAACATCGTTAGTAATGTCCTGTTAAGATAGTAACAATTGATTAGTTCATGGAAGGAGGTAAGAAAGCATAATTTATTTCCATTAAATACTATACTAAAAAGTTTTAATCAGATCACTGATTCTCAACCAGAGAGCCATGGCCCACCGCCGAGCCAAAGATTCTTTTTGAGATGTGCCACAATTCTATTAAAATTGCTAGTTTAATTTGTGTCACTATAGTTAATTTTGATTGTAGTAGCAATGTATAATGATTGATGATGCTGTTTAACCATGGAACGAATATTGTTAGTAATGTTCTGTTAAGATAATGAAGATTGATTAGTTTGTGGAAATACAAAACCCCATAATCTCTTTCAACAAAATAGTAAATTTAGTTTCGTTAAATTATAGTTCAACTTCTTTAGGCAAATCAAGATGTAAATGGAACAGAAAAATAAAGAATGCACAGCTTGTAATCAAGAATATCCAGAAAATGAAATATATATTTAAAACTTGTTACTGATTTCGAACACATTCTAAAATAAATAACTGGTTCGTTATTCCTCCTTCTGGAATAGAATTCTATCTTATTCGAAAAACTATATTATTCTGTTTTGTTCCGTGCAGAGACTAGTTTGGAGCAATAACCTTCCCCCCTACAAAAAAGAACAAAATAAAACTTACTTTGGCTGTAATACATGGAACACCTCCCATACGAAATCGAAATTCAAAATATTTGAATAAAGCAGGGCGACCCACATATTCATCAGCATACTTAGAAAATATCGCATCGTGGCATGTCCGACACAATGTGACACAAGAACACAGTGATGGTCTCGAACTAAGATGCATTTGTGGCACGTGAAACAGTGATAAGACCTGTAAATATGATATAATAATAAGTAATTGCAACACCAGTGGTTCCCAACCTTTTTCGCTGAATTTCTCAATTTGCCTATTTTTGGAACATTTTATTTCTCCCCGCGATGTGTGAGAACTGCTTTATTTATTCAATCTGTAATGGATCATTACATAGGGTTATGTGCAAGTGACACTCTGCTTTTGTATAGTTCAAGTATTTTTTAATGAGCGCATTAAAAATTAAATATAGTAATAAAAAAGACCTTCAGAAAATTAGTAACTCGTTCCTGTTCAGAGCAAAAGGGTGTATATGTTAGGGTTTGCCGTAGGGTAATTATGTGCAAAATAATTCACCGCTGGTCTGTCTCAGCTTTCCTCCACCATTAAGTCCAGATACTCCCGAAGTATGTGAACAAGATGGCGGACACCGGAACGTAGTATGTGTACTAGGATAGGCCATAATTTCAGGAACAAATACTATGAGAGTCCCCGAACTAGTAATAGAACTAAAATAAGGAAAATTGGAATAAAATGACCCTGACCCTAACCTGGTACACACTACGTTCCGGTGCCCGCCATCTTAGTTCACATACATCGGGAGTACCCAAGTCCATGCATTTGAAACAAATAACTAATCCAATACCCAATATGGACTGGTAACCGGACAAGAAGCCATGGTCAGCTATATGACTGTGCAAACCGTCTTTCCTCTGTGTCATGGTAAATAAGAAAATCTCATACTTCCACCAGTAAAATGTTACCATACCTTGGAGGAGCATTGGCTTCACATTTCCAGCAATATTTCCAACCTTTTTCTAACGAACTTGGCAGAACCCTGCTTCCACTTGTTGCATCGGTTGTAATAAATTTCCACACGCTCAAATATGCATTGATTAATATAAGAGTACCTTGAAAACATAATAATTCTGATTGAGCGAGCGAGACTATCAATAGAATTTACATATTTATCCCGGGGGAGAGAAAAGTCGATAAGGCGACTTAATTATATGGCGAACCACGGCCTCTCGTCCGGTTACCATTCCAAGTCGGGTATGGGATTAGTTATATTGTTTGTTTTCGGAAGCATGGACTTGGTGGTGGAGGAAGCAGTTACCGACCAGCGGCCACGTGAACCACCCAACGACGGCGAGGAGTCCAGCAATCCTCTCGCACATAACCATCCCTACATGGGATTCGAACCTGCGAACCCACGCAGAGTAATTAGAGGTGCGGTGGCGAGCGTATTCCTAACGCTTAGCCCGTTGAGCTACACCGCCGGGCCGTAACAGTAGCTCTCGGCCACTGCTTCTCAATCAGTGGCAATGGTCCACTTCCGAGCTACAGAAACATTTGCAGATGGACCACAAACCGGTTAAAAATTGTTAGAGTTAATGATAAATTAGTTAGAGTTAATGATAAATTAGTTAGAGTTGATTGAATGATGATGCTCTTTTTGAATTTGAGTAGTAATTCTCAGTTCGGCACGACACACTATACAGTTCGAGCGACATTGTCTCGTTTCAGAGAAACCCATTTTACTGATGATCAGACACCCCCACTTTGGGAGACGTCTGGACATTGTTGACCCTCAATATCGGTAATAATACAGTATAATGAATTTGCGCAAAATACTACAAAAAAGCGCAATCCAAGAACGTCATCATTGAAATCCTCTGGAAAAAATTATCCAAATTACCAAAGGGAAAAAATTTTTTACCGTGGCATTCGAGAGTTTTTAGCGAAAAACGGCAAGTTTGGTCATGTGACGGCCGTGATTAATTTAGATTATTATCGAGACAAGCATGGCGCGATATGGACGCCCCTCGTTTGTGAGACACATGGAGTGTTTGTTTTATTGAGCCAAATGGAGGGAAATTCTTGGAATTTGGATAGTGTGCCGTACTGAATGTCCTGTCATTTGGTTCAATAAAACAAACACTGCGGTTTTTGTTGAAAACTCTCGAATGCTACGGTGAAAAAAATTTTCATTTGTTATTAAATGGGATTATTTTTTCGCCGAGAAATTTAATGATGACATTTTTATATTGCGCTTTCTTTTAGTTATTTGTGCAAATTCGTTTGCAGGACATTTTTGGAATTTAAAAACTGTGCACACTGTTTTAGTTGATTTGTGTCGATATGGAGGCCCAAACTGTCTCGTACTAGATTATGACCCCTTACATTACACTGCAGTTTGAATATTAAAGTGGAAGTTCCTATCTTTGAGATAATATTTTTTGTAGTTTTTCCATGCAAGAGGGTTAATGGGCCAAAGAATTTTCTGTGTAACAAAAGTGGGCCACGAAAGAAAAAGGGTTGAGAACCACTGCCATAGACATTTCAAGATTTGCCATTGGCCTAAGATAAGAATATTCTATCCTATCAAAAAATATCATGAAGAATATTAATAAGGCACAAAAGAATCAAATCAGTGGTAACCAGGAAATCCTAGCGAAAAATACTAAAAAATATGAAAAACTGACAAAATAATTAAATCTTACCAAAAAATATATGAATTCCTTTATGAAATGTTGGATCTGAAGCCTGAATTCTTGGTAGAATGATGAAAAATTCAAACAAATAAACAGCTAGCATAAGTCCAGTGAAAGTGAAAAAAATTATCTTTTCGTTTCGAAATCGAAGAAACTTTTTCCTTGGCTCCATTTTATTTTGTAATTAATTTTACGATTATTAATTCTGTTTAAAATTAAAATATATCACATGGTGAATCAAGTCATCTCGTCCAGTTACCACTTAATCCAGTTTTTTTTCACTGTAATTATGATGCCTGCGCCAAAGTATCTTGTTCTGATAGGAACTTTCCTCAGGCTGTTAGGAGTCGGTCGACTTTGTCTTTCCCGCCCGCTTACCGGTACCGGTACAGGCTTATGATTAGACTATATTTCATGTTTATTGTTTGTTTATTCTTATTGTACCGTACTTATATGTAATGAAATATTCGGAAATAAATCATTATTTATTCATGGCAAAGATAAGTCCAGGTCTGGGACCGTCCAGCAATCCCCTAACAAATACTGGTACGGTACCGGTACCTTATCCCCGACAGTGATCTGAAATATGATCATGGGAAATATCTGAAAAGTATGGGAAATGCTATAAAAGAATGGGATTCGAATAATATATGAATAAGAAAAAAACCTTTTTATGAAATTTGCCCACGGCAAAATCACATGCACTCACCCAGATATAAAGGCGGTTGCTACTACATAACTACAGTTATGGGCAACCACTTGCAGAATGAAGACTTCCTTTGGCAACACCTTATAATTTAAATTCTGTGCGTATTGAACATTTTAACGTTTGCTCGTTCTCCTAATTTTATTATCATCTTATATCAGTTTTATCATCTCTAAATGAACTGTTACGGTACCTATAAAAAGTACGGTACCGGTACACCCTGCGCTGGTCAGTATGTAACTGTGCCCGGTGATAGACAACCGCCAGCTTACAAAATCGAACTGGCAGTGAGCAAACGCGTGTTCCCGGAGACATAACCACAGCTGAGTGGTCCCGTTCTGGAAGTTTGATGAAAATGATGGTTTCAATCATGTAACTCGGTTTTTAGGTGCCAACTATAAAACACTTGCAAAAAAGGGGTCCAAAATTTTGCAATAGTAAAGTATAGAGAGAATTTTTTCTGGGGTCAAGATCATTATATGGGGTCAGGATATTATATATACGCTTTGGTCAAGGTAACATTGGCTCGGCGGTGTCGCGCATCGTGCTAAGCGTTAGGAATACGCTCGCCACCGAATCTCTGATTACCCTTCGTGGGATCGCAGGTTTGAATCCCATGCGGGGATGATCATGTGCGAGGGGATTGCTGGACTCCTCGCCGCCGTAGGGTGGTTCACGTAACCGCTGGTCGGTTACGGCTTCCTCTATCATCAAGTCCATGCTTCCGAAAACAAATAACTGGCTAACTAATCCCATACCCGGACGAGAGGCCGTGGTTCGCCATATTATTAAGCCGGCTTTCCTCTCCTCTGGGATAAATATGTGAATCCTATCCTATCCTAACATCCATTAGGATTTTCCTATCTTATCTTGGACAAGAGAAAAGTCGGCGTGCCATAGCTAACGTACCACCGAAAATGAAGATGAGAGCAGTTCACGTATCTGCTATGGTCACCCCAACAATTTAGACTCCAGCCACTCGCACTGTTAACTCAAAAACAAGTGCACAGGGATGATTACGAAAAACCAAGTAGTTCTGTAGTTTACCAAAACTCAATCTCACCTGAACTGGAAGACAAAGGAGATATGCGGTATTTTTCTAGTGGTGAAAGTGCTAATTTATCTATCAGGTAACGCATCTCTGGTTAAAATTGCATAAGCTCACCTCACACCGAGCTTTATAAATAAGATGGGCAATACTAAACTTGAAATTTTCTCGTCCTAAAAGTAGTGGTTCATCACCATAATATTATATATCATTACTTATACAGAGCCAACCAGTGGTGGAATTCAATTTGTTTGTCAGCCGGACTCATCACAAAAGTCATATTTTTCACCAGGTTCTGTTACAAAAAGTCATTGAGAGTAACCAGTAATGCTAACTGATTCCCTGATCTCATAAAATTCTGTGAGACGGTTCTATAGAACCGGTGCGAACCGGCTGAATCACAACCACTGCCCCCATCCCCAATAAAAACTACTCCGAAGATAATTTTACACATTTCATTTAATTTCACCGAACATTAAAGATTCATTTACACGAATAGCACAGCAAATACCCCCTCCGGCCACTAAATTTATCTTATGCCCCCTACCAATGAGGTTTTAAGGAGCATTTTCATTCGCTAGTGGCCGAGTAAAAGCCCAAATCTGGCAATTGGGGTGAAATCGAAATCCAATCCCCAAATTGTACTTTTTGGGGGTTGCAAGGGAATTCCCCTAACATCTCCTCTACCCCCATAAAGGATCAGTTAGAGTCCTCCCCATAAATGAGCTATCACAAATGAAACTCAATCGAAAATATTACAAAATAGAAGCACAAAAACAAGTCCACACTGCTAAGAAAAATGTGCAAAATTCCATAACAATTCATAGTTAATGTCCAGATATGTTTTTCAAACTTAAGTTGCCACGTTAGGAATTTTTCTTATTCTTGTCAGAGAATATGTATCATATAATAAATTTCTGTTGTTGCTAAGAAAAAATTGATTTCATATATATATCTATACATATACAGAATTTCATTCAAACATACAAATAATAAATATTCGGGTAGTCCATCCAAAATTTCGGTCTTGTTCCAATTCATGAGAACACTCAAATTGGACAAATGACCTAATAATCTTGACATCGCTCTCTTAATTTTGTATTATGTTTCCAAAGAGTAATGAAAAAAGCATAAAATAAATTTGAAATGTGAAAAATTAACACATTTCTCTTAACAGTGTGGGTGCAAAAACTGCATAAGTTGAATAAAAAAAGGCAAACTAGAATTCACATTATCACTGGAATTGACTCGGAACATGATTGTATAGGACAATTGCTAGAGAGGGAAAGTTTTCAAATTGTTTTCAATTTTTAGTAGGGTATTACTCCACCTTAATTAAATACAAACAGAGAAGAAACAATAATTTGACCAAATTTATTCCAATCTGGAATTACAGCAGTGGTTCTGAAACTTTTTAAGCCACGCCCCTTTTTTAGAATTTGTCAAGTCTCACGCCCCACTCCCAAAATAAGTAGCTAACAATAAGCTACAAATAACAGATGGTGAAGCGAATGTATGTCCTATTTAAAAAACATGTTGAAAATACGTGTATAGAACGTAAATATCCAAAATAAGGCAGGAAAGATCAAATCTAACACATTTTTTAATTAGCTTTACAAACTCTCAAAAACTTGACTGCGCCCCACAGTTTGAATTAGGACTTGGTGAATACTGATTGATCCGACACATGAAACCGTTTGTGTCAGTACAACCATGAAAACAGCTGAGGTTTTGCATTACACAGAATTGAAGTTGGCAGAAAAAACTTTCAGTGTATCAAAAAATTTATTTTGGTTGGTAGGTACATTGTAGTTACATTGTCAATAAGTCTCACAGCTAACGGAATTTGGCGTCTGAATACTTTACATTTTCACTAGTTTTTCGTTCAGGAAATCTTCTACTGTGTCGGTGTCCCAGCTTGCAATGCTCAAAGTATCTTGAACTTCCTCATCTTCATTTAATAATTTAATGATTGGATCTTGTCCTCTGAGATACTGGAAACAGAGAAAAGAGATTTTAATAATTTATATATGAAATTTATTTGTGCAGTTCCTGCCCTGTACAAGTGGCCACTGATATATAACAGTATGCAAAACGAAAAAAAATAAGGAAGGACCGTAATCTTTTGGGGGCGCTCCAGGAGTGTGTGTACCAATATAGAGGTAACTAATTTGTTCGCCTACTTTACATCAATTTGTTAAGGAACTGAAACCTATGGGCTACTTGGCTAACACAGGCAGTCTTCGAACCACTAATATAAATGAAAGAAGGGAAATTGGAATAAAATTATGACTCCAACCTGGCACACATACTACCGGAGTACCAAGAGAAATGTGTTTTAATTCACGTCTACATTAAGTTTAAAAATTGGTCTTTCAAAAATTGTATATTTACAGCTAAAATAATTATGAAAAGGACTTTGGATAAGTATGGGAATTTGTGCAACAGGATTTGGGTAGCTAATAACATTGTGCTCGTAATCCATATACATTAGTACTCTGCTTTTGAAAGGAAATATTTAGGCTCAGACACAAACTTACCTTGACTCTTAAATTAGGAAAACGCTTGGATTTTTCTCCTTTCACAAACTCTGAAAAATAAATTGATAGAGGTTAAACAAAACAGCATGAAAATGCTTCCGGGGTAGTAAAGGTATGTACATCCTTATGGCAAACATGTGAAGGCCGAAACGAAAAAGTGAACTCCAGCTGGGCTCAGGATATAGACCAGAGGTGGGCAAGGATTTTGAACCAGGGGCCAAAAATGTTGCCCACCTAGACTTGGGGGACATGTGGGTGTGACGTAAAAAGTTACATTTTATGAACAATATTTACAAAAGCAGCAGTGGAAAACAATAAGCCTCGTGCCAAAACTAAATTTAACCACAATCTTAAAAAATTTCTGGAGTTATCTTTAGCTAAAACAAAATTTAGTTATTTTTAGTTGTGGCAGCATCAGACGGACCAGATTGTGTTACCCAACGGGCCGGATTTGGCCCGCGGGCCGTACTTTGCCCATGTCTGATATATACAGGCACGGGTCTGCGAAGTCGAATTTTGAAAAATCTTTATTAATATTGTGGAAACTCCGTTGAATCAGTCAGAAGTCAGACTTCAAATAATCGCCATCAAAGTAAAAGTTCAGACAGAAACAGAAACACACATCTGAAGGTAGAAATGGATAATTAACAATAGCTGGGCTCAGACATGGACAGGGCTGTGAGGTTAAAGGTTCAGTCCTTATTGATATCGGAGTCGTAGCAACTCCCTAGAACTAAGACCTGATGTCAATCATTACATTCGGGTCAAGCTTCTCTATCGCTGACTTTTTTTCAAAATAAAAATATGTTTATAAAAAATACATACAAAAACTATGTGTGGAATTCAAAGAACTCCTATATGAAATTTCGGGTAAAATTCGAGCTCCGGCCTGCAAATCCAACTAATTAGTTTGACGCTGGTCGGGTTTAATACCCACGGGGTCGATCTGGAGTTTTTGGGCCCGATCTTGCCTTTACCTAGAACACCAGTACTCAACCAGTGGACCATGGCCAACTGCTGAAGCCACAGAAACATTATCAGGTGGGCTACAAACTTATCAAAAATTGAGTTATTGATGAATTAGTTAAATTTGATTGTAGCAGCAATGAATAATGATGCAGTTTGTCCCTACTGAGATGGTATTCTTATATTTTTTATTTAATCGGAAGTGCCTATTTTTTTGAAAAGTATTTGTTTTTAAACTACAATGATAGCTACTGTACTCACCCTTGACTTGGGGGTATCGTCCTATTTTTCATCCGCACACTTCTAGGACTGCAGAGGGGAATTTCTACAAATATCAAAAAGTATTTTTGCAATTGGAAATTCGAATTGCAAAAGTACGCTAATAAATTCTAACATCGGACTACATTTTCTAACATATAATATATATACACGGCGCGGCGGTGTGGCTCAACGGGCTAAGCGTTAGGAATACGCTCGCCACCGCACCTCTAATTACTCTGCGTGGGCTCGCAGGTTCGAATCCCATGCAGGGATGGTTATGTGCGAGAGGATTGCTGGACTCCTCGTCGTCGTTGTGTGGTTCACGTAACCGCTGGTCGGTTACGGCTTCCTCCACCACCAAGTCCAGGCTTCCGAAAACAAACAATACAGTAAAATTAATCCCATACCCGACTTGGAATGGTAACCGGACGAGAGGCCGTGGTTCGCCATATGGATAAGCCGTCTTATCGGCTTTCCTCTCCCCCGGGATAAATATGTAAATCCTATCCTATCCTACAAACAGAGATGTAGCCAGGGTTGGAACTGACCCTTCCTCCTTTTTGGACACGTTTAGTGGCCATAACGATCGTTTCAAAATTTTGTTGTTATTGTTATTTTCTTTCGTCATTATCATTAAAAAATCGCTTTTCTCTTCGAATACTGGACCAATTGCTTTGGAATTTTCAGTGGTTCTAGATTGATTTTTTTGCCAGAAGGCTTTCACTTTCATTTATTCCTGAATTCTCTATGAATCTTATGAGATCTAATATTTCATCCAAAATTGCGCTGTATTAATTTTTAATTATGGGAACACGGTTTTTAATCCGCCAAGCGTGACGGCTGACTGTGAAAATTCTTGCGACTGAAAACCCGGAACTTTTTGAGGGTACGGTACCGGTAACGTCAAAGGTAAACCCTGCTTCGCTCTAGTCCACGTGTCCATATATTTGAGCCTTCCTTCTTTTTAAAATGTAAAAACAAAGCATTTTTTTGTATCACACATAGCAATTTTTTGCAGCTTGTAATGCTTTTTGGACCCTCAATACTGTTGAAAACCCATGTTTTCCAAACCCACTAGTTCAGAGGTTGACACGGTTTTGCCCACCTAGACTGGCAGGCCATGTAACTGTGTCGTAAAAGTTACGCTTTACACTGTTACAAAAGCCAAAGTGAATAACGATGAGCCTCGTTCTAAAACTGAATTTAATGCAATCTCAACAAATTCCTTCAGCTATTTCATAGCTTAACATCAGAATTTGTTTTTAGTTTGGTTGTGGCAGCATCAGACGGGCCAGATTGAATTACTCAACCAGCCAGATTTGGCCCGCGGGGCCGTAGTTTGCGCTAGATGACATGGTCAAATTTCAGCTCCTCTCCCTTTCAAAAATTCCTGGCTACGTCCCTGCATATACACTTATACTAGTTATGGGGTGGCTCGAGTTATGACTTGTCTGAGCCACCGTCCATATTTTGGGTCCCGTGATGACCTAAACTTTTTAAGAAAATTTGCACCTTGCAATTTTTTCAACGATTCCTGGCTTTGTGCAATAAAACAAAACATTGGAAGATCACAACAAAAACCACAGCGTCAGTTAACTTATATCGGCAGCAATTGAACTCTCTCTGTGATATCACAGTCCTATATCTTTGTGACATCACAGGGGGCATCATGAGCGACACAGAAAGTGTAGAATCAGTGTCTACGACAAAGAGACAATGATTGCGAAACAGCAAAAAGTGACAAATGTGTATTTGTAAATTTAAGCACTTAATTTTTGTAATATCGAACTATGAGATTTCTTTTGTGGACCCTCTAAAAGTGCTTCTCGGCCCCAAAAAGGTCTGCAGACCCCACTTTGGGAACCACTGGCAGTTAAAGCATCAGATTTAACTGTGTTGGCCATGCTGATTATACAACCTACATTTATAATGCTACATACAAGCTAAGACGCTCCCGTAGTATGTGAACCAAGATGACGTACACCTGAACATAGTATGTGTACCAGGTTAGGGTTAAGCGATAATTTTATTTCAATTTTCCTCATTTTATTTTAATTACAAGTTCGGGGACTAGCCAAGTGACCCCCGTAGTATTTGTACCTGAAATTATGGCCTAACCCTAACCTGGTACACCTACTACGTTCTGGTGTCCACCATCTTGGTTCACATACTACGGGAGTACCCAAACTAACACAGAATTTATTGACGAACAGGCTATCCCTCTCTACTTTTACCTTGAAGCTGGGGGTAGTTTAGAATCTCTCACTTACAGACTTCAATTGTAGCATAAGTAGCCTATGAGGCAAATATAATTGAATAGAATTTTAGGGTGATGCGATGGCCAAGTGCTTGAAGAGTTTGGCTCTTTAACTGTGTTGGCGCCGCAAGTTTCATATCTTGGGTTCAAATCTCTTGACCTCACCTGAAAGGATTGCTGGACTCATCGCTGCCGTAGGGTGGTTCAAGTAACCGCTGGTCGGTTACGCTTCCCCCACCATCAAGTTTATGCATCTAAAAAAAAAAACTAACAAACCAATACCATACCCATTATGGACCAGTAACCAGACGAGAGGACTAGTTCACCATACGGTTAAGCCGTCTGATCAGCTTTCCTCTCCCCTTGGATAAAAATCTATATCCTATCCTACCCAAGGTGTGATAAAATGGGTACTTAAATTGGCAAACGATCTCAATTTTTGAGTTCAATATTGTTCCCAACTCACTTTAGTCCCTTTATCATCTGCCTCTTTCTGACAACATTTCAGACAATCATTTTCAAGTTTTTCAAGTCCAAATTCTTTCAAAGACACACACATCCCACACATGAGGTGTCGCTTGAAACCGATATCAGCACATTGCGCCGCTGTGTATGGCTCAGATACTTCAACTGTGCATGCTGCATTGTGGACCTAGAAAAGTCAAATTTTTTAAATGACGTTACTTCAGTTCTTTTTTTTCTAAACAAGGCCAGCATTCTTGGGGCCACATGGCTGCCGCAAAACAGTATTAGCCTACGCTTATTGTCAATGAACCTAGCAGACAAAATAAATTTTGTATGCCGAAAGTTTTTTTCGACAACACAGCTGTTTTCATGATTGCACTGACACAAACTACTCTATGTGTCGTGTTGATCCATTCAAATATTTTGACCAGTGTGAAATGTGGGCCACAGAGCACACTTGGTATAATAGGTGTTTGTTGTACATTAGCAGTTACACTGTTTTTTTTTGCAAATAAACTGTTTCTATTTATAGTTTCATGATAAATTCTTAAAATCCAACTCACCCATGCTAGGAAGACCAGCTGTAAAAGCCGGAATCCCATTTTCTTTTGGATATAAGTCACAATACAATATACTATGATATCATAAACTCTAATTATGAAATCATAAAAATCTAAATTTGATAAATTTCAACAAACATAATCAGTGAGAATTACAAAAACACATAAATTCAAAGAAAAACTTCACATTTTTTTCAATGTTTGTTCGGAATTTCACGAAAACATGGGTACTCCCATAGTATGTGTACCAGGATAGGATTAGGCCATAATTTTATTCCGATTCTCCTTATTTTATTTTAGTTCTATTACGAGTTTGGGGACTGTCTGTGTTAGCCAAATGAATTTACCCCCTGTCCATATGTTTCAGTCCCTTTACACAACTTGATGTAAAGTATGCGAACAAAATTATTGACCTCCATATTGGTACACACACTTCTGAAGCGCCAAAATATGGATAATATTGAAACATCTAGTCAGCTTTAGTATGACTCTGTAACAACTTTACGCAAAAACGCAGTGAAGATATGATTAAGCCGTTTTACTTTTATTTCCTCTCCTCTTGGGAGCAAAAATACCAAAAGACCATTGTCATATAATAATACAATTAGGTCGTACTATTGGTTTTCTTCATTCGCTTGGATATGAAAATTCAAAATAGTCGAACTGGGAGTTATTCTGGATCATCATACTTTAAAAATAATTACTTCTAGCGGCGAAGTTGAAATCGTACCAAAGTTAGACAGACCTAACGAGAGCAATACATAAATATATGAACAAGTTACTGCCAGTGTTTGGGGGGTTCGAATCGTTGATTTCATTCAATTTCAGCTGGTGTCCTCACTTATTAAAGTCACCTAACTCAGGGCTTTCCAAACTGAGGGTCGCAATTCGCAAACTCACATGGGTGTTTATATTAGGCGTCGCCAATAGTACACAAAACTATATCTATCATATTTATATTCGAAACACAATTATTAAAACTAGTACATAACATAAATCTATCGATTCCGAAATAAAATCAAAGAAGCAGTGCGCCTGCATAAGAATGTCGACTGTTGATCATAAAACCCGAGAAGACTAGCGCTCACATAACAAGGGTCGCGGTAAATTTTTAATTATTGGAAGAGGTTGCGAGCCCAAAAGTTCGGGAAGTCCTGACCTAACTCGACATTAACTAAACAACATCAAATTCAATTTCTATAATTTTTGAAGTGTTTTTTACAAATTTTTCAGTTCAAGACGGCCCAAACTTAAAACTACTTTAACTTGATTTCGATAATATTATTTCAAATGGTATTCAAAATGAATAATTATTCCTTTTAAAGATCACATAAATATACAATACCAGGGTTTTCCGGAATGCTCTCATAAGAAGCTGAGATTTAACGCTTTCCCTAATTTTAAATTGATATCGGCCCAAAGTACCCAAGTCACATCAAAAATGAGAAACGAGAAGCGAAAAATTTGTTTTTGGTGTGAATATTTGTCTCGATACAGCTAGGTGAGTTATTTCCAGAATCATGACCAAACAGCTGTTCAGTGAGAAAACATATTTTTTACTATGGCGAAAAATATTCTGCTGTTTCCTTGACAAATTGAAATCTACTTTGATAAACAAAACATCCAATATATATATAAATTTGGGATCTCCTGAAGTATGCGCACCAAGATGGCTCACACCTTGAACTCAGGTTGTGTACCAGGTTAGGATTCAGGTTGTGAGACATCTTGGCGCGCATACTTCAGGAGTACCTAAATTTGCGCAAATCGATTTGCGCCATATGGCAGCTCGGTTGGTTATTTGGTCCGTTTTATTATCCCATTTTTTTTTCAATAAACGATCCATGAGCAACTCAACGGAAAACCCTGGTATAAAATAAATGTCTGTTCTTGCATAAATAAGTCATAATGGTTATGATAAAAAAAAGCCACCAGAATTAAATGTTTATACAATTTTCTAAAAATTAAAATATATGTTGGCGTAAATAAGTCAATTCATATTCTAACCATGTTCATAATGCATGGTGAAAAAAACGGAACGGAGGTCACTTGGAATTGAAACAAATTTCAGAGCAGTGGTTGCCAAAGTTGATTGAAAGATGGCCAAAATTAGAAGCAGAAGGATATTCGGGGGACCGGGAGCGACCACAAGGGGCTGCTATTCCTAACTGTGGATCCCAAATCATGAATTTTTTTTCAACCTATTCCCAACCCACTGTCTGTATGGAAGCCTAGTATCCCTGGAGGAGACAATCAAATGATACTAGGAACCGAATATCCATTAACCGGTAGATATAACAGTCTATATCAGTGGTCGGCAACCTTTTATAAGTGACGTACCGGTATATCCCGATCAAATTTTTTGGGGGAACCGACTTCATACAAATGGGCTAAGCCTATGTAATAAAGTACGTGTTTCTTACATCCAGCCTACTTCGATATTTCGTTGTCAATATCGAAAACCCGGCCTCAAATGGAAATGATGCTGTGGAAGGTAACAGCTTCTGAATCTCTATCTGGGCATTGCTTGATGTTCGTTTAGCAATAACTAATGCGCTGTGTTTGTCTGGTTTGCTGTTTTTAGTCATAGGGCTTGTGGTTGGATTGTAGAGGTGTTATTCGGCCCCTGTCTGTTTTTGTGTCACATCTCTGCGGACTGGCAGTCACCTTTCCACAGACCGGCAATGGGCCATGTCCCGGTGGTTGCCGACCACTGGTCTATATAACAGCCTATTGGCCCTCAATAAAAACATCAATAAAACGGTGATTGGGCCCAGTTGCGGATTTTATCAATGGTGGCCCAATAGCCCTCTAAAGAGTGGGCCATTCACTTCAATATATCCATCCAAATTCCTAACAGTGGATCCCAAATTTGAAAAAATACTAAAACTTTTATCGGTACACCTGAAGTATGTGCACCAAGATGTCGCATAACCTGAATACTAACCTGGTACACAATCTGATTTCAGGTTGTGCGCCATCTTGGTGCGCATACTTCCGGAGGTCCCTTTTATCAATATATATAAGGAGTTACCCACAAATGAAACTTTGGGAATGAATTGAACAGCTATAAGATATACAGGAGAAAATATAAATAAATTTCCTATATACATCACAATATAGAAGCAAAAAATAAGGCTTAGTTCCCATATTAGCAGCAAAAATTTTTGCTAACTTGGTCAAAATTGCCTAAAATATTAAAATCACTTTCAAATATTTCAGAAGGATTTTTAATGTTGTTTTTTAGAGACAAGAAAGATGGTCATATGGCAAATCATAGTTGTGTGCCCGGGTTAAATAAAGGGTATAGTTGATTATCACATAATATAACAATTATATTGAAAGCGAATGTTGCTTTGATTTATCACATGAAAGAATATTTTCCGTTTGTTTGTCTGTTTGACTTTTCTGTCAGAACCTTTTCCAAAAATTTAGTGAGCATCTAGAAACCTATCGTTGACCAAACTAGCAACTATTCCCTTCCTTTCATTTGTCAGTACTTTTTATTCAGAGTTCAGGACCTTGATTTGAGGCTTTGAGCAATCTTGTACATGAAAACTTATGCATGGCTCTTAATGCGTCATTGGTGTTTCGCAACTCTTTTATTGTTACTCTTTCCAAAATTTAGTAAGGGAATAGAAGCCTTGCCTTGAGCAAAAATTGCAGTTCTTTCTATTGACAAGGCCTTACTTTGAGCAATATTTTATATAAAAAGCTTTTAGCGCATCAGTCGTTGTTTGCAACATATCGTTACACTTTATCAACAAGATTAATTTTTTTGATTTCTTTAAATTTCCCAAATAATTTCAGTGATTCAGATTGTAGTCTTATCCAGCATAAATTCCAGAATAAAACAGCGGCAGCAATACTTTATAAATTAGATTAACAATATTCTGACCAATCACGGTTCAATAATTTTTAACAAAACAAAAGCACTGAATGTTCCAAGGTAGACCAGACTTTTATAGTCCTCTGAGCACCAGGCTTTAGACCAGTTACACAAAAAATCTCCATAAAATGTTGCTTCAATAATAACTCATAGGCAAAGTGGTTTTTAATTTAATTTCATCAATATCCCTGCAAACCGTTATAGATTTTCTGTTTTGACTCAATTTTAAGTAAATTTGTAATCCCTTCCTTTTGTTCGTCAGTTAATTCTCCCCTTGGAAACTCCACGTCGAAAGTTATGAACAAATCGCCACGTACGTTTACATTTTCGACAGACGGTAAACCTTTCGAACGTTTTTTAATCTTCGCTCCTGGCCAAGTGACTTCTTTTCTTTCGATTTTCACTTTTTTGCCGTCAAGGTGTTTGATGTTCATTGTGAATCCCAAGAGGGCATCAGAGAGTGATATAGTTACATTTGTGAATAAATCAAGACCTTTGTGCTCGAAAACAGGGTGTTTCAATATTTGTATATCGAAGATTAAGTCCCCAGGCTCCCCGTCAATATCTGGCTCACCCTCCCCGATAAAAGGATATTTAGTTTTGTCTTCCATCCCAACTTCGATCTCCATTTCCAAAACTTTTTCCTCGTTGACGAGTTTTACGTTCGGACATTCGTCACAGACTCTCTGCTGCATCATCTGGAATCTTCCAGGTCCCATTTGTATCGTTTTCATCTCGTTACGACAGTTGCATTCCCTGGTTCCTGATGTCTGTTTCGCGATTGGTCTGTATCGTACAATTTCGACAAACTCACCCATGTAAACTTCTTCTAATGTTACATGAAGGGGTAAAATAATCGTATCCCCTTTAGGGGTTTCCTTTTCCCCCCCATGACCCCCACCGAAATTAAAAGAGAAAAAATCACCAAAAAAAGCTTCCAAATGCATCACTAGGGTCACCTCGTCCGTTCATTTTATCTTTTAGTCCTTCCTCTCCGTATTTATCGTAAGTTTTTCGCAAATCTTCTTTCGAAAGAACTTCGTACGCTCGCGCAAGCTCTGAAAATTTTTCATTAGCTTGGGGATCCTCTGTGTTTCTATCAGGATGCATTTGTTTCGCAAGTTTTCGATACGCGCTCTTAATTTGCTTCAAACTTGCACTTTTATCAATTCCTAGGATTTCATAATATGATTTTCCACCTAATACTCCAATCACAAAGACACATACCGAGAAAATTGAGTAGAAATTCATTTTGTCTAAAAATCTGCAGAATTTATTGATATAAAATATAGGAATTAGTATTTTTTCTTTACAACACAATTTTCAGATTCTAACGGTGAATGAAAGCCGCTCTTCTAAAAGACAGTCTGGCGCCTCCATATTGCCACAAATAGACAAACCAGTACTGCGCAATAAACTAAAAGGAAACGCAATCTAAAAACGGCAACATTGGGTTTCTTAGAAAAAACTTTCATCGAGAGAGTCTTCTGCAATAAACGGTCGCAAGGGGGAATTTGGTCACAGAACTGCCGACGCCACCGGGATTGATTTATATTATCATCATGACAAACATGACTCGATCTTAAGCCATCGTAACAAACGCCTTCGTTTAAGAAAATTATGATGACTAAATCTTAAGCCATCGTAACAAACGTCTTCATTTAAGAAAAATAAGATGACTCTATTTTAAGCCATCGTAACAAGCGCCTTCGTTTAAGAAAAATAAGATGTCTCGATCTAAAGCCATCGTAACAAACGCCTTCGTTAAAGAACAATACGATGACTCAATCTTAAGCCATTGTAACAAACGCCTTCGTTTAAGAAAAATACGCCCGACCACCAGAAAAAAAAAGGACAATATGAAATTGGGCAATAATTTTCAAATCAATTGAACATTTGAATACACCAAACAAAATAAGGCAAACATATTTTACAAACTCTGAAACTGGAATTCGATAAATTTATCATGATTAAATTACGTAGTGTTATGCTTCTGTCTGTCTGTCAATTCGTATAGTAAGCCTTGATATTTATAATTAGGTTACAGTAATACGGTACTGTAATATCTGGGCTGTATTTCCCCATTACCTTTGTTTTGCGGGCTTTTTTAAGCAGTCGCAGCATTTAATTAAGCCGCAGCACTACGCTAGACCTAACGACACATCGTTACCGGCGTCCTACCTTCCGCACTTATTCATGGCTGCCTAAAACCTTTTTGAATCACGGTGCAACTCTGCCCAATCCAATGTTACACCCACCAAAAGTACGTCAATTTTAAGTACCTATTTGATAATATTCTCATCAAAATTCATTAAAAATTCATAACTCGCGGCCATCAAAGAACATATCGCCACGTCTTGCTTAAAAGACGTATCTCTAGTGTGGTAAATTGTGACGTCAGCCCTATATCAAATTTCCTTCCGGCGAAATCCAATCTGTGGTTAAATTTGTCATTTATTTACCAAATTTCAGTATATATAATAAAAAATATTTGTAGTTGCAAATTTATGATACAAAATACAATATTTTTTATGCAAATACTATTAAAAAAGAAGTTTGGGTAATAAAAATTTGAGACTATTTCTGTTTTGAATGATTAGGGTCAAAGTGCGAAGGTTAATTTTGTAAATTAAGCGTGAAGATATTATAGTTGCCAGGTATTTTATTTCACAATTTCTCAAATTTTGATTTAGTTTTTTATATTTAAAATCTTGTTTCTTTCCATATCATTGCATTTATTTTTTTTATTTATAAAGTTTAGTGACATAGCAAGTATCAACAAAAGTAACCGATTTTTATCGAATAGTTTCCAACATATTTTTCTTGCGTTTACTAACGTACGTATGACTGGCTGTATAGTAACATCTCAATCGTTTTTGGACACGTAGTGGACATAACGATCGTTTCAATATTATGTTGTTGTTCTTGTTCTTTGACACGTTTTTAAAAAGTCGCTTTTCTCTTCGAATACTGGACCAATTGCTTTGAAATTTTCAGTACTTAAAGATAAAAATTTTCTCCAGAAGGCTATTACTTTTTTTTCGCTATGACGTCATCAAAATTATGTGACTCTACGTGTCCATATATTTGAGCATAGCTCTCTTATTTTGTTTTGATTTCTGGGGCTTCACACCCATGTGGACGCTATTGGAGTTTATATTTTAGCTCATTTACCCATGACAATGTGGGGAAGAATTTCTGGGAGAGTATGTAGGGTTGCTACCACGAAAAGTTGGCGTCCACGAGATGTAACTGGTTCCAGCCCGCTGCAAATAATTACCAAATGCAATCACAACAACACCGAACAGAAGTTTCCAAATTTAGTTTTGAAAAATAGAAGGAATGACTATAAAAAACACAATTCTGGCAACTCCACTTTTGGCAAAATCACTTTTCCCTTTTTAGTATTAATTGCAGCATCGATAAACCATGAGGAAACAGATTTGGAAGAAACAAAACTTGTGGGAGATGGAAATAGAGACATTGCTTTGCTGATAATGAAGGGACGCAAGATGTTAAAAGAAAAATGCAGCTTTGAAAAAATAGAAGAAGTTTATATAGAAGCATTGCATCTTGCTTTGACTCGAAAAGATCGTAACACGATCGCCTACGTTCAGGACCAGCTTGCAAATTTAGCGCTACGATTCAATAAACTTGAAAAAGCGGAAGAGCTTTTTAAACACGTAATTAGGAACTTACTGGATGGAGGAATTAAGGAAAATGATAGATCTATTATTGAAATTTCATTAAAACTGGCAACTATATATGCTTCGACAAATAAACATGACTTAGCTATTTCTGGATATAATTGGACCATCGAATCATGTAGATCAAATTTAGAAGAACTGAAAAAAACTAAATTGAAAACAGTTGAGCAGAAAGAAGATTATGATAATCAATTTGCATTGTTAGGGATGACGCTCGATTCTTATGGCCGATACCATTTCGCCATGGGAAGGTCAAAAGAAGCGTTAGAGGTCACAAAAGAAGCCAAAGACATTTCAATAAAACTTTTCGGAGAAAATGACATTCGAACACTGGTTTTATACAATGATATTGGCTCTATTTTAAGCCAAATGGGGAACATTGAAGAGGCGACAGAAATTTTAGAAAAAGTTGTTTCCATAGCGAACAAAACAAAAAATATTGACCATGGCGATCTTGCCGTTTTTTGGGTAAATCTTTGCGGTATATTTAATAAACAAGGAGAAAAGAAAAAGGCTATTGATGCCTTACAAAAAGCTCGAAAAGAAGCAAATTCAAGTAATGATAGGACACTACAAAAACAAATTGATATTTATATAAATGAACTAGGAATGCAATGATGTGTAACCGGTCAGAATTGTGTAATGGTTAAATTAATATTAAGAATGCTGTCAATTCAGACTCCAACACTAAGATAATAAGATTTGGTACTCCCGTAGTATGTGTACCAGGTTAGGGTTATGCCATAATTTTATTCTGTATTTACTTATTTAAGTACTATACGAGTTTGGGACTGTATGTGTTAGCAAATGAATACTCTCCTGCCCATATGTTTCAGTCTCTTTACACAACTTGATGTAAAGTTGGCGAACAAAATTAGTTACCTCCATATTGGTACACATAATTCTGTAGCGCCAAAGTTTTTTGTGAGACATTTTCATAAAGCTACTGAACAAAATCAGCGTCAGGAATCTTCCCAATTTAGCATTGCCTACTCCCCCCAGGGAGAAACTTGTTTTTGGTTTACTATTGCTAAAATTCTTCAGTTTTTTAATATTACTATAATACCTCCATGCATAAATAATAATTCCTTTGGGTAAATCTTTGTGGTATATTCAATAAACAAGGGTAGTATTGCTTAAACTCGTTAGTTTTCAAGTATTACTATTCTATTATTACTCATTTATGCATACACTATGAACTGTATAAAAATGTGCACAGAACACTAGCAAAGGATTCTAACCTCATTTTATTTTTTGAATTTTATGCTTACTTGTTAATTGAAATTGACTGTGATTTGTATAATCTTTGATTAGACTGGGTGGGTGTGAACCCAGTGGGGATAATTATCTTTTATAGGATTGATGGACTCCTCGACGTCATAGAGTGGTTCTTTCTCGTTACTGCTAGTCAGTTACGGCTTTCGATAGACATGCAAAAACTGTTAGTATTTGATTCTTGGCATCGCTCTCTCAGTCAGTGTGCTTTACTTTTAAATTGTTGCCGTTCGACTGTATTAAACTGACTGTATCTTAATTTGAATAAATAAATAATACAAACGTATTATCGCACAGGTCCCCCCAATACTGATTCTCACTAGTTCAAGATAAGAGTAGAGCAGATACTTTCATAGAGTGTGATTGGAACAGAAATTCATTTGCGCTTTTGTCATTATTGTTCTAAATCTGAAATAGGCAAACTGCGGCCCGTGGGCCAAATCTGTCCCATTGGGTAATTCAGTTTGGCCCGCCGGATCCCGCCAAAACCAAACTAATCTCACATTTTGATGTTTTGGTTTAAAATAGCTCAAGGAAATTTGTTGAGATTGCGAATGAATAAAGTTTTGGCACAAGGCTTATTGTTTTCCACTTTCGCATATGTAACACTGTAATATTGTAATAACTTTTTACGTCATGCTTACACGCCCGCCAGTCGTGAGTGAACAAAATTTCCGACCCCTGGTCTAAAAAAGCCTTGCCCACCCTTGTACTAAGCACTTTCAAATTTTAATAATCAGACCTAAAAATGCACATGTTTTTAATTTTCTCTTGGTTTCTATTTTCACCCTCTGAATTGCTGATTTAAAACGTTTTCACCATGTGTGTATTTTACATGTGTAGAATGGTTTTAGTCTATTTGTACAAGGAAGTTTATAAGACGCCTCATATGAATAGTGACAACACGAGATGCACATTGATGAAATAAGAATTTCGGCGTAAATATGGCACCCTTGAGTAATGATAACATATAATATGAATGGGGTAAATAGTTAATTTGAGGAGCCAAATATGCGGTCCTTACGCTTATATGGTCACTCAGTAAAATGTGCACCAAGATGGCGCACAACCTGAACCCCGACTTGGTGCACATACTATGTTAAGGTTGTGCGCCATCTTGGTGCACATACTTCTGGAGCTCCGATTAACCCATGCCCGACTAGCTAGCAGATTGGACGTTTTCATATTTATGCCTGGCGAAAAAAAAAACGATAAAACTACCCTATCATATGGCGAACCACGTCCTCCCGTCTGGTTAACAGTCCATATCGGATATGGGAATAGTTTACCGGTTATTATTTCAAATACATGGACCTGATGGTGGAGGTAAACGACCAGCGATTGCGTGAACCACCGTAAGACTGCAAGTGTGCAGCATGATTACCCACCACGGGATGCAAACTAGGCACTGCCTAGCACAGCGGTTTCCAACCTTATCTCTCGCGGCTTACTTTTGTTGTATATATATAAAATTCTGTGGCCCGTTAACTTTCTCATACAAGGGAAGAACAGGAAAACTTTTTTCGCAAAGATAGACACTTCTGCTTCAATATTTTGCAAGATTTATTACAACTCAGTAGCAAAGACAGTATCATCATTTATTGCTACAACAATCAAAATCAAGTAATTTATAAACGAGAATATCGGTCGGAGACCGAAGACTTATCGATCGAAAGTTAGGGGATCCTTCATTCATTTACTCTGACTCTTTAGTGACACCGCGTGTCCCATCACTAATTAATCAATAACTCGCTAATTATACGACATAAATCATCCAAAAACAATAGGCTCCTGGTCCGGCATATGATGAATGCACATCCAAATCTGGAGCAGATTCAATCTCGCTTTTGTGAGATATCGCGTGCATCTGACAGACAAATACCCATCAACATACTTACCAATTAAAATCGATAAGTAATAACTCTGGCAAGTTTGTAGCTCGCCTGATAATGTTTCTGAGGGCCATAGCCCACTGGTTAAGAACCAATGGTCTAGCACAGTTTTTCCCAACCCGAGTCCGCGGTCTTAAATGAGTCCGCAACTAGCCGGAAATTCACTGCGGGCCGCAAACGTTTTTGCGAAACTTAACTATCAGCCAAGTTAGAATTTACATAAAACATAGCAACTTTATTCACATAACATTAATCAAGTCAATAATAATTGGTTACTGAGACTGAGTAGGGCTGGGCATGTATTCGAATATTCAACTTTTATAATAGCAATTTACTATTCGAAAATTTGGTGGCAGGTGACGCGACAGGTCACTCTCGCGTCGCTTAATCGAACGATGAGATTTCACAACTCGCTTGCGGATTTCTGACGAAAACAAGAGTCTGCTGTGCAGACGCGTCGATAAATACCTAAGTGGTGTTCCTCGCGAGTTCGAACAACGAGAAATAAATTTTTTTTCTGGTAGGTGGTAATGGTGGCAACCCAAATTTCCTAAATTGAAAAGCGGCAATACAAAATACTAAAAATGAAACGGAGAGCCATAATTTTTTGTTTTATGATGGTCCGCGACCAATTGAAAACACTTTTTTTAGGCAATTTTCCCTTTGTATTCTTCGCTTTACTGCCCCCACATTGGTACGTGCAGTACTGCCGTAGGTGTTGTACGAACAGCTCAAATTTGTAGAATTCACAAAAATACAAATCAAAATATAATCGAGCACTTTACCACGCATTTTTGTGTCCACGGATGGTCATGATATATTCTGAGTACTATTGCTTTTATTTCGTCAACACAACCGCAAATTAAAATGACCACAATTAAATTAATAATAAAGCAAGTCGACGAATATGTATTTTTTATTTACTAATACTTTAAATATATTTTTATTAGGTACTAAAACAAGTTGAACTTTCTGGAAATTGATGGCAGATAGTAAGATTTTTAGATAACAAATTCGCAAGATCGCAAAAAATATGTAACAAAACTAAATATAATCGGGCAATATATGCTCACATTATCATGTTCGGAGATTGCCGTGGCATTTTAAAAAACTAATGCTTTCATTTTGTCGTAAGTCGACGCAACCGCGAGTTACTACGAACATAAATAAATTAAAATAGAAAGACATTTTAAATTCTCGTCGTTGTCATGGATTGAATGTTGTGCGATAGAAAAGGCCATTGTTGAAATTCGTTAAAATTCTGTTGTGTTCGGTTTTATTGCCTGTTCACACAGAGTATACGGTTGCAATAAACGCACCTTGAGACCGCAAAGGTTTTCGCCGGTGAAAAAATAGTCCGTGACCAAAAAAGGTTGGGAAACGCTGGTCTAGCACTATGCGCAACCCGCCGCGCCAATTACTTCAGAATCGTGGACGTGAACCCTACTGCTATCACTAAGAGCTTATAATGTATAAATTTATTTCGGCTTCATAATTGGCGTAACCAACGATAAAATAATTGATGAAAATGATGAAAACAAAATAAGTTGAACTGATTACAGAATCAGGGAAGGGAACGAAACCTCAAGTAAGGATTAAAACGTACAGATTTTATCGTGTCCGGAAAATTCGCTGTAGGAAATTTCGCCGCATAGGAAAAATCGCAAGAACATTTCGCCATAAAAACAAGTATTTGTGATTAAAACAGTTAGATTTATAGGGTTAGGGTATGCTTTTAAATAACGAATCTTCTTTTTCCTATGTGGCGAAATTCCATACGGCAAAATTTCCTGCGGCGAATTTTTCCAGAACCAGATTTTATACTAAAAGGTGTTGCCAAAAGAATTGGGTTCACTCGCACAAAGGTATTAAATTATTACACACATTGAATACGTACTACATACAACCGCGGAGAGGTTAGGTCAAGGCTGGTCAGTATTAAAAGTGAAACACCGTCCGTCGGGACTGTGGAGCCATGGTTTGTCATATTCTTATCAGAGATGTACCGATACTACTCTTATCGCCGGTACCGATTCAATACCAACGAAAAACGATCATACTGATATTCTGATATTTATTTCGTCATGCAAGAACTGATATAAAGCAAAAGAAAAACAATGTAAACTAAAAAACGAGAAACATTGATTTATAGCAATTGACGCGGGGTCGCGAAAAGACTCAATGAGTCATCCGGTCAGCGACACCTTGTTGCTGTATTACAGCAGTAAATAAGGCAATGAAGCATATAGGATAAAAAAAAATATGTAAAATCATATGTAATTATCATATATTAAATTTTATCTTAACTTGAAACATTCTAAATCAGATCTAGGAGCGAAATATCGGTCTAGTTTTAATCAATACGATTACCGATACCCCAATAACTGATAACTCGTTAAATTTTTTGAAATAGTTTGCTCAGAATAAGGCTATGAGCAGTAAAGAAGTTTCATTTTTGGTCAAAGCTGGGAGCGGGAATACCAAAAGCTTCTGGAACTATTGGCCGAAACAAATGAAAGCATAGATGTAAAGAAGGGAAGTACACTGGCACACCACGGTCTCTCATTCGGCTATCAATACAGGGTTGCTATGGGCAGTGTCGTATCTAGGGTGTGACAGACATGGCCCAAACCATGAGCGCCGCTCGGACAGGGGCGCAAAAACGGCGAAGGGTTTCAATTCAAAAATGTTTCAAAAAAAAATAATTTAGTATTGAAAAATAATTTAAACTTGTATTTTCTTTTAACTAATTACGTACAAGTATATCAATTCATCAGCAGTCATTAAAAATTAAATTGTCAGTTAATGATCAAATGAGCGCATTTCTTAAACTTTGCCATGGGGCGCTATTTTACACTGGGTATGGGAATAGTTAGCCAGTTGTTTGTTTCACATGCATGGACTTGCCTAGTACAGGCATGTCCAACCTTTTAGTGTCGTGGGCCACTTTACCAAGAAGAAATTCGTTTCGGGCGCAAACGTTTTTACCAAACTTAAATACAACCCCAATTCCGATTACGTTAGAATTTGAGCGTCGCTAAATCAAACGCCTGGATTGCACAACACTTTTGCGGATTTCTGAACACAAGATGAACACAAAGACTTTGAACCATGAAATTCGACTCAACTTTCATTCAAAACTCACAATTTTCAAGCCATAATATACATTGTCATAAAAAAATCGAAAGAAAAATAAGTCTACAACTTCTCCTTTCACCTAGTGCGAAACTTGCTTTAGAATGTCATTGCTCAACAGTCTAATATCAACGGGTAATTTCGATACCGCACAACGTAGCTGGCCGCATGCGGCTCGCAGGCCGCGAGTTGGACATCCCTGGCCTAGTATGACAGTACCGGTAACTGGCGGAGATAGCGAGTTCATGGCTCGCGATATACTTAAGCGATTAATATTATCGACTTTCGTCAAACCCATAATGAATTTAAAAATCCAATGTAATAATTTTTGTTAACTATTGTTAGCTAATAATCGTCAATAGTGTTCCGCCTCAGTTGCTCTGGAAAAAGTTGTAAATGTCGATAACTTCAAAGAATAAATATCTATGCTTGAGTGGAAGTAAGTAAAGCGGAATGTTGCACCCGTGCGCGAAACATTATTGATTTGAAGAATTAAGAAGTTAATGGTATTTCTTGGATTTGATCTAGTTCAAGTACCATGCTTCGGCCATGGTGTAATAAATTCGGAGTCCCGAAGTATGTGAACCAAGATGGCGGACACCGGAACTTAGTATGTATATCACGTTAGGATTAGGCCATAAATTTATTCCAATTTTCTTATTTTAGTTCTATTACGAGTTCGGGGACTATCCAAGTGACTCCCGTAGTATTGTATCTAAAATTATGGCCTAACCCTTACCTGGTGCACATACTACGTTCCGGTGTCCGCCATCTTGGTTCACATACTTCGGGAGTACCGAATTGGGTAGACAATCGCATAGCCAGCCCACAATTTGAAGAGGCCAACTTTTTTGTATAAACGACGCTTAGTTGTGCCTATTGCTCCGAACAAGGCTAGATAGAAGCCGCCACTGTTATCTATCAATATCTTAAACTTACTACGCTGTCGAAGTTATCCAAGATATACAAACGTGCATTTCTATCTGTCTAAGTTGGTTCATTTGGTGAAAAGATTATTTACAGCAAACCAGGAAAGTCCGGTTTACATTAAATTGTTCAAGAATAGAGCAAAATGGTATTGGAAAAGGTGTAATTTATGTCTCGTTGCAAATGCCGCAAAATCGCATTTCAAAAAATGTTGAATTTTATTTTACTCTATTCTGGAACGATTGACCAAAAAATGACTTTTCCTTCGACAGCGGAGTCTGTGGAAAATTCTTTAGTTAGATATCGGTGACTGCTTTTTATCTAGCATTTTTCGGAGCAAAAATCACGAGTAAGCGTCGTATTACGTCATTATACAAAAAGGGGGCTGGCTACGTTCTTATTGGGAACCACTGCTCTGGGCCATTGCGCTGCTCAAAATAGCAATTTTTATTAATAAGGTGTCAATGGATTAGATTTGTTTAATATCGGAACACGACGACTCTTTGCGTGTTTACTTATTTGTTCAAATCATAAATGGGTGCAAAGCTACTGAACTAAGCTATCGCCCATGGATGACTGACAATAATCAGCTGTTCCAGTCTCGTGACGATTATGAGCAAATAAAACGTTTATTTAAGGGCGTGTCCCTATATGAAAGCAAGTACCGTAGCGTAAGATATAGTTATGCCACGTTCGGATTATTAAAGCGTATTTTACGACGTCTTTGTTGTAGGCTTTGAGATTTCAAACAGGTGTTAGTCGTTGTATTTTGAAATTGGATTTTTGCGTTTATTAGCACAGAGACTGTATGTAGGAATGGGAATACGGGATTGTACGTTTATTCGTGGTATGTTTTGGGTTAGGATAGATATAAGACTTTTGAAAAATAGTTCGAGCAGAAGTGGGCAATTACTTTTCTGAGTGGACGAGATACAGATAATAGACTTGGTTACCAAGCCGGCGGCTTAAAACTCAATATGGAAATCTATCAGTAAAAAAACAATGTATTTACAACAGCTAGGCTAGCGTGTATATAATAATAAGAAGGGCAATGTAACGATGGGGTCCTTATGACGTTATTTTCATTGACATTTTCAGCCAAAATATATATCTATCAAACTGTAGACGTAATTCCAGCAGGCACGAGTGGACCGGATAAAATACTTCGATGGTCCGGATCTGTCCCGCGACCCTAATTTGACGGCCCATAGGTTACCGTAGTCATGGTATATTCTGAGTTAGGATAGATGTAAAACTTGAGGCAAATGGTTAAAGTAAGCATATGAAGTGGGATTCATGGTATGTTCTGAGTTAGGATAGATATAAAACTTGAGGCAAATGGTTAGAGTAAGCATATGATATGATATTCCTATATTAATATATATACAATAGTATCAGTAACGTCGCTCGTAACTCCGCTCAGGGAACCACTATCTCAAATCTATGTGACTGCGCGTATACTTGATTTGAGAAAACTTATTTATTAAAAAGTTTCAGACATTTCAAAGTTTCATCGCGGTTCGAACTTTTTCTACAGCTTACTTGTCTAACAGTTTGTTCGGGGTAGAACTGTGATATGACTTTTAAGAAAGGATTCTCATAATTATATCGGGGAGAGGAAAGCCAATAATATGGCTTTATCATATGGTTCCATTACATTTGAACCCACGTACATTTGAACCCATGACAATTGCACCTGCATACTATTGCACCTATGGAAATTTTGTTGTTGTACGGATAGTTGAACCCATGCTAACCCTAACCCACGGGTTTCAGCACCCGCATATTGATTGAACCCGCGGATATAGACATGGGTTCAAATGTACGGTCACCTTATCATAAAGCGAACCAGGCCCCTCGTCCGGTTAGTAGTCCATGTGTGGTATGTAATTAGTTAGCCAGTTATTTGTGTAAAAAGCAAGCGTAACGCTCAGCACGACGCGTCGTACCCCCGAGCATTTATTTCTTTATACCCCTTTCCCCCGTCTATCATATTTCAAACATAAACCGCTGCTTTTGAGGTGTGACCCCGTACTTCGATTCTTAACGAAAATAAAATTGTATTTATATATCCAGAAAGTGTAGATATCAGTTAAATACATAACACATTTTTACAAAGTTACAAATAGTTTTATCACTAATAAAAATATCGCGTCCTGAATTTGGAAACACACCCATCCCTTCGATGAAAAACTGGGGAACATGATGCCCCGAAGCCTTAAAAATATTCCATATGAATGGGCTACTCAACTGGCGGATCGCGGTCCAAATCCGGACCTTTTTAGGATAGGACAGGATTTACATATTTACACGGCTTAACCATATGACGATCCACGGCCTCTCGTCCGGTTACCATTCCATGTCGGGTATGAGATTAGTCAGCCAGTTATTTGTTTTTCGAAGCATGGACTTGATGGTGAATCACCTTACGGCGGCGAGGAGTCCAGCAATCCTCTTGCACATACCTATCCCCGCATGGGGTGCGAACCAACGCAGCCCATGGTCCTATAACCTTTCCCACCCCTAGATTCAAATCATATAGAATTACCGCAATTTCATATTCATTTTTACAGTTCGTAAACCTGCACCGGTAAATTAAAATGACTAAAAGGGCTAAGCAAGCGTGGAGTAGCGTCATCAAGAATATACTCGGAGTAGACAGTGCTATAGAAAGAGCTATGGTGTCGACTGCTACTAACGTTAACGCTAGGATTAAAGGAATCACACCAAGTGGAAGGAAAGAAATTTCAAAGGATAAAAAATATATCCAGGTTTGTGACGTCATTATGGGGAAGGGTCGCGTCATCTAATCGACTTTGGACTCGAGTCACATTTATCAAAGAATGGAAGTCCTCGAGTCTAAATGTCGGAGAAAAAAGAATCGGAGAGTCAAATTCAGTGGTTCGCAACCCTTTCTCTTCTGTGGCCCATTTTGCACCTTTCACGTTATGAACTTCACCCAAAGTTGTTAGACAATTCGGATTATTTTTAGGTTTTCAAAATGAACTATTTTGTCAGGCATTTTTCTTTGAAGAGCTCTGTTCCCGCCTTGGTGTTGACTCCGATACACAGGTTCTTATGAACGAGAGAGAACATCCGATCATGGTAAAGAATTTCACCAATACAACGTTGGATATCGTTATTACGGGTAAATGCATATTTTATGGGCAAACGCTTTAAAAGTGTATGGTGTCATTTTTCATTATGACGTCACGTTTTTAATTGTGACACCACATGTCACGTTTCACATGTCCACGCGTCACATGTTTGTCTTATGACATGTTCTGTATCATGACGTCACGTTTTTGTATAATGACGTCAGTATCATCACGTCACATTTTCGTATTATGACGGTCTAGTTCTGTATTATACCGTCATATTTCTGCATCATGATGTCACAATTAGATATTATAGCGTGATGACGTCACATACTTTTATTATAATGACACGTTTCTGTACAATGGCGTCCTATCTTTTGTATTATGACGTTAAGGTTCGCACTGTAAATACCACTATAAGGTCATATTGGGAGCTCATCAAGTGTGTATACCAAGATGGCGCACAACCTGACCATAATATGTGTACCAGGTTAGGGTTCAGGTTGTGCGCCATTTTGATACACATACTTCGGGAGCGCCGTCAGATTGTGTATTATGGCGTCACGTTTTAACAATTTTTTACGCCAATCTCAACGATTGATTCACAGGGGCTTACTCGCCATTTTGTGAGCAGAAGACAAATAAGACGAGAGTGGTGGTACAAATCCATGCCCGGCCGAACATGGGAGCAGTGAAAGACGATTTGATACGACTTGGGACTTTGCACAGCAGGGAGGGAGGTAAGAAAGGGGAATTCCCCGTCATATATATATATATATATATATATAGGTGATCTTTACCCTAACTAACTAACTAACTAACTAACTAGATGAGCATAACTTGAACCATTTTTTTTTCAAGCGACCAAATTGAACAAAAAAAATTGTGAAATCTTGAGACCCATGGGATATGCTCATAAACTAAACGAAATATTGTGCTTTTATGGCCGCACAGTTAAACAATTGGTATAAAATAATCATTTTTATATGACATTTATTTCTCGCTAAGGGAGAAAGCTGCGCTTGTTTGTCATAAGCAAGTTACTGAAATTTTTGCGTTGGTTCACTTTGAGGTAGTTTCTGCTATTTGTTTGTTTGCAATTTATTTGTTGATCTGAATCAGCGTTGTAGGTATCGCTGCTTGAATTTCTTTCTGTTGTGGTAATAAATTAAATAATGATTGATTGATTGTAATTTGGCATTTGACTTCAACTATAATCAGGTTGGTGACATATATTTAAAAAATGGGCGTTCCCCGTAGTATGTGTACCAAGATGGCGCACAACTGAACCCTAACCTGGTACACATACTATGTTCAGGATGTGCGCCATCTTGGTGCACATACTTCTGGATCTCCCAAAAAAGGTTTTCTTTACTGTTCACTCCCGTTTAGAAAATCGATCATTTTGGCAGTGGCAACCATCATAAAATTATTAATATGGTAATTTTTAATCATTCATTTTTTTGTTTATTATGTAATAATGCGACAAAAAGGTTTTAAACCAGGGGTATGCAATAATCAATACAGGAGGGCCAGTTAGAAATAACTGGGTAAAACCGCGGGCCGAACCGTCATTTAACAAAGGCTTTCTAGTAGTTACAAGCAAAAACATTTTAGTTATTGATCTTGTGACATGCGTATTTTGCCAAAGCTAGCTGTTAAGGCATTGTTACGTGTATGTATAGATAAACTGGACTCAGGTATAGACTCCGTAACGCAAAAGAATAGGAATTACTCGCATATACCAAGTTAAATGAAATTGCGAACTTGTTTTGCGGGCACGTCATTCCAAATTGGCACTTCTCTGCGGGCGCATAAATTTACCTTGAGAGCCGCATTTTGCCCGCGGGCCAGGTTGCACACCATTGTTTTAAACCACTGGTCTCGTTAAATTGATTTTTTTATCGCTTTGTACAGGTTGTGACTATTGTTACATGTTTGTCTGCGGAGAAGTCAGAGAACTGCGCACATTGGAAAGGCAGGCACAAGAAGACGAGATTGTGTTGCTTGTTATGCCGGGAGAGAAACATGTCAAAGTACGTACATATTTACTGTTCAGGGGGACGTTTTGTCGTTCTTGGAGTGAAATTTCGCTTGCGCCCGTTTGCGTCTTATTTCGGTTATAAATTGTTACTCCGAATTGGATAACTTAACAACGCTTTAATTATAGATGTGCCGTGGCTCCTAGTTTGGAGGGAATACTGGTAAGAAGGCATTTCCTTAGTGATTAGGTGAAAATCTGATAAGTATAGGTTTATTTCGACTCCATAATCAGCATAACAATAAACTAATTGCTAAAAACAAATAAATAAAAACTAAATAAGATTTCAGGAGAACGAAAAAACCTTAGACAAGGTTTGATACCCACAGAATATAAAATTGTAAAGTTTTGCAAAGAAGAAGTAGTAAGTGTTCACTCACCTGAAAAATCTGACATTTTTATTTCAGATCCACGTGGAGTCCCTGAACATAGCGTCTGAACCAATCAGAGTTCGAGACTCAAGCGCAGAAATCGTTGGCTGCAGACTATGGAGGATCACTGCTTGGAAACCACCGAAAAGGGGGGACATTGGATTCGTGAGACAGGTATGTGAAACTACATTCTTGCAAGGCGGTTAGCACATACTAGTGTTCTCAACCTGGGGTTCGCGCACCCCCGGAGGTAATTGGATGGCAGTTGAGTTTTCATGTGTTGCTATTTTTTAATATCCTTTACTACCAGAGGAAAATGAGTGTAATTGAAACTTAGCATAGATTTCTCTTCTCCCGAAGTATGTGAACCGAGATGGCGGACACCAGAACGTAGTATGTGTACCAGGTTAAGATTAGGCCATAATTTCAGGTACAAATACTACGGGAGTCACTTGGCTAGTGCCCGAACTCCTAATAGAACTAAAATAAATAAAATTGTAATAAAATTATTGCCTAATCTGGTACACATACTACGTTCCGGTGTCCGCCGTCTTGGTTCACATACTTCGGGAGTACCCTCGACGCCTCGAGGGGGAGGGCATTAAACGAAAAAAATACCGGTTTGGAACCGCTGTGCTAAGAAATGCGATTGCATTAGCACCTCTAATTACCCTACGTGGGTTTGCTGGTTCAAATCTCGTGGGAGATATTTATGTGCGAGAGGATTGCTGGAATTCTCACTACTGTACGGTGGTCACGTAACCACTGGTTGGCTACGCCTTCGCCCGTCATCAAGTCCATGCATGTGTGAAAATGAATAGCTGGCCATAAATCTCATACCCGACATGGACTGGTAACCGGAAGAAAGGGCGTGGTTCGCCTGGTTTTTTAAACCACTGATGGAAGAATTCTAAACTTTTGGCCGCTATCAGAGTCAGACTTTATATTCTCCGAAGTCGCGGACCGGCTTAAACTTGCGAAGTTATCGTCAACCAGATTTTGTTATTTGCGAATGAGGAATGGATTCGTTTCAATTAAGTGCTCGGAGTCGATTTTGGCCTATCCAGATCCGGAGTCAAATCTAAGTCGGGTTTTGATCAGGATACTCATTTTCTGTGACTCCACACACTATATTACTCTTGTGAATCGTTTGCTTTTAGGAAAACATCGACATTGTTACGTCATCCGAAAGTGAGAGAGAAAATCGTTCGGAAGAGGAGAGAAAAGTTGAAACGGATGAGGGAGAAATGAGTGACACGCCCACAATCAAAGACGGCGAAAAATAATGATGACGTCACAAACTTATTGATGACGTCATACATAAAAACAATGCAAAACAAAAACACTACAATGACGTAATAAACGAAGTTAAAAAATTTACTTTAAAATTACGTAATGAATATGACATCACCATGTTGACCTAATGACGTCACGAATATAAACTTTGCCATAACTGCCTTGATATTTGCACAATTTTTTTTTTCAAGCCTAATTTTTCTGTCAGTAAGAATATTTAGTTTTGCGTGAATATTTAGAATATTTATACTAGCTTGCTTTAAGAGAATAAAATGAAAGGTAGCTTTCGCGTCCAAATGATATAATCATGTATGTTTGTATTCCCTTAGTTCACTATTTGGGATTTTAGGGATGGTGTTCACCCCCTATAAGGTGGGGGGGGGGGATAGGGAAATTTCTGCCCTCTAGATACGCCACTGGATAAAACACTTTCAAAAGAACGGTGTTACAAGCAGGCTAGTCACATTTAGATTTAAATTCAAATTAATACAAAAAACAATGGCGCGAAATATAGCAGCAACGGTGCCGTATTGTTAGAACGCGATTATTCTGACCAGTCATGGCTCGTTGATTTTTACACACGAAGAAGTAATTATCGTATCAAGCTGATCAGAAACAATTTTACTTCAAACGAACCCAAAAGACAATGGTATGAGACAAAGCAGCAACGGTGCCGTTATGTTGGAACATGATTATTCTGACCAGTCATGGCTCAATAATTTTTACACACGAAAAAGTCAATATCGCACTAGAGCTGATCAGACACAAATAAGAGATAGATTTCCTCGTTTTCAGGAATAAATTTCATTAAAAAGTACGTAAATTTATTTGCATAACATACAGTTAGATGCATATTTAAATCGGGAACCTGATATTAGTATTCATACGTGGAACATAAATAGTTAATTTTGAAAATTCCAAATTTTTTTGGAAACAAAAAATTATTAGGACGGTTAACTGGATAAGATTTAGAGAAAGAACGAGCTGATAAAGTGGGTCAATCATATGACGAACCACGGTCCCTCGCTCGGTTACCAGTTCATATCGAGTGTGGGATTAGTTAGCCGGTTATTTTGTTTCCAGATGCATGGACTTTGTTATCTATTCTCCTGACCGAGCCAGTGTTCGAGGGATCGTGTTCGACGAAGATGCAATTATCATACATCTTCCTCGTGACGTCATGAAAACGTCAAAAATTTTCAACCTATGTTGGGCATTGACCCTCATTTAATGGTAGACTCGCCATTGTTCCAATTTCTTTTGGCGGGCGGGCATAAAATGGTAATCGGCGTAGTTCGCCACACAATTGGAACGTGATTATTTTAGACTTACCAATGTGTAATTAGATATTAGAACATTGGATGTCGCCGCTCGATAACCAGTTTTTGATCCCCGTGGGCCCTTCTTTTCCAGTAAAATGAGAATTAAATTTTATTTTTTTAAATTCCGCATGCTATTTTTATTGGGTGAAAAATCAAACTTGACTACGACTCCTGGGATAAGTATGTACGGTAATACCTTTTCCTAATTTTAGCGCGAGTGTTGAAAAAAGTCCTATCCTAGGTGGCGCTATAGAGTAGATTACATATCCGTGATGGCGTGGCGAAGTAGTGGCAATTGAAACACCCTGTGGCGGCGGAGATCCAGGCAAATCACTGCATTTGTTCATTAAAAAAATAAAAAGAGCATCTACCCAGGTGCGGGTGCACGTTATAGGTGTGAGTTCGTTGCTTAGTTTGACGATTTAAATAATAATAATACAAACATTCCACTCTTACTTGACCTTCAATTCATTCATTCTCATGTATAACAACATCTATAATTTGGTTATTGCCCGAATTATTCCTGAAGGTACCGTAGGTATAAGCGACATGTCTGCATCATTTGCAACTCGCCCCGGCAGCAGAAAATTTTCTTTCACCTCTGTCGACAGAATTATGCATCAGTGAGTGTGCCCCAGGCTTTTCATTTAAGGGGGGTGCTTTCAAATTTACGAGGTGGTAGATATTTTAAGAGCGATAAAACTATTTGTAACTTTTTTTAGTACTGACTGATCATCTGCACTGGTTATACGCTGCTCTCTGGATATTCAAATACAATTAACCTAAGGAGGAGTTAGGAATTGAATTGTGGGTCCCCCCCAAATCAGGGGAGGTGATTGAAATCACCCCTGTATGGGCTAGGGAGATGGAAAAATTACTGGCCTCAGCTGTTTTCTCATCAGCACCCCGCCGAAAACAACTTGTCTCCAACATGTCAAACCAATATCTTTCTATTGCAAGTTTTATTTTGTGAAAATATAACAGTGATCTATTTCCATATGAATGTGCAATAATTAAAGTTGTTCAGCTCATGCAAACAATTAAAAAAAAAACATTTGAATAAGTTTATAAAACCCGAAACTGATTAACTATTCCCACAGCCAACATAACTGATATCTAACGAGAGAAAGCTCGGTTCGTCACAAGATTGAACCATCCTATCAGTTTTCCTTTATCCATGGTAAATATAAAACTTCTATCACAAATTATATGATAAATGGATACCCCCGAAGTATGTGAACCAAGATGGCAGACACCAGAATGTAGTATGTGTACCAGCTTAGACCATAATTTCAGGTACAAATACTACAGGAGTGACTTGGCTAGTCCCTGAACTCGTAATAGAACTAAAATTAGAAAAATTGGAATAAAATGCTGGCCTAACTCTAACCGGGTACACATACTACGTTCCGGTGTCCACCATCTTGGTTCACATACTTTGGTAGCACCGATAAATGGAGAGGAAAATTGAAACTCGAAAAATAGCTTGTGCTCGACATTGGCATTTTGCGATTGTTGCTGGAGACATGCTTGCCAGGTAGAATGTAGTCCTCAGTGGGAGCTCCAGACGTATGTGCACCAAGATGACGCACAACCTGAACACAGTATGTGTACAGGTTAGGGTTCAGGTTGTACGACATCTTGGTGCACATACTATGGGAGCGCCCCTCAGTGTTGCATGAACGTCTATGTTACTATTGAGAAAATTAAATCAGTGGTTAATAAAATCAGTGGCCCCCAACCTTTTTGTTATAGTCTTCCCTTCGTCAATTTTTTAACACTTCATTCCTCCCTAACTAAGCATAAAAGTTGCTTTATTTATTTAATCATTAATTGATCTTTAGGTAGAATATTACGCTAGTCGCAATCACTGTGGGAGATCTCCTCTCTGGTTAGAAAACAGAATAAAATGGTGAAATGGCAGACTTTTCCAAGACCTGAAATAGCAAACGAGCAAGGTGCTACAAGAATAAGTTAACACATCTCTCCCCCACCCCCTCTAAAAAAAAAAAATTCATTTAAACATAAAACATAGTCGTGACAAATATCTAATTTACTAGGTACATTATGTAAGCAGCTAAGACAGTATAAGTGTAACATATAAGAATTTATAGATATGGCTACAAAAAGAAAAACTTTCAGGGCTTAATTAGAAGTTGGAACGAGATCCCGAAGTATGTGCACTAAGTTGGCGCACAACCTCAACATAGTATGTGTACCAGGTTAGGGTTTTCAGGTTGTGCATCATCTTGGTACACATTCTTCCGGATCGCCGTTAGAACAGTGGTTGTCATCCTTTTTGGTAAGAGCAGAACCCAATGAAACATTCCGGAGGCTGGAGGAACCCGTTTTATTTCTTTTCCTTGGCTGACTATTACATTATTGCTACAGAACCCTTTAGAACAGGGGTTTTCAACATTATTCTTGTAGCAGAACCCCAATGAAACATTCCAGAGGGCCCAGGAACCCTTGTGCAATAGTTCAATTGTCTTTTATTGTCTGAATTGTATAAACTATGAATTTATATAATGCAAACCTAATACTGGCAAAACAAATAATCTTTAGGAGCAACAAGTTTAAGAATTGTGGCAAAAATAAGTATTTACCTATGTTTAAATAATATATAAATGATAATATAGACCAGCGGTTCCCAACAGTGGGCCCTCGGTCCCCAAGGGGGCCACGGAGCAGTCGGAGGGGGGCCATGATGTTGGGCGCAAAACTGATTTTGCTTTTCACTTTACAAGAAAACTCCCAGTTTCATTGCTTGAAAAGGTTATTTTATTTCACAGGTTTTTTTTCGCTTTTTGTGTTTGAATTGCTTGAACACAATGGGATTTGGAATCTACCAATCATAATAACACTATAAATACCACTGGGATGATAAGCAGGAGCCATAAGTTCTAAAAGCTTTCGAAAAAGGGCCACAAGCCATAAAAGGTCGGGAACCACTGATATTTTCTGTTTAGATTGGAGGTGAGGATAGGATTTTCATTTTAATACTGTGGGGGAGGAAAGTTGATGAGCCATCCTTTTCCATGGCTTCTCGTTCTTTCACCAGTTTATATAGACCGGAAAAAAATTGTGCAAAATTTTTTTGGCGGGCAATATAACTAATTTCAGACATCTAGCTGGACTAGAGGTAAGATCGGGTCCCAAAATTCCAGCCTGACCAGACCCAGGCCCGTGGGTATTAAACCCACCCGACCCCGACTAATTACGGTGACTAAATTTGCAGCCCCGAGCCAAAAAATTCATTTTTAGGAGTTCTTTGAATTGTCATTGCAAGAGTTCATTTAGAACAGTATGTGTCGTGTTGATGAGGTTTTTTACAGACCACGATCTCTCGTGGCCAAAACTCCTCATTTAAAAAAAAGCCAGCGGTAGAGAAGCCCGACCCGAACGTAATGATTGACAGGCCCGACCCGGGCTTCAGATCTAAGTTCTAATCTGGGCTCAACAAAAATTCAGTGTTTCCATTTACACAACGAATTAAAAACTCCCAAAGCGAAAAAAAATGAAATTTCTCAAACCCCAACGTCATAGGCCAAGGCTCGTGGGGAACTGATACAATTCTATTCCGTAAATATAACTGAGAGTGGAATTCCTTAAAAAATATTTGACGTATCTTTATAAAGTGTTTTATATGCTTCGGAATCAGAGTTTCCACACATGAAGGTCAAGAAATCAGGAACCCGTAATTTTTAACCCGTTTAATCAATAAAAAGTGTGCCATTATAGGCATTTAACAAAGAGAAAAAAAAATGTGAAGTGAAGTCCACTTTAATATAATTTGCAAAATAAGTGAGAGAGATATGGATTGAAAACCACTGCTCTTTAAGTAAAAATACATTCAACACTATTTTTATTACTGAAGATGACTAAGCACGTTTCAAAGTAACTCAGCAAACAAATCACCAACCATGACTAAGCATTAAATCAGTTTATCATTAGTCGCCGTTGTTGAGGAATTATTTTTCTGCCTTAAGGCTCCTGATATTTGTGCGAATAATATATCCCAATCCCATGTCTCGTCTGGTTCGTCGATGCCAGTTGTCATGTGTTTCGCAAGAAGTTTGAGATCGATTTCATTGTCTAGAAGTGTGAAGGTCGAATGTCGTTGAAGGTCACTGTCAAGTTCACGATACGTAGCGACTTGATTCATCGCAACTGAAGGTGGGGCAGCCATTTGTTGTGCGATATCTTCATTCTGTGAAAATTATGAAAATGTTAGTGGCTGGCTAAACCCAAAGTTTTATTGAGGTAGATAAATGGGGGGTAAAAATCAGAAATATTGTGATGTCATAATAATATGCCATGTCATAAAAATGTTGGTGGCTGCTTTCAGTGGCATACCCAGGATTTCATCAAGAGAGAGGTGAAAGTTTATGATGTCATAGATATTATTATGCCCTGAAAATGTGTGTCTGTATTCAGTAGTAGACATGATTTCATTTTTCATTCATTGTCTGGGGGGGGTTTTTCATTTCAAAAATTTGCTATGTCGGTAATATTGCATTGAGCAACATCATGCAATGAATTAAAAGAATGAGAGAAATGGGGCAGCGAAGGGGTCATCATTGAACCCCTGACGTTTCAACATTTGTGGTAACCCCACGTTTTTAAATATTTAAACTTTCATACATTTATAAGTGTTTTCAAGTAATAAGGATATTTTTTACGAAGTCAAAACGAGAATATCGGTCGGAGACCGAAGACTTATCGATCGATACTGCAGTTTCAATTCATGACTCTATAGTGACACCACGTGTCCCACTAATTAATTAATAACTCGCTAATTACACGACAGAATTCATCCAAAATCAATAGGCTTCTAGTCCGAGATATGACGAATGCACATGCAAAATATGGAGGAGATTCAACTCTGCTTTCGAGAGATATCGCGAAACATACAAAGTGTCTAACAGACAAACACACAAATACCTATCATCATACTAACCGATCTCAAGATCGATGAGTAACAAACAACCGGACAATGCTCAAATAAAAACTTACTAATTATCCAGTTGGGGCTAGGGGTGCAGATTGTGCAGAAAATTTGAATTATTCCTAACACCAACTCAATAATTACTAATTTGTTATTTGAAAACGTGGATAAGGTGTTTTTCTCAAATTTTTGTATTATTGGTGGGGGATTTATACAAAAAAATACAATATCGTAATTGTTAACAGGGGGGCCTTGATAGGCCCCAATAGCATATCAAGATGTCATGGGCCCCAATCGCTTATCAAGGGGTTCCATGAAAGTTGAAAATCACTTCCCTAATATTAAAACCACACCATTAAAAACTGGGTTACCTGAACATCGTCCAAATCAGGTATTACTTGGAGATCATCGCCTTCTTCGTCTGAGGAGTGAATTCGTGTTCTAGGGGAATCCCCTGTTACTAACAATCTAGAATCCTCTACCCCCTTGTTGCGGTCACGTTTATTATCGGCATCCCCCCAGCCCGCCATTCGTCTTGACGGCCGGGGAGGAGAATCTGCCCCAATTTCTTTGAGTTGAGATTTTGGAGCGGTTTCTTTCGGAACTACACTTTCTTTTTCATTTGTGTTCAGTGATGCATTAGATTTAGTCGACTTCGCTCTACGCCCAGTTTTTGCTTGACTTTTTTTTCCGATGCCGAAATCAAAATCCATCTTAATATTTTAAAGTATATAGTCTGTTCAGAAATACAAAACATGAAGCTTATAAGTAGTGGGCAAAATTTTTAGAACGGGTTCTCTTTTGTCTAGAAATCACTAACAACAGGTTCCCTCATTTCAGGACCCTACAAATCGTGACATGTTGTATGCTCTTATAACAGCAGATGGTTGCAGAAAATAATTATTTCTTAGTTTCTTTTTTATGTTATTATTTTAACCTTCTGGCGACCGGGAACTTTCCAAGTTCCTGAGGTCATCAATTGATAGAAAGTACTTTACGTAAGATGTTAGCTGTTCCAAGAAGAACGTTTTTTTGGAGCTGTTCTGCATTAATTTTTCCTGAAATATATTAGACATATTTTTCAAATTCTTTTCCGATAAGTCCAACCGCCCCCACCACCACCGGTATTGTTGAAGTTTTGAGTCCACACATCTTTTGTATCTCGATCTCTAGATCTTTGTATTTTGAGAGTTTTTCAAATATATTTTTAGAGGTGTTTCTTTCGGATGGTATAGCCACATCAATTATTTTTATTAAGAACCATTATTGTTATGTTTTACTTTATTAATAATAACGATGAGAAATGTCTCAAAACCCTAATACTATCAAACTTTTTAGTGCGATCATTTATTTTTAGCTAATTAAAAATAATTGTTAAATTAGATTATGCCCGCTTTTTTGGGATATTTATATTTCTTTATTGTTTACCTATTTATTTATTATGTACACCGTATTTTCAATTTTTTAAATAAAGCACACAGACGAGCGTATTCCAGCGCTTAGCACGTCGTGACACACCATCGAGCCATTTGTTTGTGTATTTTACAAAATATAAATCGGCATCAGCAGAAGAAAAAAAATGATAAAATGCAAAGCGGTTATGAAATAAGCTCACGTATGCACGCACTAGATGAAGCAGAGAAAAATTACAAAAAATAAAACGCGAAGTGATTACGAAAATCTCTCACATTTGCACGTACTAGATGAAACAGAGTTAAATGAAGAAAATAAAATGCAAAATGATTATGAAAATCTCTTATATACGCACGTACTAGATGAAACAGAGTCAAATGAAGAAAATAAAATGCAAAATGATTATGAAATCTCTTATATACGCACGTACTAGATGAAACAGAGTCAAATGAAGAAAATAAAATGCAAAATGATTATGAAAATCTCTTATATACGCACGTACTAGATGAAATAGAGTCAAATGAAGGAAATGAAATGCAAAGTGATTATGAAAATCTCTTATATACGCACGTACTAGATGAAATAGAGTCAAATGAAGGGGATAAAATGCAAAGTGAATATGGAAATCTCTTATATACGCACGTACTAGATGAAATAGAGTCAAATGAAGGAAATGAAATGCAAAATGATTATGAAAATCTCTTATATACGCACGTACTAGATGAAACAGAGTCAAATGAAGGAAATGAAATGCAAAATGATTATGAAAATCTCTTACAGCCGCACGTACTAGATGAAACAGAGTCAAATGAAGAAAATAAAATGCAAAGTGATTATGAAAATCTCATACATACGCACGTACTAGATGAAGCAGAGGCAAATGAAGGAAATGAAATGCAAAATGATTATGAAATCTCTATATACGCACGTACTAATGAAAGAGTCAAATGAAGGAATGAATGCAAATGATTGAAATCTTACGCACGTACTAGATGAAATAGAGTCAAATGAAGGAAATGAAATGCAAAATGATTATGAAAATCTCTTATATACGCACGTACTAGATGAAGCAGAGGCAAATGAAGGTAATGAAACGCAAAGTAATTATTTAAATTGTTCACAGACGCACGTACTAGATAAACAGAAGAAAATTACAAAAAATAAAATGCAAAGTGATTATGAAAATCTCTCACATACACCAGATCAGGGGTTCCCAAACTTTACTGGCCACGGGCCAAAATTAGAATCGGAAAGACGTTCGCGGGCCGGAAGAATGTAGCGCCCAAAAGTGGATTCACTTTCATTCGACATTTTTTTGAAACATGTTTGTTTGACTCATAATGGCGCTCAAAGTTGTATTCCTTCAGAACTGAAATAGTTTGTTGGCAAAGAAGACAAATCTCTAAAGTTATACTTGTGGATACTTTTCAATGGAGAAATACGAACACTGCCATTTATCCAAGAAAAGTTAGTTTTCGTTTGATTTCTGACATCTTTAAGCTTTCCTATATGGCTGATAACCAAATTACTGCCCTATGTAATCCTAACACCGGTACCTATAATTGATATACTAGTATAATTGAATTGTTACGATGAACACTTGCTTGAACTCATGACATAAATTAGCGGTATCTAGATCGCAAAAAGGTAGAAATATAATCTGTTGAACACTATTTCACGTAAGCTTGGCGGGCCATTTTAAAATCGTTACGCGGGCCGGATTTAGCCCCCGGTTTGGGGACCACTACACTAGATGAAGCATAGGCAAACGAATTATGAAAATCTCATACAGCTATACGAACTAGATCAGTGGTTGCTAAACTTTTTAAAAAAAATTCCATGACGGACCCTTGCAATTTTTTCAATGATATTCGTGCAACATTAAAAGATCACAAGATCAATGCGCCATACAGTATAGTGAAAAACATCTCTCCTCTGCGTTTATCACGATTCAAGATTCATTGTTTCTCAATTTCATTTTAGGAGACATCTTGAAATTAATATTACAGGGTTGAAAACGTCAAAATATGTCAAGATAGCCCTAACGTTAATGTATGTTGAAGGCTAAATTTGACAGCTAAAAACTAAAACATAGTGCCTCTCTTGCTACACTCTACTAACGCTATTTTCAATATATAGGCGTAAAACAGCATTCAGAAGCGGACTAGCATAACTTTATAAACTGTCTACTTTAAATCCCTCCTACCGTGTTTCCCCGGAAATAATACCTGCCCTGAATTTTGAAAATAAATTTTAATATAAGTCCTCCCTTTAAAATAAGACCTAGTCAATAACGCAAATTTTTTTTAACTGGTTGATAGCAAAAAATCTCTCCTACACGTTTTAAATGATTAATTTGAAACGCATGAGAGAGGTAACATGTTATTTAGAGGTAAATGGATATCGTTTTTCATATTCTCGGTAATTCTCTACTTCGTAATTTAGTTTTGATAAATGAAAATGAAAGACATCCCCCAATAATGAGCTCAATGATTTTTTTTTGAATAAAAATAAGACCCAGTCGTATTTTCAATGAAACACGGTATGCCAACGAACATGCAAAAAGGCAGTGTCAGCTACATCTACATGTAGTTAGTTAACTCATAATGCTGTAATGGCAGCAATTAAACTCTCTCTGTGATATCATAAGCCACAGCTCTGTGACATCACAACGAGGCAGCGTGTTCGAAACCAGAAAGTGGGAAATTATTATACTCATCAGTCATCAGCAGTCCCCCCGAAAGTGCTTCACAGACCCCAAAAGATTCGTGGACCACACTTAGGGAACACTGTACTAAATGAAGCAGAGGCAAATGAAGAAAAAAAATGCAAAACGAATATTAAAATCTCTCACAGCCGCACGTACTAGATACTGAGATAAGGCAGAGGAAAATTACAAAAAATAAAATGCAAAGTGAATATGAAAAGTGCTTGACACCATACGGACTAGATAATGCAGAGGCAAATGAAGGAAATGGAATGCAAAACAATTATTAGAATTTGGTTTTAAGGCCGCAACAGTTTTAATTTGTCTCCTAATTGAACCAAGTTTGGTTAGATCATAAAATATTCATTTACCATTCTACCAATTAAATACAGAAAATGTCACAAAACGGGTGGTAGAGTCGTTCATTCTGGTCGGTTACGGCGTCCTCCACCGTCAAGTCCATGCATCTGAAACAAATACCGGTACGGTACCGGTACTATCATAAAATGCCATCACCGCGAACTGCTTTCAAATACCCAAATGCTTGAGCCGAAATTTATTTTTATCTTGCCTAGGACTGACCTTCCTTGCCAAAACAGGCACTAAAATTATTGTATGTTGTTCTAACCGCTTAATTTTCCCTCTCTAATGGCTGAATGGTTAACTTGATGCTGTTAATTACGGTACAGGTACAAATCTAACAATTCTAGTAATAAGGGCTGTGAAATTTTTATAGAAGGTCAAAGGGTATTAGAAATTATTAATTTATATATGGCAGTTTCCGTGTGAATAAATCTCTCGCCCAGGACAAATCTCTACTAAATTCCAATATAATTTCCAACCTGAAAGAATTAGGATAGCCTATTCATTTACCTTTTATAAACGAGCCAAAAATATGGACGGCCGTCTTTTCATATCTTCGAAGTTTCTCAATGACACCGCCTTCGCCCGGAAAGTGATATTTGAATCGTAAATTGTTTGAGAAGCCTTTGGGCGGCAGTTGGTAAAGTCAATTTTTATAAAGCTATACTTTTATCGCTTTGTTATGAAGTTGTCCGAGATCCAACACCCATTTTACGCTGGATATTCTCATGAATTACGCAGGAGATTGAAATCATGAGACACAAAGCGATAAATACCATAACAGCCACCTTATTTGTGCGTGAGACAGAATTTTCATGGCGACAAAATGAAAAATGAGTATGCAAACCTATTGAGAGTAAATTAGTTTTAGTCAAATAGCAATAAATTTTAATGTGACAGAGGGAAATGACGTAAATGGATGCTGCGTAAAATAGAGCGTTTTGTCTAGAAGGCGTTAGTGGTAAAATGCTTGAATAGCGAGACGAATTGAAGAAATAGTCAGAATGGCTAAAGGTATGAATTCCTCAGTAGTTATGAATTAATAGAAACAGGAATGTGTAATTGTGGTAGTTGTGCAGGAAAAGGCTTCAATGAAAGATTGTAAGAGTGGTGTTTAATAGTCATGGCGGCAACGTACGATTGATACTTTCCAAGCTAGTTCGTTGGGTCATACGTAAGTCAAGCAGGGTCATCTAAAATTCTAAATTTTCGAGCTTCGCTATTCAAAATCAAAAACCTCCGAGCTGCTTCGACTTAAAGTTTATGGAGTGGCGCTCCATCTTATATAGTACAACGCCTCTGCGTTACCTTTACCCACGAAACTTGCTACAAATATTACAAAAAATGCCACCCAATACAGCCAATTGTAACGCTACTAAACCTACAATAACCTTGAATATCACAGATATTTACTTCATAGATAAGCATTTGGTTGCGTCACCAAACCTTTCGAGAAGCAAATATGGACGTCGTCGAAATACTTTTCTTTCTCTCCCTCATCTGTGGCTTGCTGGCTGAAGTAAAATTACCGGGTAAGATTTGTTTCGGATACAATTACTAGATAAATTTATCCGTCTTCTGGCACCATGAATTCTAAAATATAAGAGCTTTCTGAATCATTTGCAAAAGATATCACATTCAACGAGTGTAGCAACATCTATAATTTTTGGCGCATGATGTTGTTATATTGAACTTCACGTTTAATTTTGACAGCTGGAATCTGCCGTTCCCAGATCGTGAAGGGAAAACTTGTCCAGGTTGGAGATTGCGAGGTAAAATCAAGTGTTTTTTATCAGCTTTTTCACGCTTTGTCTCCAAGGAAGGCTTAGACCTTTCAAATTGACTACTTTTGAAAGGACTCGAAGCTTTTTTTTTCTTAATTCCCAACACAATTTTTGGTGCTCCCGAAGTATGCGAACCAAGATGGCGGACATCGGAACGTAACATAGGTAACAGGTTAGGCCATAATTTTTTTCCAATTTTCCTTATTTTAGTCCTATTATTAGTTCGAAGACTAGCCAAGAGCCTCCCGTAGTATTTATACCTAAAATTATGGCCTAACCCTAACCTAGTACACATATTACATTCCGATGTCAGCCATCTTGGTTCGCATATTTCGGGAGCCCCCAATTTTTAATCCGACTTCTGCATCTCACGCAACTAATATAAAATAGCCTAACTTACGTGTTATATTCACTTTACTAATCATCTGTATTTTTTATTTATTTCACAGATAGACGATGGATCCGGTGAGTTCGTCCTACTTCATGATATAGTCGTAATTACGCAATGGTCTAAAAATATTCGTGGTGTGTAAGATAGTTAAATTATACAGTGGGTAAAAATTTAAACAAGTCGTCGATGAAAAAATAATTGTGGACGATATAATAATCGAAACTAACTTAAATGCATTAATCTACACTCAAATGAAATATGTCATTTATTTACAGATATCCTCAAATTGATCCAGAAGAGTCTTGATGAAAAGAAAAAAGCTGAAAGTAATTTATATGTGTGTTTTCTGATTTATAATTTGACTATAAAATATGCCACACCCCTCAAAGCATTAGTATTTCATTTTATGAAGATTTTAAGTATTGGGCCCTGAGTTGCTACTGGGTGATCAACACAACCCCTAGTCTGTTACGATTTCTGTTAAGCCCACCAACCATGTATCTAAACTTGATAGCTATTATGATATTTGAAACAAATTTGTTCTGTCGTTTTATTTAGTTTTCGTCTTATCATATTTCCCATCTCCAAAATTAGTAGATTACAGTATTTCCAAAATTTCTATTTTGAAATGAAGCAATCCGACAAAATTTAAATCCCAGATCGTTAAAATATTCTAAAATTTTAATATAAAAAATTGAATGACAACAATAATGTTGTTTTTAGTTAAATGTGACGTCACGTATAAGACGAAATGCTTCCGAATAGTCGTGTATGATACACGGAATGTCACCTTCAATGATGCCCAACCAATCTGCAAATCAATGAACAACGGGAAACTCGCGAACATTTACGACCTCGCGCATTACCAGTCACTTCGCACTTACTTACGTTCACTGATTCCTGCTTCTTCGACATATAAAGCCATCTGGACTGGGATGCAGTATAAGGTCAGTTTAATAGATCACAATTTTAGCAGAGTTTGACTCATTTTCGTAAACTTCACCTGGTCCAAGGTTGGCTCAAAGCAGTTTTCAATAAAATTACCAAATAATAAGCAGGTTAACGATGCCTTATGATTTTTTAATGAATTGAATAATTAGAAAAACCCAATATCATTGTAACTTCAATTATATTGTGACGTCATAGATGAACTGTGTAATTGATATTGTGGTATTTGCCGAATATTTCAGAATTTGTGATTTTTCCAGTATTTTCTGGTTTTCACTCATTTTCATGTAGTTCCTACACATAACTTACAAGACTTCGTCTATGATGACTACCTTTACTATAAAACTCATCACGGAAAGCAAATATTTTCATTCTTCATCTAATATGTCAGTTGCATTAACATTTCAAGCAACAGATTTTAAAGCCTTCATTTAATTGTTACAGAACAATCAGCTTTTGCTGTCAAGTGGAGAACCAACCTCTATAGCAACTGAAGTGTGGTATCCTGGTTATCCGAAATCCGATGCATCGTGGACAAATGTTGGTGTTGATGTTAATAAAGATCCAGAGTTTTCACGTCAGGGAATGTTCAATGAGCAACCATCCTATTCACTCCACGGTATCATCTGTGAAATATAAAACCAGCTCAAAACCTTACAGAACTTCGTTGACGGACTGAATGATATAAACGACAAAGAGTTCTCACTTTTTATTACTTATATTATTTCTTTACTATTGTTAATCGTATAAGCGATACCTTGAATTGGGTTCTCTTCTTATTGAAACTTTTTGCTCAGAAAATAAAATTCATAAGTTGCTCCAAGTGATTTCTGTATATAACCGAACAAGATAATAAATATTGATTCGATAATTTGTGATTTTTTATTATTTTGTCAATTTATGCGAACCCATTAGAAAAGGAACCGTAAAATGGAATAATACTCATGCGTGAAAAAAAGACCACGCCTACCATATCTTGGGTTAGGGCAGGCACATTAGGGAGAGAATCTCTGAAACAAAGTTAGTTCAGTAGTAGTTTATAATTAAGTGCTTTGCTTTGCCCACATTAGGCAAATGAAATTCAACTGTGCTAGGAGACTCATAAATATGACTTGGCATAATCATTCTTTATAAGGTTCAAATAAAAGTTACTCAGCAAAATTCTACAAAAGCTTGTAGAATATGACTCAGCACTATTTGAACAGCTAGAAAGCACACTTATGCCTCTAGTTTCTGAATCAGCGATTCCCAACCGGGGCCCGTCTCAGAGCAATTGGAGAGAGGTCACAATGCTAGGCGCAAAACGTTAATCGGCAAAATTTATCAAAGCTTGTAAAGCTAGACTCAGCATAATTTGAACAGCTGGAAACCACTGTTAGGTGTAAAAGTTCCTGAACTGCCCGTCGCGAGTCAGGTCATTTTACGAGTCATCCGAGTAAACCGCTGAGTTAAATTCCACTGCCGTCAGTTGATGTCGATTCTGAGTCATTCCATGCAGTTTCTTTATAACAGTGGTTCTCAAACGGTGGGACGCGCCGCACAAGAGATCGCAAACATTTTTTTTGAAAGGGCGTGAAGCCAATTAAAAACAAAAAGTAAGATTTGATCTTTTTTACATTTTTTTATTGTTTAGAAGTTTAGAGATTGCAGAGAGATGTTGTGCTTTCTGTTATTTTTATTATATGTTTTTGTAGCTTATTCTTATCTAGTTATTTTTGATGTGAGATTTCCGCAAATGCGTAGTTTCCCAGCCTGCTCACTTCGATATGGGGTGGGGGAATGAGAACTTCAAGTTCTGGCACCAACATATTGGAACCAACGCTTTAACCTCTGAGTCATCGCGACCACCTAATCTAGCCTGAAGTTAAACTTCATTGAATGTTAGAAAACACAAGAATTTTCGTACTTCAGTTCATCCAGTAAATGACCCGAATCTTTCCAACGCGGCTAGACAAAACATAAACGCGACTCGGCGTAATATAGGGTGTCCATTAAGTCCTAAATTATTTAAAATTGCAAACAGAATTTATCGACACCATATATAGTTTGGCCCCCACAGATGTATTGATGAAGTAAAAAATAGTTATATTGAGAACTGACTTTATGGACACCCTGTATAGTGTAATTCACATCCTAAAAACCGTATTTTTTTATTTTTTGTCTCAAAAATTCATGCCTTCATGAAAATAGTAATGGCGGATTCTTGATTGTTTTTATAGTTATGTAATGTTCATACAATTAAAAAATAATCTTCTTTTTTCGGATTTTTCATTCCGTGAACAATATATATCAATATGCAATGTTTTTTGGTTTATTTTATCCAATAATTTACAATTGTAATAGAAAAAAATGAAGAGAGAAAAAAATGTCCAACATCACGAAATAAAAATATTGTAATTTAACAATCCAGACTCGACAAGTAAGTACAATCCAGTTATTATCGAATTCTAGTTAAATGACTGAGTTTTTTTCGAATTGCAAGGTTGCAGACAGATCGCGGAAAATCGGCCCGAATAAGATCAAGAGAACTCAACATAAAATGCTTGGCACAATGCGAAATGATTTCCAATTCCCCCAAAAGCGGAGCAAATGGTCACATAGAGTCTTCATTGGTCGATAAAAGCCGACATCAATCGGAAACAGCAGACAATTATTTGAAATGGCAGTCATAAGTTGGGAAGTATCGCCATTGACCCAAAAATGCTCGCGATTGACCAGAAATAACAGTTGGTAGTCTGAACCAGAGCTTCTCAAACTGGGGGTCACGACACCCCTGAGGGCCGCGCAACGAATTTGAGGGGTCGCAAAGAGTACATCAATTTCACACAAAGTACTATGCAAAACACTATATATATCTATTTTAAATTTTTAGAAGTTGATTCAAAGCACAATTAATAAAACTAGTGCGGGACATAATCTTCACGATTTCGATAGAATACATGTAATCAAAGAAGCGGTGCGCCTGCAAAACAATGCCGACTTTGATCGTAAGACCCGAGAAGATGAGCGCTTGCATAACAAAGCCGACCAGGGGTCGCGGAAAATTTTTATATATTGGAAGGGGTCGCAAGCTTAAAAGTTTGGGCAGTCCTGGTCTAAACGTCCAGCCATGGGTTAAAAACGGGGTGGATTATATGCGTAATAAGAGTCTGTGACATGGGCTGAAGGCTATTGATTTCTCAATAAATTATCTGAAGTTGGAAGCAAGGTCGTCGAGTTCTGATTGCGGTTAAAGGTCAATGATAAAGATTTTCAGTCGAACTTCAAAAAACGAGGGATTCGGTTTTTCAACTTAGTCATATTGAAGTTTCGGATAACGAAGGGTTGGAATGAAATCATACTTCTTGATTTGAATTCATATTACTTTAATATTTTTTTGCATCCGCCAGTTTATTGCGCTGTTTCACACGAAGGATAGGATTTACATATTTATCCCGGGAAAGAGGAAAGCCGATAAGACGGGTTAACAATATGGCGAATCACGGCCTCTCGCCCGGTTACCATTCCATGTCGCGTATGGGATTAGTTAGCCAGGTATTCGTTTCAGATACATGGACTTGAACAGAAATCGGCAAATCATTTAAAATCATAGTTTTTCATTTGAATATTCTACCCAGCGAATCTTAAAGCCAATGAGCGATTTGAGTGCATGTGTGTGTTTCCATCCACAATCTGCAGAATTCAACAGTTGTTGGCGCCAGGGAGACTCATGGTTTCCGATTGCAAAACGATGTTTCGATTGTTCGTTTTTTAACGATTATCGAAGATGTTCAATGAATGCTATTTTATAAACAGTATGTAGATATACCACAATGTATTGGCGTGCAAGAGAACATACTAAACGCCCAGAGTAATAGGGTGCAACAAGAATATTCTGTTCTTCAGTTTGTTTTATATATCCCACAGGAAGTGACGTCAAACAAAACATCACAAGCGAATATAAACTGCTTTCAACTGCACAAATATATTAAGTGAATTAAGTTTGTATGCTGCGTTATGCTGATGTGTTTATGTTTCATTTTTTAGAAACAGCACAGATGTTAACGCTGCCTAATTATTTTGCGAACGCTATGGACCTTTCCCCAAGCATCGACTTCCTTGTTTACTTCGTGACATTGGCCAATCAGTAAAATGCAAAAAGTGACGTAACAATGTCCCCTTTTTGCATCCGCTCAGACACTTTTCTCACTCAGACAGATTTTCAAGCGTGGATGTAAACATTACCTCGTTTTCGCGTTTTTGAACTCTATTCGTTAGTTTTCAGTTGTGTTCCGGAAACTTTAATAAAAATCAGATAATTCAATGATCACTCTGTCTTCCTAGTAGTTTTAATTTAATTGCAGTAATAAAAATTAGTGTAGAAATAGCTGTGATAGACTAGCCTGAAATTCTTCACCAGTACTTTTAAAAAACAGATTATTGTATGCGATGAATCATAATGATGGTTTGAAATTATATATCCCATTTTACAGGCGCTAACTCGCAAAAGCACTCTTAAATATTCCCGAAAATTTTGCAATGGTAAAGTATAGGAAGAGTTTTTCGGGGGTTAAAGGTCGGGGAAAGGTCCATAGCTTATGTCGCAAAAGATTTATGAGTACGAGTCTCTCGAGCAAAAAAAATCCCGTTTTACCCATTTGGATCTGACTATCCCTTAATGCAGTGGTTCTTAAAGTATGGGTCGCGACCCAAACATGGGCCGCGGAAGGTTTAAAAATGGGTCGCGACAAGGTCGTCAATGCAAGGGCAATCTAAGAGGAGAAGGACGAATTTTCAGCTTTCCCAATGTTTCAATTTAGCTTCTAAACTCTGGTATTTAAAAATAATGAAATATAAAATTTCATTCACGGAAAGAACTGTCTTGAGCTCATTGTTACATCACAATTCTGATATGCCAGTCACGTGTATTATTTTTATGGTATCGGTAACCAATAACCATGCACGTCGCTTGTCGTTGTGTTGACCGCGTGGAATGTCGTCTTAGTGGATTAAAATAACCAAAAATGAGTGTCTTTTTGGTAATGTAAATTGTAATAGACGACGCAATGAAAAAGCTCGCTTCTCGACATTAGACTATTCAATATCTAGAGAAAATGTGACTTCATCTCGAAGCACCATTTACCGCGAACGAAGCAGTGCATGCACATTTGATGAGTAAAAAGCTGTATATTGCGAGAGATACCGAAGGCCAGCTAGGATGTCGTGTTTGCGACGGACAGCGGGCGCCTTTTCTGCTACAATTCGCGACAAGGCACTTGTGCGAGCGAGGATATTTGGCACTGACGGTTAACAAAACTAAGCTCGCAATCGCCCCGATACCCGTGACAACTTGCGTATTGCGTTAAGTAAAATAGAGCTGTGTATTGAAGATATAATGAAAAGGAAATTTCAGTTCCATCAATCTCACTGAGTCAATGGACTGTTTCTAATAAATAGTTGTCTGTATTTGAGTCAAACTGCACTAACACATTTTGCGTTATTTAGGATTGGGTCGCGAGTATTCATAAAACTCAGATTTGGGTCGCGCTCGAAAAAGTTTAAGAACCACTGCCCTAATGGGTACCCGGTGTCACCTGGGTCATGAATTGACTCTGGAATATTAATTACATGCCTCTATCCCCTTCCCAATGCCCGCAATATAAGCCAAAATGGTCCGTCTCGAAGCTTGTCCCGTCATCGCCAAAAATTGTTTTGGTTGGGCATGCCTGATCGTAACTCATTGGTAATGATTACTTTACGCCTTCCGAATGTATGATATAGTAGTAATAGGTTATTGTCTCATCTGAAAGAGAGAATACGTCACAGAAATAGAAAAAGGTTGTCGG